TGTCCAGCCAGGACGAGTGACCAAATCCCCTCCCAAGCCCGGATCTGGCACTTTCTACTGTACCTTATTTTTCGACTCACCGCAGAGGTTGAACTCTCCTGATTTTCCCGGGAACTTCACCTTTTGGTAAAGGGTGGCTCTCAATATATCGGTATTCATGCGTCCGACTAAGGGAGGAGGAGAAAAAGTGGCAGAAACCTTTGAGAAATAACGAGAGACAATTTCCTGCCCACGCCTTTCATATCGAGCTTGGAGAGCGACGAGAGTGTATCGGCTATCGGGAAACTAGGAAACGGGGCATCGGATAAGGAATGGAGAGGGGTAATGTAAGAGATGGATATATTCCGAAAGGGTACACCAAGGGAAAAAGAGTGGTAGAGGGTTTCTGTCTCCGTCTCGTTTATGGAATTCCGGTCTGATATTCTTGTCAGATCCAGCTTTCGACTTCTTTCGCTTGGCCCCCTCCCGCCTGTCCCCCTCCCTTTTGATGGCTTTGGGATGCCCTCATGAGGCACTCTGATGAACGTTCATCCTCGTATCTAGTTGCTGATGGCCGTCTGTTTCACGCTCTCAGACACCGTTCGTTTCTATCTCTCCTCATGTTCATCTCAAGACCTCGGACTGTGTCCAGATGAAAGAGGGTGTACTGCATGCCAGCCCCCTGCCATCCGATGATAGAAAACGGGAATTCAGTATATGATGGCAAGGGAAGAGGGGCCTTGGCGTCTATCTGTCCCCGGATAGTTCCAAAGACGAGGCGAAGCGAGAAGGAGGAGACGAATGGCGAGGCCACTCGATATGGACCCCGGCAAGAAGCTAGAAACAGATAAAGAGAAAAGGAAGGAGAGAAGGAGAGAAAAGAAAACATCCCGAGATTCGTTGGCGAGGGGTGGGCGGGGTATCGATCCAATATTCTTTCCCGGGAAAAGGCCATCCCTCAAGGGAGGAGGAAGATGGTGTCGTGATTTGTGTCGGATTTGGGCGGTGGGCGGCGAGATACTCTACGCCAGACCAGGCACCCCCTCCCCCTTCTCCTCCTTCTTCTTCTACTCGTCGTCTGGTTCACTCGCGCCTGTAGACTTGCCGTGGGTGAGGGTGAGGGGAACGGAAGAAGACTAATAAACCCAAACTAACGTCCGGGATGGTGGGATGCTGTGTGATAGTACTGTATCTGTTTGGCCCATCGTCCCGGTTGAAGAGGACTACGCCCCTAGCACAGGCAAGACCGGAGGAAGAGGGAGGAGAGAGGGGGTGTGTGTCCCATCTGCCTTTCCTCTTTGGGTGGGTAAAGTGTGGCCCGAAAGAGGTTGTCCCCTTGCCTCTCAATCTATTTCTCGCGTGGGCAACACGCTTACTCGTCGATGAGCGCGGGACAAAGGTATCGAAGCAATAGCGAATGTATTGGCCATGAACGGTGACAGAAGGGGCCGCCAGGGTGGTCGTGACCAGGACGGAAGGGGATAGTCCAAAGAGAGGGAGGCGGTGTTGCCGGAGCCTGCCGCCGAAACCTCTTTCTCCACGCACCAAGTTTGGTTGTGAGGCGGGCTCAACGGCAAAAACAAGGCGTCCTTCTCTCCTTGTCCGTCGACACCGCCCTATGGGAAATAGCGTTGGGGATTATGCCGGTATAGTCCAACTTCTGAGAGGCCAAGCACCCCACGAGGACCATGGCCACACCCAGAACCTGTCAAAAACGAGGCCGGATACGAACGACCGCCGGAAATCAAACTAACAGTCGGCATTAGTTGCAGCCAGATTGAACTCGGGCGTCCCATCACCGTCAAGCCAAGCTAAGATGACCTACAATCCACCCGCCGCCCCGACGCGGTGACGCAAAAACGGCCGCCTTTCTAGGTGCTAAACGGAACGACGACTTCGCCCCGATTTTTCTTTTGCTACACTACATCCCCATCCCCGTACCCCTCGCTTCCACCGTTCTCCTTCCATCCTGAAGCAGTCAACGTGTGGGAAACGGAGGCGCGGCCGCTAGTAGGAAGCGAGACTATTCGTGTCTTGGGCTGTGACAAGCCGCCGTCGAAACGAAACATTTTCCCCCTCTGGCACTCGGCGGCTGATTCGATCTGACACTCCAAGGATGCCGCGATCCAACTGTGCTAGAATAGCCCGGCCCCCTTCTTCGCCCGGGTGATGGATTCGTTCAAAAGGATCTGAGGTCTCCAGGAAGGCGGCAGATCTTGAACCTGAGGACCGGCCGTCTCGGCGAGAACCGTAAACTAATCACTCTTTTGGAACTCTCCAAGATCTCAGCCTCCGGCTCTTCGAATGCGTTACATTTCGAATAGGCAACCATGAGTTCGCCCCCTTCTGGCCCAATGCGGAACAAGACACGTTCTTTCCGCCAACCTGGGGAAGATTCGTTTACGTTCACTCCCCTTCTCCCATCCCGGGCCATGGGAGTCAACGTAGAAATCGTACTATAGGGCGTATGTCAGATAGGCGTCGGAGGATTCGACATGGCAAAAGAGAAAAGAAAAGAAAAAAAAAAAAGCCCTCCCCTCAGCCAAGTCATTACACCAACACCTCTCCCCTGGCTGAGGTTGAAAAGGTGAGCAAACGGGGTGGTTAACAATTAGTTAAGCCGTGTTATAACCTGGTATTATACCGGAAAACCTATTTGTTTTCCCATTGTCTCCTTCCCTCTAGTATTTTTCGCCTTCGGAATCCGACATGTTCGATTCCTATTCGTCCGCCGTTAAGACGCGTCTGGGAGAGGTGGTGTGGTGCTGTATTGCTTAAGGCCCTGTATTATTATTACTCTGCGTCAGCCGGGATCACGGTGCCTAAGTTGTACCTTCCGCTTCCGATCAGGGCCAGTTACGTTCAAGGCCCTCATTACGTCTATGCCCAAGGGCCAGAGACACCCAAAAGGCTCTCCAAACGAAAGCCGGAATATTTTCCATACCAGCGCAGCCCTTATTCTGCTGAACCTGTTCGTCGGCTTCGATATGCGCTTAGCCGACTTAGCCTCGTGTCCTTTCTCCGCCCCGGTCTTCCTTCCTCCCCGTTGGCACTCGAGAAGTGGCGGGGAGGAACGAGGGCAGTGGAAAGGTTCGCACCGGGAGCAAGGCTCGGCGAGGGAGGGCAGGAACGAGATCGGCGTCCGGCAGCAAGGCCAGCGGTTCCTTGCGGAGACCCATGCAGGAAAAACCCCTCCTTGGCTTTCTTCCCCCATCCACGTTCTTTTGGTCCCTGTTCCTGCGTGCTTTCTCCTCTTTTTCTTTTTCCCCTTCCTTTCCTGCACGGCTTCCTGCGCTGCCCTCGCTACCGCAGCTCTCCGTCCCGCCGACAAGTAGCAGCTTGAGCAATGACGGCACAGCGATGGGGGCCCGTTAAGAGGCCTAGGCTCCATTAGAAGCTCGGGGGTGGTCTCGCCTGTAGTAGCCCTTGGGGAGAAGGGGGAAAATAGGGCAAAGATCGTCGTCTTGCGTCGGCACAGACGAGGCGTAGGCTGGTGGGAATTTTGAAAAAATCAGGGAAATCGACGCTGGTCTTTCATTTAAACATGATTGAAGATATGTCATTGTGCTTCCTTCCCCTTTCCCTCGGGTATGGATCAAGAAAAAGAACAGTCCAGACCTTTTGGGTCACTTTGAAGAAGCAGCAAAAAACCACTATCCTGAAAAGAAAGACGATCATCGGTGATCGGTGCGGGACGATATAACGTGGAGAATCATGGCTCGGGGATCCGCCAACGGCCTTCGCCCGCGTCTCTAGCCGGAAAGACGGCCAGGATAGACGGGATCAGGGCATGCGGGCCCGGAAGAGGTAGCGGAGGGTGAGTAAAGGGACTAGGAAGGAAAGTCCGGTGGCGGGCCCGGTGTCCTAGGTTGATGCTTGCGAGGTGGTTTGTGATCTCGCTTCCACTTTGTGGATGTCGTCCATAAGCGTTGATCCCTTTCGGGGGCCACTGTCGACGTGGCCCTTTGTTCCATCCTACGAAGCCCCCATTAGACGCGCCGTAGTCCATTGGGACAAGCAGAACAACGGAGCTGCGTGTTGCAACTTACATGTACAGACTGTAGCAAGCCTCCCTTCACTTTTATTTCCCTTGCTAGAGGCAACGACTGAGGAGAGCCCTACCCTCCACTTGATGGCGAGTCTTCCGTTGAAGCTTCTTCCTTCGATCTTGCACCCTGTGGAAAATCTCTCAAATAACGGGGGCCCATCACCAAGTTCGTGCCACATCTTCTTGGTCCAAGAATGGCTAGTGTCGTCCTTAGACGAGTTCCGAGCATCACATCACTAAGGCGTCTCGACGGGGGCGAGAGAGGCCTGGGGAGGGTAATTTCAGTAGTATAAAGCTGTGTGTATATATGGTATAGAGACACCAAAGACATGGGTCTAAAGAACACCGTCACCACAGCCCCGCCAGCAGCAGGAGTTGGAAGAAGGTGAAGAAGAAGAAGAAAAAGGATATGTACAGCGAAAGGTGAAGGTTTGAGGAGGTATATAAAGAACATGTAAGGAAAGAAAAATGGCTAGCCCCGATCACACAGAGTAGCAGACCAAACGTCGTAGTAAGAGGCCATACTGGGCATCGAAACTACCTACCTACCGGGGTAGCAGGAGAAAGAAAGGAAGAGGGTAAAAGTACAGGTCTAAAAGAGTAGGAAAATAGCCATAGAAAGCTACCAACATGACAGTCGGAGCTGCTCATGTCGAGTCAACAGGAGGCGTGAGAGAAAAGAAAAAGGATAAAGGAGGAAACCAAAAGCTCGCTATATGCTCCAGTCGTAGATGCTATCCCTATAGATGTAAAGCTCGTCAAAGAGATGTCAAAGAAGAAGAAGAAGAAGAAGAAGAGGGTCCCGTAGGAAGAAGAGAACGGGAAAGAAAAAGATGTAAACAGAAATCCCAACGCCCATAATCTAGCGCCAACCGTCGTTCCGTCATAATTGGATATCACAACACCATCAAAACTTTTTGTCGACTCCTTTGCCGTTCGCTAGCCTCTCACGCCCAGGTAGAGAGGCATCTCATCATATCGAGTTAAAGAGGAGAGCAAGGACAGTGACCAAAACGGCGAGTGACGAAATGGCGAGACGGCCGGCAGCGTCCTCCACCTCGTCGGGCAAAGTGTCGTTTGCGAATTGGGGCCCACAAATGGCGTTGAGAGACTGGGCCGCCGTTACGTACGTATCGGCGATGGGCTGCTTTCGATTGGCGCCGGCGGATTGGTAAATGGCCATCATGTCCTGGAGACAAGTGCTGCAGGCCGGGTTGGCGCTCTGGGGCAAAGCTTTGCCCAAGGGCAAGAAGTAAAAGTAGGCGTTGGCCGGCGTGCTGGTGTTGGTGATGGCATTCGCGAAGCAGTACATGTCGTCATTCTCGCGGTCCCGCAGGCACGTAGCCTTGTAAAGTACGTTGTAGGCCCTAAGGCCGACGTAGGCCTGCTGGATGTTGGACAGGTTGGAAGCGAATTCACCTCCGCAATTCTCATCCAGGATCAACTCCTTGGCCTTTTCCTTGAGGTATTTGGTGCAAAAGTCAACGTCGGCGTCACAGGCGGCGTCGAGGACCGTCACGATGGTGGGAAGCGACTTGGACGCCTCGAAAAATGCTCTCGATGTCTAAGACAAAAACGCGCGGAGAGTTAGCACAAAGCGCATAACAAGACACACCCTCCGTCTTCCTTGGGAGCTGGCACTGCAAGTGCCCATTTCTTTAAAAAAGATTTTCGGCGGTTCTTACCTCGAGCATCAGGGAGACGGGATAGCACGACTTGAACGTCTCGTCAAGGAGCATCTCGTTTAGGAAATTGGGACACGACTTTCCGCCGTTGCTGGTAAACTTGAAATCGAGGCCGCTATCGAACGGGGACGGCAAGGCGGCAGTGGTCGCGACGGCTTTGGAACTCGTGACGGCGGTGGTCTTGGATGCGCTGCTGACGCTGCTGATGCCGCTCGTGCGCGCAGTCTGCGATGAAGAGCTCACCGTTGTGGTTTCCTCCTCGTCTTTGTCCTGTCGCTTGCGCAAGTCCACTTCGGCGTCATCGTCGGATATCCAAGTCCACTCATCGCCAACGAGCACGGGGACCGAGTTGTCGACAAGCAAGGCATCGGTAGGTACCGCTACACCGTCGATCGGAACAATTTCTTGCATCATCGCGGTTGATAACGAGCAGAAACCAACTAGAACGACGAGAAAAAGCTGGGAAGTCGCAGCAGGCGCCGCGGTCGCGCGTTTGTGGTGGAAGGAGCCATTTTGGACATGGGGGAATGCGAGTTGTAGTCGAGAAAGGCGAAGAGAGCGCGGCTACATCACTTGCTCAAACAAACGAGAGTGAAGATTAGCCAGATGCTAGAAACGTCGAAGCCTAGCAGTGCCTTTTGCTCTCCGCGTGTTCCCTTCTTCTGTTCTTCCTATGACAAGGCCAACTTGTTGAACTCTCGGGGAAGAAGCCAAATAATTCCACGCCCAGGTATATAAAAGGAGACAAAACTCGAGTGTGGGCGTCAAGTTCGAGGCAATTCGGGCCTAGATGAGCGATGCGGGCGGCGAGATGATTTTCACCGAGCAGTCCCTTTCTAATGGTGGGTGGGGAGACGGGACGATACAACAGTCTTAACGAGAGGACGAACGTCGGGGCCCACCGTTCTTCGCACGCAGAGTCGCCAGGTGAAAGAGGGGTCGGCGGCGCAAGGAATTAGACGTCGTCGGGACAGATCTGGTTCGGCTGTTCTTCTAGCAAGGGCGCCAGAGGTAGCGTAAGGCGTGACGACCGAGGAACCTCACGTCTCGTCTCTTCTAGAATGAAGAAGAAAAAATCGGATGCAGAAAGCAGCTGGTACAACCGGACGTTATTTTGGGTGGGACAGGCAAAAGAGCTGATCGTCGCGTGTTTCGTTTCCTCGTTCGGACGGGTGTGAATGGAGGGGGATCGGTTGCGCGAGGCGTATGCCGCTGAGAACGAGCAAGTGAGAATGAAGGTGAGGAGTCCAATAGCTAGCGATGGTCCTGATGAACTTTGATTTAAGAAGGGAATCGTGATGTTATTCTAGCGTCTCGATTTCGGAGTTCGTTCGTAGAGCGTTGGTGCGAGTCTCTTTGCCAAAAGCTGGAAATGGCGAGATTGAACCGCAAGAAAACTTACTCTTTGCGGGCCTCGAAGGACGGGAAAGTACATGTAGCGTAGGGAAAGCGATCAGGAAAGGAGCACCGAAAAGTCCAAGGCAATATGGGAGGACGGGTAAAATAAACACTTATAGTGTCGACCAGGAGAAATGGGGCGCGCGATTGGGGGAACGGCAAGGGGAAAAGAAACAGGGCCACTCTAAAGTGATAAAATGTCGACGAGATTGGATTAATGCCCTCATTCGGGAGGTTGTCCGGCTGGGAGTTGGCTGGGGCGGCTCGTCAACGATTGGATAATGGGATGAGGACTGACAGGGGTTACGAGCTGTACGGACAGGGGTGGTGGAGGACACAGGTGCTACCGACAGAGACAAGGGTCTCAGGGGATGGGAATGGGAATGGTGGATGGATCAATCAATAGGATCCGGGAGGGGTCACGGTCACTCTGGATGATTATACCAGCCAAACGTTCATTCAAGAGTTGGGCGAATCGCTTTCGGGGCAAGTGGGCAAGTGGGCAAGATGTGGAGAGTCACATCAATTGATCACCGATAGTTTCAATGGTCGGGCTCTCGGCGGGTGGTCCCCACTGATTCTTTTATGAAGTGAGTGGCAGGCAATCTTTCATTTCCACCAGCTGAGTGCCAGAGTCGTCTGCGATCAATTGGATTGCTAGTGGCGGGGAGGACAAGACAATGGCCAGGCGTTTCTTCAATGACGGGTCGACGTTTTTGTCTCTGATCTCGGAAGAAAGAGCGAGATGCGAGGTGTGAGGACACTTCGGAGAGACACACATCAATTTAATGTACATTTGATGTATTGCCTACTAATAGTTCGTGCAAGGAACATTGAATTGGGGGAAGCACGACTTCTGCCACCCATGTTCATACAGAGAAGGAACAATGCTCTCCCGTACTCCAATCATGAACCAATTCTCGAAGCGACAGCTGACCCATGTCTCTCTCCTTCTGGCTCTTCCCTTTTGGTCACAACAGGGAAAGAATAGGATTATTATCCCGAGGTATTATTATATTGTCTAGAAAAAGAAGGCTTCCAGCGTCTACAATGTCAATGTTGCGCTTGTGCAACAGTGGTGCGTTGCATCAATAGATCTAGCATACGTACAAGTAATATGTTGGCCCATGTATTAGGTGTCGGTGGTACTTCGATAAAGGCTCGATATTGGAGCGAGATGAGCATCACGGATTACTGATGCAAAGAATTCCAGTTCCATTGTGGAAGAAGCGCAAGCCCCCGCAACGGCACCAAAGTAACGTGTTCTCACGACACTTGTCACCGTGCCTCTTACAAGAATGACGAGAAAATGGATGAGGTCGGTGATGGATTGAAGTTCAACCAATTTTTGTCCATCACCTTTTTCTTATTGCGCCCCGTCCGGGGCAAGCCTCTGTGCCTGGCACTTTCCCTTTTGATTCTTTAGCGCCCCCGATGCTCCTTCTTCCATCGATGAAGGCACTGATCGGACCTAGTGTCTTTGGTCTATCAATGCCAAGACACCCCACTTGAACCTCCAGCCAGGGGATCCGACCCAGCAAAGCTCAACTGAGAGAGAATCGAGAGGGCAATAGCTCCTCGCTCATGACTAGCCAGGCAACGCCTTCTCTCGCAACCTCGCCTCCGGAGGAAATTGCACGGTGGAAAAATCGACACTGGGAGCAGGCAGATACGATATTGCAAAAACCGCCGAACTGATCTCACCTCAACCTCACACGAGAAGATAACTGTGAAGCTCGCTCTCGCCTTGCGCTTCGATGTCAGGTTGGCCAAGCCGTCCCCCACCGGCAATCCTGACTCCCAAACTAGGCTGCGGAGACGATTACTACCACGACACATGCCAACCGCACATGCTTGGTCCGTGAGGTCCACGGTCGCTGGAAATCCGCTCCTCAGTGTGTGCTCTCTCAAAAAGGGGTGAACCGTGCGGGCCCCGTCTGCTTATGCCAGCGTTGCATTGTTATCTCGACCCCCGTCGGTTGCTTTCCTCCAGGAATGCTCTCGTCTGGGGCGTTGTACTTGGTCGAGGATTTGTTCCTCCTTCAAATGTCCCCTCCCATCTCGAGCCTCATGCGCAGCTTATTCATTGACTCTTTTCAGTGAATACTGGCATACTTGATACTGTCGAATTTGTCTCTGAGAGATTTGACCCACCATGTCCGCCGAGAGCCACTTCGTACTTCTTCCGGTCGACCAGAAACTGACCATGCTCACCCACCGTTGCCGACCGCTAATAATGGACTGGTGCAGACACTGATGGATCCCAGCTCGCCAGTGCGCGTTCCTGCAAAAGCCAAGTCGACATGGGTCCACGCACTCCTCCGTGCCAGGATCTCGACGATCTGGCAGACGCAGGCGCGGCAATGACCGTTGCATAGGGACGCAGACCGCCACCCAATTTTACCAAGCCTCCAAGCCACCCGTCCGTCCTGGCTCAGGGGTATTATTATGGACCAAGTATTATTTTGGCTCCCCATGGTCAGCCCTTGGAGCACAATTGACCCACCCGAAATACTATTGATAGCCTTTTTGACTCCTTTGCTTTCCTACTTGTCGCTGGACGCCCAACGCCTATGTACTCTAAAATTGGCTGGAAGGCGCCATTGGAACGCTGGGCGTCCCATCGACACTCCATCGCTGCCTTCTCAATTAAAATCTGACAGGCGAACGGACGGTCGTGAAGTCAGTGCTGACCGGATCGGAGAAAAGAAGGAAAAAAGACGCAACCAGGAGTCAATATTATTCCTCTCCCAGTTCCTCTCCTTGCATCAGCTTACAGGCGAAAAGCCAAGTGGTTACATTGATGGATCAGTCCCTTTCAATATTACCTCGGTACTCTCGCGACAAAATCCTCTTCTCTCCTTAACCAGAAGTGATACAATCTGCCTTGAGGCTGGACGATGCCTTCTCATCCCAGTCCTCTTGTTGATCCAGAAGGAACCAGCTGTACTGTGGGGACATGGATTTTCAAAAGAAGAAAAGGAAGAAATGCTCCTCCAAACAACATGATTGGCAATTCATGGCGGCGATAAGTGGGTGAATGGGGAAACTAGCTCCTTTCGAGGAATTCACTCGCAGCAATGTGCAGGCCCCACTGCCCACAACAATGCATTCAAGATAATACTAACAAGCGAACCATCATCATGGTGGATTTGGGGTGGATTGACTCCTCAGGCCAGAAGCCAACCGCCCACCTACCCGGCAGCCTTATGAGATCTGTGCAACGAGTGGTCCCCAAAGAAGACGGGGAAACCACACAAACATTGTCCTCACAGGTCAGATGTCTCAGTGCCCTTGGACAATCGCCACGCTGGTGCAGTGCAGTGGAAACTTGTCAAGTGGAGAGAGGATTCTCCAAGATCCCGCCCCAACACGTGCATCCAAAAATCGTGGCCCGCAACACCCGTGAGCCAAGAATGTCGATCTTCCACCTCAAAGAGGTAACGTCTCATGCTGATCCGGGGAAGATCGACAGGTGCAAAAGCAGAGCCGCGGGTTGGCTACTTGTAGTGTGTTATATAAAACTTACGGTGCCTGCGAGATGCTCCTCAACTTGCCATGGCCCGTTGGCATCTTGAGGATCTTTACAGCGCCAAGATGGATCAGTGTATGCATACGCGTGCATCTCTCTACCAGTCCACGTCAAATCCACTCTTTTACCATCAGTGGATTCGTGGGAAAGAGGATAAGCACAAACGGGCACACCCCGTCCTGCATGTCCCGTTGCTCCCACGCATTCTCGCCCGATGGTAGCCTCTGGCCGTTCTGAATAAACCTCTTCCATCCGTGACACAACCTGCACACGTTTTCCTCCTCGGCTGTGACATGGCGGGTGTGCCCCGATGCTCAACGTCACATTGTCAAAGGGGCTTTTGTCTCGATAATCTTAACCAATCTGTTTCCAAGCAATGGTTTTTATCTTTGTTTTCGCTTTCTCAAATCACCACGAATTCAACAAAGAGCGAGTTTATCGCGATCTTCAGGAACTTGGTTCGGCCCCAATTTCCCCCGGTCCGCAGATTTGGCCGCATGCAACTCCGCGTAAGATTCGTTTTCCTCCAACTTTTTCGTCCGATATCCTCCGCACATAATACCGAAAGCACGTGTGTCGTCTCTTGAAAGCACCCGGGGTTTCTCTTCTGTCGAGGCCGAGACAAGTGCCAATCGACAAGTAATCATTCATGTTTACGCATAACCTGAGGGAGCCGTGGGACAAATACACACATTGGTCGTTATGGGCAGGTAGTCTACGATGGAAAATGGCCCCGAAAAGACACCGGGCGGATAAATAGAACGTATATGATATATATACATACAGTCTAGGCTCATATTCATTACCAAACAGGAAGAGGAAACAAGATCTCTATTACCTCCGTTTATTACAAAAGGATTGAAGAGCTGCGATGGCATGGTGAAGAGGAGGGAAGGATATTATAGAACATACAAAAAGAATGAATTTCGCAACAGGACAAAAAAAAAAACGCCACAACATGCAACTTTCAATGGTCGTCCTCCATATTTTCAGAAAGAAAAAGAACCCGATTCTGGCGCGGGAAGAGATAAGGAAAAGTTAGGTGGAGAGTAGAAGAAAGGAAAAATACAAGATATGTACCCTGAGAAGGAGAAAGCATGAGAGAGTGTGTAAAGGAGTAGGAAAATATTAGAGAAAGAAACAAGATCCGAGGACCAAGGTCGCTGGATATGCCCGGGACAGGAGAATGAGATGGTGCGCGAGGACCTCCATCACCTCTTCTCCAAGCTCTGCAAGTTCACCAGCTCGGCGTACCGGCCATTCTGCTTCATCAACTCCGCGTGCGTACCCCGCTCCACGATGCGACCCTGGTCAAAGACGTAAATAACATCCGCCTTTTGAATCGTGCTGAGCCGATGCGCCACGGCAATCGTGGTACGGCCGCGGGCCGCCTTGTCGAGCGCGGCCTGCACGACGTGCTCGCTCTCCGAGTCCAAGGCCGAGGTGGCCTCGTCGAGGAGGAGGATGCGGGGATCGCGAATGAGGGCGCGGGCAATGGCGATGCGCTGCTTCTGGCCGCCGGAGAGGAGAGCGCCCTTGGACCCGACGAGGGTGTTGAAGCCCTCGGGCAGGGAGAGGATGAAGTCGAGGATGTTGGCCTCGCGGCAGGCGTGCTCGACGGCGGAGTCGGGGACGTCGTCGCGGGGAGCCGAGGAGGATGTTGTCGCGGATGCTGCCCTGGTAGAGGGTGGGTTCCTGGCTGACGAGGGCGATGTGGGCGCGGTACTGCATGACGTTGAGGGTGCTGATCTCCTTGCCGTCGACGTAGATGCCGCCGGCGAGCGGGTCGTAGAAGCGCTCGAGGAGGGCGACGGTGGTGGACTTGCCGCAGCCCGAGGCGCCGACGAGGGCGACGTACTGGCCGGGGCGGACGTCGAGGTTGAGGCCGCGCAGGACGGGCTGCTCGGGGCGGGTGGGGTAGCGGAAGTGGACGTCGCGGAATTCGATGGCGCCTTCCACCGACTCGATGGGGCTGCCCTGCTCGGACCACGTGTCGATGGCGGGCTTGCGGTCGAAGAGGGTCTTGAGCTCGGCGGCGGCGTGGTGGGCCTTGCCCATGTCGGGCGCGAAGGAGAAGATGGAGCCCGCGGACTGGGCGCCAAAGATGACGGCCGAGAAGCACAGGAAGAACTGGAACATGTCGTACTCGTACTTGGCGATCAGGGTACCGCCGTACCAGAAGCCGAGGGCAAAGGCCAGGAACATGAAGGACTGCGAGGCGGCGTAGAGGAGACTGGACTTGAGAACGGAGATCAAGCTGGCGCGTTGCTGGCGGTCGAGCGAGGCCTTGTACTGGGCGAGGACGTCGGCCTCGCGGGTCAGAGAGGCCACGGTGCGGATGGCGGAGATGGCCTCGGAGGCGTAGGTGGCCGAGTCGGCGTACGCCTTCTTGGAGCGGCGCTGGAAGTGCGCGAGCATATAGAAGCGGAAGAAGCCGCAGCCGAGAAGGACGGGGATGGTGGCCGCGCAGACGAGCGACAGCTTCCAACCGATGGCGATGGAAAGCGCGAGGGCGGTGATGAGCGTGGTCAGGACCATGAAAATGGTTCCGAGGGTCACGCCGGACAGACCCGCGACGTGGGTGGTTTCGGTCGAGAGGAAGGAAGTGAGGGCACCAGCCGTGTTCTCGTCCCGGTCGAAGAAGGAGACGTCCTGACGGAGCATGGTTCGGAACGCCTTGTCACGAACGCGGTGGACGAGCCTCTCGGAGCACTTGGCGAAGAGGACACCCTGGACGGCGAAGGCGATGAACTGGATAAAGGCAAGCATGAGGTACATGGCGCTCCAGAAGTCGGAATCCTTCTTGACCTGGTGCTCGTTGGCGGGGGTGATGGGGACGGCGAGGGTAACAATCTGCTTGGCAAAGAAGAGAGCCTGGGTCGGGTTGCCGCCACCGCAAATGATGGTGAAGGCGCAGGCGACGACCATGAGCCACACCTCTGGCTTGTTAAACGAGGCAATGAGCTTGATCAACGTCCAGAGGCCGTACTTCTTCTCCTCCTCGGGCGTCTTGCCCTGGAGGGCAACGCTCGAGGCGGACTTGCTGGTGGTGGTCTTGTTGAGCTTCTCGAAGGCGTCGTCGGGGTCAACGGCGGGTCCCGAGTTCCTGGTCGACATCTTTCGAATGAGTTCATTTTGGTGGTCATCAATCGCAGCTTCCTCCTCGGCGGAAAGTTCCTTGACGGCGGCAATGTTCTGGGCCGTCACAAGCTTATAGTAGGCGCCGCGGCTCTCGAGAAGATCGTTGTGCGTTCCCTGCTCGATGATCTTGCCTTCCGACATGACGACGATGTTGTGGGCGTCCTTGATCGTGGAGAGTCGGTGAGCAATGGTGATGGTGGTCCTGCCCTCGGCAGCCACTTCGAGCGGCTTGCACAACACCCTCGGACTTGGTGTCAAGGGCGGAGGTGGCCTCGTCGAGAAGGAGAATCTTGGGATCGGAAACGATGGCGCGGGCAATGGCGATGCGCTGCTTTTGGCCACCAGAGAGCAAGAAACCGCGCTCACCAACGTGAGTTTCGTAGCCGTCGGGAAGAGTCGAGATGAAGTCGTGGGCATTGGCCTTCTTGGCAGCCTCCTCGATGAGCGATCGCTGTACATCCTCGGACGAGTGTTCGTGCTTGGTGCCGATAAGACCGTAGCGGATGTTGTGGTAGATGGTTGTGCCGAAAAGGGTAGGCTCTTGCTGCACGAGGGAAATCTGCTGTCGGAGCCAGCGCAGGTTCAGGTCCTTGACATCCTGGCCGTCAATCAAGACGGCGCCCTCGACGGGATCGTAGAAGCGCTCCACTAGACCGACAATGGTGGACTTTCCGGAACCAGAGGCACCGACCAGGGCAGTCGTCTTTCCGGCAGGGATGGTCAACGAGACGCCGTCCATGACAACGACCTCGGGGCGGGAGGGGTAGATGTGCTTGACATTCTGGAGGCTAATGGTACCCTCAATCTTCTCGGGCTTCACGCCCTCGTCGTTGGTAGGGTCAAGGGGAGATACACGATCGATGGTGTTGAAGATCTTGGCAGCCGCGCCGAGCGCGGTAACAAACGCCTGGGAGTTGGGGGCGACGTTGCCGACGTTGAACGCACCAATCATGACGGCAAGCATAATGGTGAGGATGCTGGACAGCGAGGATTCGCCGTTGACGATGAACTTGGAGCCCATCCAGAAAGCCAGGCCGTAGTTGAGGTACAGGATAAGCATCATGCCCGAGACCATGACACCAATGGCGGCCTTGACTTTGAAGCCAAAGAACTCGGCACGGGCCAGATGGGAATCGTACTGCCTCGCGAGGCGGTCCTGGGTACCAAAGGCGATGGCGTTGCGGACGGAGCTAATGACCTCCTCAGCAAGGCTGCCGCCCTCGGCGTACGCATCCAGGGACTGCTTGTTGTACTTGAGAATGAATCTGGAGCCAGCACCCATGTTGAGGACCAGGGCAACGACGGTGGACAACAGAATCAAGGTAAGCTTCCAGTATTTGACAAAGCCTATGTGACGACAGCGGGGGTTAGCAAAGGTAGATGGGACGCAGAATTGGGGGAGGGGGGACGTACCGATAACAAAGGCCGAGACAAAGGTGGCCAGGGCCATGAGAGTGATGCCGACTTTCTCGGAGATGCCATCCTGAATGAGGTTGGTATCGGCTGTGATGCGAGTAGTAACCTCACCAGCGCCGAGCTTATCGAAAAATCCAATGTTCTGCCTCATGCAGCTCTCGAGGTAGTGCTCGCGAATCTTGGCGCTAATATGTTCACCAGTATCTGAAAAGCGTGTAATAAGAAGTGGTCAGCACGGCTGCACGGTCCAGGGTAGACAAACATGTTACACCAGGTTGGCAGGGATTGAGGCTCGAGACGACCGAGGGCCAGCGGATGAGGAATTTCCCGGTTACGTGATTGCGATGGAGCAATAAAGCCAGGAATGTATGAAGGTAGGATGTGTCCGGCAAAGTCCAAGCCAATCGGTTGATAACAAGGAGGACACAAAAGGGGAGAAAAGAGACAAGTCAAGCCAAACTTACAAATGAAACCGACGGTAGAGATATAGACGCAGATCTATCGAAACATTATTTGCATTAGCATTGAGTCTTGGCATTCCCAGTGCCTGGGACAAATGGGTGACGAAGGTGGGGTGAGAGAGCAAAGCAAAAGAACATAGGTTCAATCGTGAATTAATGCGAGAGGCAAATGCACGATGAGAAATCAAACAATTCAGGCGCGCTAGGAGATAACTTACGAATTCGCCGATGGCCAAGTAGACAAAGTACAGGATCAACTTGACAATCTCGTCCATGAAATCGTCGTAGGTCATGGCCGTTCCCGGGGTAAAATAATCTTGAAACGTCCCCTGCAAGCTGCCAAACAGCACCGTCATCAAAGGCAGCGCAGCACCCGAGGCGATGGCGGCGAGGGCGGACACGGCCATGATGGCCAGGTCGGCGGTCGAGGAGTAGCGGTACAGGGCGGCGATGCCAGCCTTGACATCAGGCGTGACAACTTGGCGCTTGAGGATTTCGGCCTCGTGGGGAGGGAGGTGGGCGTACACATCGTCGGGGTTGTCTTCCTTCTTGTCGACGAGTCTCGTGTCGACCTTTTTCAGGTCGACGCCCTGCTTGCTGGAGGGACGTTGCCGTTCCGCAGAAGTCTTGCCGGCGGCAGGCGACTCGATGGCGTCTTTTTCGCCTTCGCCAGAGTGTTTCTTCGAGGGAGGGTTCACGTCGGTGGTGGTGGAACCATCGCGACTCGAGCGGGAGGTCGAGCTCGGCTTGGGCTCGACGCCCTTCTCGGGGTCGGTCGCCATTTGCACGCGGTATATCAGGAATCCAAGCTACCGGGGATTGGTGCGCAACAAAGGGGAGTCGCGGGCGAGAGTTGGTCCTTCAGTCCAGGTTTGGAGAGAGGAAGGGAAGGAAAAGAAAAGAAAAAGAAAAAAGGTGGCAACGGCGAAAACAAAAGCTTGCGATGTTTTTGACTGATAAAAAGTGCGACCGTGCTATTGTTGGCAGACAGACCAGACCAGACCAGACTAGACGGGGGTGGACCTTCCCTGGAACCAGAAGAATACAAATAAAAGTAGACGCCCTAAACAGGTTCCGCTGTGGGGAACTCGATAATAATCAATGGCAATACAACCCCAACTCACTTTTGCGAATGCGGCGATGGGAGGAGCGGAGAGAATCCTCGGGGGAACTAGTCCAGTTGAGGAGATAGGGACCGGATTTAAGGGACCCTGTGCCAAGTCGGCTAGTGATGGGGACGGGGAAAGGTAGGATCAATTGATGGGACTTGGAAGGACAGGCCACACAGTTGACGACAACCCCCACTTCCTGTTGTTATTGGGCCTTGCTCCCAATCTGGAGAAAGAACAAAGTGGGCTCTGAGGAATTTGAGGAAGAACGTGGCGTTGAAGAAAGGCGAGGGGAGATGAGCGAGAAAAGAAACGATGATTCAGAGCAGTCGAGAGGGCCCTTTTTTGAAATGGGCAGAACAAGCAAATCTCTTCGTTTGAAGATTTGCGCCGGCAGAGTCTTTGGGCGTCGCTTTACGATGGCAGATGGCAGATGGCAAGAGAGAGAAGAGACAGGTTGCGAGAGAATTGGCAGATCGCCCAGAGGGATAAATACTACTCAACAATCATAGAAGAAGTCGTCGATGTTTTCCAATGCTCCAAGTAAGGGGGTTCGACTGGCAATAGTTATAATCTCGGAATAGCCCGCTCGTTTGGGAAAACGAGGTTTACGACTTGCCAGTGGTACGGATTTGGCGTGGGCCAAAAAAGAAGAAGAAAAATCTGGACGTCTACCACAAAGTACTTTGATTGTCGAGGGGTCCCGTCTCCCCTGCGGCAAGGCTCGGTTCGGGACATGAAAGCGACACCGCGACAACATGCACACGGCAGCAGTGACGAGGAAAGAGGTACTTTGCATCCAGATCCACTCTCCACTGGCGGACGCGAGATGTGCGACTTTCTGTCCCTGCCGTGTCGGAATTCCACCTCTTGCTCCTTTTCCAAGAATCCGGTCGTGCGTCTGCGCTTCCCCGCGTGCCGCCGTCAGAGTCATCCCCCAACCTAGGCAGCAGCTTTTATCGCATCCAGGGCTCCTGACAAATCTCCCTCGAGACGCCCTTCTGGAAATTCTAAACAAAAAAGATAGGGCAATCTTGGAAAGACACGTCATGTCAGCGATCTTCGTGCAGGTCGAGAAAAGGCCAAGGAAGGACGGAAGAGCCGAAAGCTTCCGTTGGCCGAATGCGCCATGAGGAGATCCCTCGCTTTGTTTTTGCCTAGCTCGGTCGGTTCCGGTTCTTCGCCTCCGGGACCTTGATGGAGAAGGGGGAAGGGAAGGGGGGGGATGGGCGCCACGCGGTGCACAGCCCAAAAGTTTGCCCCATCAAGGAGAGAGTGGATTGGGCCCGCAATTCCAAAATCCATCCACAATGGATCTTCAATTTCACTTTCAAGCCCCCTGCGCTCACTGAGTCGCCCCCCCAGCCAAAGCGGATCGAATTCAAGCGTTCCTCAAAACTCTTGAAGAGTCGCTGTGCGCAATTCGTCCATACTCAGTTCTCCGGCCTCTATTTGTGGGAGAAGGGGATATGGGAAGACAACAAGATGATCAAGAAGAGGTCTGGGGGCAGATAGAGACTCTTGTGCCAAACAGGCATTGATCCTCAGCGGCCCTCGTCAACTGAGACGTGAAAGCGACCGGTAACAATCGGGAATACTTCCACAACAAACGAAATGCTGCTGGGAAACCCTGAGTAGTGTATCGGAACATCCCCAAGTCAAAAAGAAGAGCGGATGTGAGAAACAGTGAAATCGAGTTTCAGGGCCATAGGTCTGAACGACTGTCCCCATAGTACTGGTGCGTGCCACCGCCCGCCGTCGGGATTTTGAGGCGCCCGAAACCCCGCTGGACAAAAACCGGTCCGGAATTCCCGACGGGTTTGACTGGCCAAAACACTGGATAGAAAGAACAAATCACAAATGAAGGAGCCATGCAAATTCCACGGGCCCCATCGCTCGCTTCAAGGAGCCCTGTCCAACGCAACCAATGCGAACCAATGCGAACCAAAATGGAAGGCCCCATCATAATGATCAGCCCAGGGTAACGAGCTGCACGACCTTGAATTGTGGAAACCCCCTTCCCCTTGCCCCCAACTCTTTCCAGCGGAGTTCAGTCGCGCATCTTATCTCGCGCTTCCAATGAAGCGACCCGCCGATGTACAAGTACGAGCTAGAAGTACCTCTGGCAAAGTTCCAGACGAAGTTCCAGGCAAAGTTCCAGGCAGGAGCTCGCATTTCTCGCATCGAAAAGCCCAATCTGTCTTGCCCCACCCTCTTTTTTTCCAATGACGACGAATCTCTTCCTACCCGCTACCCGAACTCCAGCGAACTTGAGCGCAAAGCTTGGCACACAATGTATGAAGTCTATTGTGCGCCAGAAGACGCTGCGATCGAACAGCATCCCAACGGTTTCTTCCATCGAGGCCATGACCCGGATATGTCAACCATCCAATTTTTGATGGGTGCGTCAAGAAATGGATTATCGATGCATAGAAGCATGTACTTGTAAGCTTGAAGCTTGAGCCCGAGCCCTACGAGGATCCCGCCAACCATGTCATTCTCTTTGTGAGGGTTGAATTACCCGGCGGCCAGGCACCAGTCTTGCACTCCGTGATCCGTGATGTCACAAGGCTCCCTGCCTAGAGAAGATTTGAAAGAAGAAAAAAGATACATTGCCTGTATCCTTCTTTGCCTACATGTAGCAGTAGAAAACTGCCGATCGCACTCTGAATTTGTTCGGGCTTCTAATAGTGTACGCTACTGATTACTATTGCACCTCTCGAGCCTTGATGCAAAATTGTACAAGTCGCACCCCCTAGTCCCCTAGTCCGCCACAAAGCCTCGTTGTGGGGGCAAGCTGACGCACTGGCTCTGCTAAGTGTACTGGCCTTTTCTCATTTATTGATCGATGGATCAATCCAGTGGATCCATTGGATGCGGGGAGCACACTCACGGCGCCGATACGCCGGCCGGGTACCAATGTCGGACAGGCCAATGTTTTGGGAGTGCGACCCCAATTTTTTGGATGGGAGAGTGCACACTGAAATTACTGTGTTGGTATTACCTCGGGCTTCAGATTGAGCCAACGGTCCCGAGTCCGGGATTCGAAGTCACTGGACCGGAATTCAACCCACCACGAAATGAGGCACACATGCGGCAACGTGATCCATCCAGCTTACGAGTTGGATGTACATGTTTTTTTTTTTTTCGGCGGCAGCACTGCGCGGGAGGGTGGGATCAGGCTGATACGAAGCAGTTCCGCGTACCTCAGTACTGGGCATGATCATTTCCAAATTCCAGAGCAGCCCTGAGCGGGAAGGGGGTTGGAAAGAGAAGAAAACACAGGAAAGCCTACTTGTAAAACTCGCACTTCTCACGCGCGTTGCCGCTTTTCCGGAACCCATGGTTGAATGGCGCGGAAAATAACACATTCGGAAGAAATTGAGTCATGTCGGGGAGAGCGCAAATCGCCGACCACAAGGTACCAGCCCAATAGAATGGGGCAGGGTGCTAATTGACACGAGTGGACCCGCCAGCCTTCAACTCAAAATGTGCTCGGTGTGCAAGGCTCTCCGAATCAATGTCCTTGTGCTTGTATGACGACGCAATACTGTCCAACACGATACCGTTTCCTGGGGTGGGAGCCTCCATTCGAGAACGAGATTGATAGGGCCTGTCGATTCCGGTGTGTGTGTGTGTGTGTGTGTGTGTGTGTGTGTGTGCGTCAAGGAGGGTGCATGTGCACCTTGACTCTGTGCGCGTGTACTCGATTATACGCAGTTTGCGTGTGGGTGTTGTCGTTCAAGCTAGTCCGGTATCTTATTCTTATCCACGTTGCCGCAAGACAGGTGTCAATGGCCTGTTCCTTACCCGCCTGAGAAGCGCCATCTGAAAACGGAAACCCATGCTTCAGGAGATGGATCCATGGATGACTGCAGCAATCACTTTGGGATTTGAAAAAAGAAATAGAAGCATAAAATGATGAGAAGAATAAGAATTATCTGGAAAAGAAGGAAAGGGACTTGCTGTCAAGGATGACACCGTCTTGAGGATACACTAGCAGCAGCTTAAAACAAGTCGCATTCATCCTCACTTCCATGGTTTCCGTAGGGAAGAAAGTGGTGAAGAAATAAATCTCGATCCCTTGAAGAGGAAGCCCCATCCTAAATAACCCTTTTTCGTCAAACCGCCTGTCGCATCAACATCCGATTCCCCTCATCGATGGTCCTTCCAGCAACCTCGGGCGAAACAAAGACTTTGGTCAGTTCGAACATGTGCCCTGAATGATCCATCCTCCCTCTCCCACGCCACGCGGGTTTTCCTGGTCCTGCCCCTGCCCTGCCCGTTGGCGCAAATGAGGAAAATCCAGGCCCGGCAACCTACTTGTAGATCCGGCTTATGCTTCTGCCTAACCCCGAAACCGAAGGGATATTCCTTCCTCGTCGGAAAATGCCAAGGTTTTTCTTCTTGTCGGGGATATCAGGGTTGACTAATACAGTTTTTTACGCCCTTTGCACGGCGGCACAAGCTCGACGAATCTTTCCCCCTGACGTGCAGGCCAGCCATGGCTGCTTTTGCCCCCTCCCTCGTGCCGAATTGATGACAGCCCTACGACACCAAGCTCGTTTAGCCTTCGCATTCCGTATCCTCGCAGCTTTCCATTGACCTCCGCGAGACAAAAACCTGGCGCTGGGCGAGAGAGAACCAGTCCTCCTTGGCGACCGCACACTGCACGCACAAGCACGCACGCACTCACGCACAAGCGCGATACTCGAGGGGAGGGGTTCTCCACCACCCGACCGTTCGTTGAACTTTGACTCCAATAGAAGGAGAATAGGGGAGTATATATAAAAAAATATAAAAAATAAACCGGTGGAAGCAGGGGAAAAAAGGATAATGTCGTCGCCTTCCGTTACGACGGGGAGCAGTGATAGCCCCGACGACCAGGCCGTCTTCGCCGAGACCTTTCTCCTCGGTGGCGCGTCCGACTTGCCGACACTCGAGGCCCTTCGCAGTCCCGGCCACGATATCCGGAAGAAGCGGGCTCATCGGAAAAGTCGGTGGGGTTGCTCGGCATGCAAGCGCCGGAAAGTCAAAGTATGTTTTGCTATCTTATATCCCAGCCTGAGGGACCGAGACACAACCCATGAATGATATCTTGGCTTCTTTCCTCTGCACTAACACCCCCTTGTCCCCCTCTCTCTCTCTCTCTCTCTCTACCCCCTTCCCCGTGCACGTCGATAAACACGGGGGCAAACACAGCACTTATACCTATCCGTCGACGTACATACGCATTCGTTCTCTCGCGCTCTCGCTCTCTCGCGCTCTCTCTCTCCCTCTTCATTTGCCCCCGCTGTACCAGAACTAGATATTCTCCAATCCAATCATGGTCACCCATACGATCGGCACCATATCCCTCAGATTCCCCATGTCTCTCTTTTCGTCATTTTGGCGGCCTTTCCTCTACTAGCCCGGGAGGCGCGTCGCTTGCAAACGGACAGAAATGATATTGATGCTTTTGCTATCCATGTATTAGTGCGATGAGAAGGCACCATGCGGGAACTGCGTCAAGCGCCGCGAGAACTGTTCGCTCGTCGACCATCAACTCGCGAGTAACGCCGCCAGCCTCTCGTTAGTTGTACCGCCGCCACCGAGTTCGGCACCGGGCGTGGATTCGACGGTGAACCTTTGCACATGGAGCTTTTCTACCATGCGTTCCACACCACCATCCCAGGCCTCACCTTGTACAAGGAAATTTGGACCGACCTCATGAAGTTGTCCTTCCAAGTAAGCGAAACTCTCTTTCCTAGAAGGCAATGATAACTGCCAATCGCCCCCTCGCCCCTTCATGAATCGTTCTGACACCAGACGGGCTGCAAGTCGGAATACCTCGTCAACGCCATGCTCGCCATGACGGCACAACACCTGAGCGTATCACACCCGGAAATACCCCGCTACCAGGAGGCGGCCATGGTCCTCCTCGCCAAGTGCTGCGCCGAATTCCGCCACGTCCTCGACTTGGAAATGACGGAAGAGAACAGGGACCAAGTCTTGGGCACCGGCATACTCATCCACTACCTGTGCTGGTGCGACACGAGCTTTCTCGACGGCCAGCAGCGCAACCTCGACGGCACCTACAGACAGCTCGACCTCTCCCAGGACCGGCTGTTCCTCCTGTCCGAAGGCGTGCGCCACGTCCGCTTCCTCTCGTGGCAGCTGTCCAACCCCGAGGGGAGCATCTTTTGGAAGCTCGTCATCGAGAAAAAGTGCGCCGTGCTCCGCGAGGTATTCATGCAGTGCGGCCTCGACTACGCCCGTCTGCGACCCAGGGTGATTGCGCTCTACGACGATCCGCGGTTTATCGGCAACGGACGCGACGACTCATCGGCCACCTCGGACAACGCCGCGCCGGGGACGGCGAAACCGGCGGTGCCGGGATCCCGCGAAGGGCTCCCGTTCTGGACCGTGCCGTGCACCCACCTCTTCTCGGACGCGCACATCCTCTCCATCCTTGCGCTGCAGGTCCCGCCCGCCGATAACGACAAGAACCCGGTCGAGCAGAAACTCTACGATCGTCTTTCCTTTGAAATCGTGGCCGATCGCATCTCGCTCATCATCCACCTTACCCTACTTCGAGAAGCGGAAAAGGCGGAGGGAGCCCGAAGCTGCTGGATCTGAGTAATGTCCGGTTACGGTCCGAGGTCGAGCGGTGCTTCCTCTCCTTCCCCTGATCGCGTATAGACCCTTTCACCAGCTCATCTGCGCGGGGATTCGAGGGCGTTTGTCATCCTGTTCTTCTTCTACCGCGCCGTCCGGACGATTTCGCCGGATATTCCAAATGCGTGGTGGGCGAGGGAGAGGGGATACTGATGGAGGATTTGCTCCGGAAAGAATTGCAGAACAGAGGCCTGTGGGAAACCTTACGGGAACTCGACTTTGGGCCGATGGACTGACGAGGTTTCTTCTTTCCTTTTGTCCTTGCTGTCGGTGCATGGCGCGGTTTCCCTATATATATGCACGCACTAAGGAATTTAGCCAGCGTGGTGGATGTTTTGTTATTCTGTATGACATATGATACCCCTCTCCTCCCTTCTTCTTACTCCTAAATCATCTCGGAACCATCTCCACACCGCCAAGGAAACGGTATAACCAGGGAGCCTCATATAACCGATCGGATATAGGGTGTCTTCCGGATTCTCTCCACTTCAAGAATATATAGAAAACAGAAATCTTCTTAAATCCATCTGAATCTTCTCATAAGGCACAAGAGTCACAGGGCACAAGAGAGGGAACGGGGGACACAGCCATGAATACCTAAGCAGTTAGGAGCTTGGGCGGAGGCACGGATGTCCATTCAAGGTTTTCGGGTCGAATAGTGGCCGGTGCTGAAAAACCAGTCTACCCAGTTTTCCTCGATGCAAGACAAGCTAACGACCAAAAGGGGAAGCTCATGAAGTTTGTGTGGTGGGTGTGGTGGGTGGTGGTGTGTTGCAGAGGTGGTTCGGCCATTGATGGCTTTGGTCGGCCTAGTTTCACAGTGTATAATTGGTGTCTCTTGGCACAGTCTCTAGCTTTCACCGTAAGCTGCGATGGACCAGGCGAGATCAGGAACGCAAAAGTCAAAAATGACCCGAGCTTTGCGCCCCCAGTTTCGATCCGTCGCCAAACCCCGAACCTGGCCACATCAGCCAGGTCTGACTACATACTCTATGTAACCACTCCGCCGCCACTTCCCTCCCTCCCCAGGTTCTTCCCGTTTGAACTCAATCAACGTTCCTCAGTTGGACAATCGCCAAAAGGGAAAATAATCGTTCCAAAATATTGTCGCCCCATAATTCTCTCTCCAGGAATACAACAATGGCAAAGAGCGCAAAATGGCTGGCCGAGGTCGAGGAGGAATTCGACTTCGGCTTGGACCTGGTGGACGAGTTTGATGCACTGTGAGTCGATAATTACCAATCCTCGGATCTGATTGAGCAGAGGTGCTCAACGAAAAACCCCCAAAAGTAGCCACTCGCCGAAGCTCTGTGTCGGCGAGGGCAAGCAAAATCAATTTGATATTTACTAATTGGATGCCTTTGCAGACTTGTCAATGTGACCAGCGAGGAAGAAAAGCTGGCTGCTCTTGGAAAATTCCCAGGTAGGTTGTGGCTCTCCATTGAGCTCCCCGCAACCCCCCTTTTCCCCACCGCCAGCTTGGAGCTTGGAACCTGGCTTGCTGGGCATCGCATCGAAATCTGAGCTCCCGTCTGCTTTTGCGCGTAGCTAATCCCTCTTCCCAGCGAAACTTCACGCAAGAAAGGTCGCTGCCGAATTGTCATCTCAACATGAGGTCTCCTCCGGCCTCATCTATCTCTCCGGAGAGCCCTCCTTGACCTACGAGGATTCGGACCAAGCCCCTCCCTTCCGTCAACGTCGATAGTATGCGTCCCTCTCCCCCCTCTCCTCCCCGCGCCCCGTGCACCTCCGAATAGAATCCAGCTAACGTTGGCAACCGTTGTTCAATCACAGCTTCTACTACCTCAGCGGGGCCAACTTTGCCGACTGCGCGGTGACTTACGATATCAAGACGGACCACCTCGTTCTATGGATTCCCTACATCGAGCCGCGCAAGGTCCTGTGGTATGGCTTCACGCCCGGCCCCGAGGAGTGTCGCGCCAAGTCCGATGTCGACGACGTCCGCTACATTGACGGGATGAAGGAGTACATTGCCCAGCGCCTCCTCTACGGCTCTGCCGACACCCTCTACCTCCTCCACGCCAACCATGCCCCACCCCTTTCCGCGGATACCCGCCCCAAGGTCCGCATCGATGCCTCTTCCCTAAGGCCCTGCATGGATGCCGCCCGTGTCGTCAAATCCGACTACGAGGTCGCCATGATCCGCAAGGCTAATGCAGTCTCCTCCGCCGCACACCGCCGAGCCGCCGAGCTTCTGTCCACCTTCAAGAACGAGCGCGAGATCGAAGCCGTCTTCCGTTCCACCTGCGCTCTCCGTGGCGCCAAGAACCAGGCATACCCCGTCATCGCTGGCTCGGGCGAGAACGCCGCCACACTACACTACGAGGATAACGATGAGGATCTCAAGGGCCGGCAGCTCGTCGTCATTGATGCCGGCTGCGAGTGGGACTGCTATGCGAGCGATGTGACCCGCACACTCCCCATCTCCGGACGCTTCTCGGACGAAGCTGCTGAGATTTACACCCTCGTCGACAAAATGCAGAGGGAATGCATCTCCGCCGTCCGGCCAGGCGTTCTGTACTACAAGCTTCACCTACACGCGGCTGCCGTTGCGCTCGTCGGCCTCATGAGGTTGGGAATCCTCGGTAACGGAACTGTCGGCCAAATCTGGAGTGCTGGTACCATCGCTGCCTTTTTCCCTCATGGATTGGGCCACCATATCGGTCTCGAGGTTCATGATGTTACCGGCAGGGACAGACTCTTGCTCCTTGAGGGCGGCGAGAGTGACGGCGACGCCAAGGATACCTCTGCCACGGACGTGGGAGGCACAGGCGAGCGAAGCGGCAGTTGATCACACCAGAAATTATGCTGTCCTTTGCTCCCACTGCGAACCCGCCTCCTTACAAGGGTCGCCAGCGCCTAGAGAAGAACATGATTGTCACAATCGAGCCTGGCATGTAAGTCACCCCTATGGAGCTATCCTCCCATCTTCTCAACCTTGGACATCCTATCTCTCTCGCACCTTTACGCGCGCTCCCATACACTCTACAGAGCACTCGCAATCGATACCATACTGACAATCTCTCAGCTACTTTTGCCGTGAGTACATCGAGGGCTACGTCCTCAAGACGGAACCGCATTGCCGCTACATCAACAAAGATATGCTAGAAAAGTACTATCCCGTCGGTGGCGTCCGCATCGAGGACGACATTTTAGTCACCGAAGACGGCTATGAGAACCTTACCGATGCTCCTAAAGGCGAGGAACTGTTTCGCATCATCAACGGAAAGGCGTAACGCTTCCCTCGTCTAATCAATGTTTCTCCTTCTTCATCTCTTCTCTGGAGTACATCCAATCAAGAAGGAAGAATGGAGAAAAGAAAGAGTTGGCATAATACCGCCAGGATAATCTCTTTCCCCTACCTTTAACCTCTTCACTTTTACCCCACAACTTCCCGCGCCCCTCTCCTCCCTCACCTCAAGGGGCGCTCCCTCCCTAGTTGGGAACACCATAATCATCCACGCAAACACCTCCACGTCAGTAGCAAGCCGATACGGGCTTCAAGCTACTGAAAAGCGGGAACAGCAGCACACCGAATGCGGTGAAGCCTAAGGCAAAAAGAGTGATCTTTGACCCATAGCGCCAAGGTCGATGGCTAGATAAAGTGAGTACGGAAGCAAATCAAGGTTGCTCACCTACCCAAGTGGAGTTAGTATAAAAGAAGAAAAGGACGTTTTCGCGTGAAAACGAGCCGGAGAGTAGTAGGCTTTTAAGCAGTCTACAGATGGAAGAAAAAGCAAAAAGCAAAAGCAAAGATGTCATGTATCGCGACCCAGGAGAAGGACCCTCAGGGATCCGAGCGCTTTCGTCGCTTGCGGAGATCGGGTGCCCCGTGGTGGAATACTATTCTGGGAACATGATGGAGAGAATACATGTACGTTTGTGGAGAGAGGGCTACCTTGCTCCAGATGAAAGGATTTGGGTCAACAGCAACAACTTCCTGTTAGTCTTGAGGTTTGACGGAGCATAGCGCTGTTTGGAATGTTAGTTTTGGGGGCGGCGCATCGTTAGGTGGCTTTCAATACATCTATACTCCCGGGATGGTTTACCCACCACTCTGTGTCGCTTCTTTCGTGATATACTTCAGGAGCAAGAAATAAAGACATTAGAAGTGGCCGTGGCGGTATACACTATTATAAGCATCACATCGACAAGCGCTCGAGCACGACAAAGATACTACATGCAACAGTCTGAGAGAGATGATATTTAAGAACGAGCTTCATGTTCCAACAAACCCGCTCCACCGCTTCCTACATTCGCCGTCCTGACATAAAAACATCAACTTCACCTCGTAGATAGACTATAGACAGATGGGTAGAGGGAGAGAGAGAGAGAGAACAACACATCCCACCAAAACGCCTCGTTGCTTAGCAAGTGTAGAAGAGAGCAAAAAAAAAAAAAATGATCAAACAACCAACACACGTCATGTTACGCGAAATGAAACCACCATCCACCCTAGGTGACCCGGGTCCCCGCGCGCTTAGTGAGGTATAGGGTAAAGTAGAAGGCCAGGGACGGGTATGCAAGGTTTCTCCAGCGTTAAAAGAGAGGGAGAGGGGAAAAAGAAAAGAAAAGGGTGTCTAAAGGCCGCTGCGCTCCCGCTAGCGCACCTCCATTCCAGCTTATATGTACTTCTTCACGCTGTTTCGCTGCTTCTTCTTGTAGGCGATATACATGCCAGTGACGATAGTCTGGCAGACGATGAAGATGCCGATAATCTTCCAGAGCTTGGGGTGGGCCGAGACAATGTTGTCGTGGTGGTCGGCAAGAGTGGACTTGAAGTTGCTCTCGGTCGCACGGAACTTGTTGGTGAGGTCACCACGGAGAGCCTTGACATCCCGCTCGAGGACGCCAATCTTCTTCTGCAACTCATCGATACCCTCGAGGCGGCGCATCTCACTGCGGAGATCTCCGATGAGTCGGGCAATCTCGGCGTGGCGGTCGTCGCCGGTTTGGGTCTGTTTAGTGAGCGTGCGGTACATGGTGGTGATGTGGCGTCCCAGGCTCTGCACGCGCTCATTCACATCCTGAAACTGCGAGCGCGAAATTTGGAGGATGTCGACGTCAGCCGCGGCATCTAGAGGGTCATCCGGGATCAGGCCGTCGTCGCTACCGCTATCTTCGCCATCGCGCTGGAAGAAATTGGCGGGATCGGCATCGTCGGCGGCCTCTTCCTCCTTCTTCTCGACAGCCTTCTTCTTGGGAGGGGCCTTCTTGACGGGCGCCTTCTTGGGCGGCGACTTGGGCTTGGGCTTGGAGTCGGAAGAGGCCGCGTTTCCGGCATTGCCCATCTTGTCAGACATGACCACCATCTTGAAAATCTCAAAAGAGTCTGGGTTGTCGGGGAGGCGGCCGTGATACCCCACTTGTAGCCCGAAGGGATCTGTATCCGGCTGCTCTCAAAGCAGAGACGCCCGTCAATCTCGATCTTGAAGTTTTCAACCTCCTGTCGCATCTTGATCTGAGAGGGGCGGCCAAGGTTGCGGTATGAGTAGTAGCACTGGCCAAAGACGAGACTGTCAAGCACTGTCTTGGTAGTAAAGTCGATGCTTCCGTCGTTGAGGAAGGCACGGAGCATGCCGCCGGTGCCGCCATAGTTATCAATGACAACGGCAAGACCTTCGAAACGCTGGACGGTATAGACGCTGCTCTGAGCGATGTCGCTGGGCCCGCGGTTCGCTAGCCAGATATTGAGGTTACCGCCACCCCTCTCGGGACCGCTCGATCGGAAGTCGACGTCAGCCACCCAGGTATCGTAGTTCATGGGGTTCTCAGCCCATATCGCGCTACGTTGGTTTCCCGGAGCCACGGGAGTAAGAACCACTCGATTAGAGAGAATCTCGGGAGGGTTTGGTGATCCTTGCGTGTAAAAGTTGGGAATCTTGCCGTCGTTGTTCGGGCTCATTCTGAACACCGGGGTGAAACACAAAACGTTAGCCCTCTATTCCCGAGAAGCCCCAGATAAAATCAACGAAGAAGTGCGGGTGGGTAAACACGTAGACTTACTTTCCATCGTAGCCGAAGCTCAATTCGTTGATGAGGTACTGAGCCTGGGCGGTGCCGGCAGCCAGCAGCAGGGCTGCGAGGGAGGATTTCGACGGCAGCATTGTGGGTGATGTGACAGGAGAGTCGCAACGGAGAGTCGCTATTAGATGATGTTTGAGACAGAGAGCTCGGGATCGTGTGCCAAAAATGAGAATGGCAGTATTCACACTCGTCGCGGGGAAAAGAATGAAATTCAATCTCTCCTCATCAAGCTGCGCAGTAGAATGGACGTTGGAGTGTGCGTCCGTGTCAAGGCGGCTGGGCTGGGGCGAGGAAGGATTGAAGATGTCACCACTTGATCGGCGTAGGCAGGAGAGAGAGGAATGAAGGGAAAAAAGCAAAGGCACGTATTTTTTTCTTTAAGAACAGATGGCGTCGGAAAAATGGTCCACCAATATCCGGCCAACAAAATGCATCAAAGAAAAAGGAAGGGAAGGGAAAAAGGAAAAAATAAAAAATCGATTGTTCACCAAGGTCGCTGGGCTCCGGCTCTGTTACAGATTTAGGAGGCTTTGGGAGCAGGCTTTCCCACGAGTGAGGATGAAAGGACACTTTGCAATCCGGGTGCTGTACAATGGACGGAAGGTGCAGGGTGTGATGGTGGGGCTTGGTTGGACATGCTATCCGCATGTACTGTGACCGAGACGGCTGCATGAAAGCTTTGGGGAGCTCGCCCGCAGGCTTGGCGGGCTGGTACCTACCTCTCCTCAGGTACACGCTCGCACATGATTGATACTGTACATTAGCTCCAGCCGCTAGCTCGACACAAATTCATGGAGAAACTCACCACCAGCATCCACGACAAAAACTAAAACCTAGTGTATGAAGAGCGTAGATGTCGAAATCGATCGAGTCGCCCGCTAGACCGCCGAGTCAGAGACGACATCAGGAATTGAACACGCGCTGTCCTGGGCCTGATTTTCTAAGTTGATGGCTTGCAATCCTTGGTTCGCCGGCTCAGCACAGGTAGCTCCTGGGCGATTCGTCTGATGTTCAGTGTCACCCCCAAGGAGAGCCGGTCAACGCAAACAAGCAACGCTTGGGTTTTCACTAGTGCTACACGCACGGTCACCATTGAAGTTTTAAAGCATCCTCATCGAACCTCGGCTACAGATCTAACAATGGAGAATATTTATCTATCTACCACTGACAGGCGGGAGGTTTCTTTTTCTTTTTTTCTCCTTGGAGATTTTCTTTCCATCTCCTCTTGATCTAGGACTCGATGGCGTCAGCACTGGCGAGAGATCATGTCGAGTTTGTCCTTGTATCGGGGCGACGTGCCTCCTTCCGCCGCGATTGATGATTGGGGTAAAGCGTAAGGCGCCTGAAAGTGGAGAAAATGCGGAGAAGCCAGACAAAGCGGGTTGGATCTTTGTTAGCAAGCTTTGGTTCGAAAACACGGCTACCATTTCTCCAACATGTTTGAACATAAGCGAGCCTCCCTGGTCGAGCTGCGACTCACGTAAGCATCAAATACCTGGGGAAACGCTCCAGTCTGCATCAGTTTCAGGCTTGTGATTCATTCTTGATCAATCGACTCTGCTGATTGTTCTGGAAAAACTGTGAAGATGGCCCTGTTCGCCGGGGTAGATTTCACTCCCTGTCAACTTCAACAGTCATCAATGAGAACAGTTCAACCAAGCGAACGAGCATCTACTAGGCAGGCGGTCCATCTCCGCACTAATGATGTCGTTGCAGCAAGCAATTTTGCCAGTAGCCGCGAAATGAACACTGTGTTCACTGGTATAATTCTATCAACTTGAAGGGAAAGGAACATAGAGTCACAGTCTAATAATCCAGCTTCTCCCTTGAACGAGACATGAGCTACGGATTTGAGAAGCGGCAAACCAGTGGCGGCATTCTTAAGCTTAAGTAGGACATGCATTCTTCACAGTTTTCTACGTCACACCCCGAATTTTCTAGAATTTGGTATTTCCTAAATGGAATCGATATGGCTGTTGAATTTCAGGTGTCATAGTGGCTGGAGGCCGATTGAGAAGTTGAGGTTGTGTCAATTCCACGCAGAGCCCTGGAGCTCGGCTAGTAAGAACCGAGGGCTCTTATTAGTCAGGCTCCTATGGTGCCTCTTGCCTGCCTTCAACACACTCAGACCCCTGCTTATCTCATCCAGGATCCATTTGATCCAGCCAATGCATAGACACTCCATGCAAAGCCAATTCTCCCCGAATTCCAATTACACCTTGATTGCACACCTCCATACTCGAGCTTCTTTTCTCACAGCCCGAGCTCGTCGAGCCCTGCGCCCACAACAGATGTCGCCATGAGTGAGCCGTATCCCTCAATCGCCCAATGCGCGCTTGTCGCCGCCTGCCTCAAGATCCTCTTGTTCCCCGCATAGTTCGTCCTGCCCCCGTCGGTTTATTGAGTTGCGCGAGAGCTACACCTCCCTCGCCCTTTCGTGTTGCTTCCTGTCTCAAACAAATCCAACGCCATTGTGTGTGCTAACTGTCCCGTCTAGTAAATCTACAGACTTCGAGGTACATAGGAATTGGCTGGCCATCACCCACAGTCTTCCCATCAAGGAATGGTACCTCGAGAACACTTCAGAATGGACCCTCGACTACCCCCTTCTTCGCCTACTTCGAGTGGACTCTCGCCCAAGTCGCGAGGCTTGTTGATAGGTCTATGCTTCGAGTCTACAACCTCGAGTATGATAGCTGGCAGACAGTTTACTTCCAGCGCTCGACCGTCATCGTAACTGAGCTCCTCCTGGCATACGCCCTCCAACTGTATGATAGGCACTACTACTTCCCACCCCACCATTGCCCTGACCCTCTAACATGCCGTGACCAGTTTTGTCGACTCCGCCGTCATCTCGAAGCGCGCCGCCCATGCCGCCGCGATTTCCATCATTCTCTCGCCCGGCCTCCTTATCATCGATCATATCCACTTCCAATACAATGGCTTCCTGTATGGTGTGCTGGTCCTCTCCCTGGTTCTTGCCCGCTCTAGGTCGACGCTACTCGCGAGTGGGCTCTTATTCGCAGCTCTTCTCTGCTTGAAACACATCTACCTTTACCTTGCGCCCGCCTATTTCGTCTTTCTCCTACGAGAATACTGCTTGTCGCCCAAAAACATCCTCAAGATTCGGTTCGGGAATTGCATAAAGCTGGGCGGCGGCATCGCTGCCATCGTGGCTGCTGCCTTTGGGCCATTTGTGGCGATGAACCAGATACCCCAGGTGATAAGCCGCCTGTTTCCTTTTTCCCGCGGCCTTTGCCATGCGTACTGGGCGCCCAACGTTTGGGCCATGTACTCCTTTATGGATCGGGTCCTCATCTATGGTATGTGGCCAATGCCCCTATCGCGGTCAGCTGTGTATATGATATCCTAACAAGTCACTTAGTCGCCCCTCGGTTTGGCCTACCTCTGAAGGCCGAGGCATTGGGCAGCGCGACGCGAGGCTTGGTTGGAGACACCGCCTTCGCCGTTCTCCCCGAGATCACGCCCCGAATCTGCTTCATTCTCACCCTCGTCTTCCAAGCGATCCCTTTGATCAAGCTCTTCAAGAGCCCAAAATGGGACACCTTTATCGGATCTGTTACTCTTTGCGGATATGCCTCCTTCCTCTTCGGCTGGCACGTGCACGAGAAGGCCATCCTTCTCGTTATCATCCCTTTACGCTCATTTGCCTCAACGATCGCCGCCACTTTGGAGCTTTTAAGCCCTTGGCAGTCGCGGGCCACGTATCCCTCTTCCCCTTCTCTTCACGGCTGCCGAGTTCCCCATAAAAACAGTGTATACCATCTTTTGGCTCGTCACAACCCTCATGGTGTTTGACCGCCTTGCTCCGGCATCCAACAAACCCCGCGTGTTCCGCCTCGACAGGTTCAGCACCTTGTATATTGCCGTGAGCATCCCGCTCATCGCTTACTGCTCGCTTTTCCACGGCCTCATCTTTGGCAAGAGCTACGAATTCCTACCGCTCATGTTCACGAGCTCCTATTCCGCAGTTGGTGTTGTGGGGAGCTGGCTAGGGTTTTTGGTGGTATACTTTGGCTCGTAGAGAGGAATAATGTTCCATCCAAGTCGGAGGATTCAAAGGGAACCAAAATAAAAATAAAACATCGGTGCAAAATACGAAAGGACCGAGGGATAGCGGATGGCGGTTCGATGTGCTGTTACTATCAGATACCCAATTTTACAATATTATCCATCGTCGGTCTTTTGAGACCAGCCATCATTTTGGACCTCTTATTCCCCATGTTTCACACCTTGCATCTATATGCGCCCTTCCGTTATGAGGGGAGATGGCTCGGAAGGCAGGCAGTCACAGGCATTAGATCCAGGCTAGAAGATGTCTGGTAGGAAACGTCTCGATTGATAAAGAAAAGAAATAATACAGTCCACTGATGTACAGACTTATAATGACATAACTCCAACTCCCAAAAGGCCCACAATCTTGTCCTTGACCGACGGCTTACTTTCGAAAGCCTCCAAATCCAACCGAAACAACTAAGAAGCCCTAGATTCTTATCTTTCCCTCGACGAAATTTATCCCGTCTAGAAAAGCCCCTTCCTTGTACACAGTGGTACGGTGTTGGGGCGAAGAAAAGCAAGCTACCGGTCTCACAACTTCTTCTCACCGCCTTGCACCTCCCCAACGTACTCTTCAAACACACCCTCCAGCTCATTCGCCAAGAGGGCAGGAAGCCCCCGCTGGCGGTGTCCCCAGCGCGAGCCGTGGGACGACCCATGTCCCGCATGTCCGTGTCCGGGCTGTTGGCCGCCCGCCTGGGAGTTTGTGTTCGCGGCGGCGGCGGCGGCGGCGGAGGAGGAGGCGGCGGCGTGCTCTGCCAGCCACTCTTGGGTGTGCTCGGCGATCCACTCGAGAGCGGTCACGGCGTCCTGGGCTCGGGGCCCCGCGCGCGCGACGAGCTTGACGACGGCGCCGGCGATGACGTTGTAGTCGGACCGGCTGAGGGGTTGCCGCGGGGATGTTGGTGGTGTCTGCGTCTTGGTCGGCGTTGTCGGGCTGGGAGGGTTGGTCTGGGAGGGTTTGGGGCTCGTCTGCGGGTTCTGCTAGTTCGGAAGGGGTGGGGGCCGTTACTGAGCCTGTTGTGGCAGCGGGGTTGGGGTTGGCGGATGTGGCGGCGTTTGTCGGTACGGCAACCTTGGTCGGGGCGGCAACTTTGGTCGGGGCAGCAGGGTCTGCCGTCAAGGCAGGGTCAGCCGTCAAAGCAGGGTCAACCGTCAAATCAGGATCAGCCGTCAAGTCAGGATCAGCCGTCAAAGCAGGGTTAGCCGCCAAGGCGGGGTTGGCCGAGCCGACAGAGTCATCAGCGGCTGCGTTGTTGTTTGCTGTGGTGATGTCGACCTTTTTCCCGGAGCCACGGCGCCGGGGTTGTTCAGCGTTTCCGGGCGAATATCCTCGGGGCGCTGGGCGTTGGCCGCAACTTCCTCCTCGGGGGCGGGGTTGCCGGCAGATCGGGAGGTCACAATTCTGTGCCCGGGGGCAGGATACGGGAGAATGCTGTATCGCGCCTTGTGCTCGTCGACGGAGGAACCCCTGGTTTGTACACGGGGAAGGGCGCGGTACCGCTCGATCCCGGACGGGGTATGCTCAAGCCGGATGCCGTGCCTGTGGCTAGGAGAATGCCGGTGGCGATGGTGGAGTATCTCATTGTTGCAAAAGGGAAAGGGAAGGGCTGGGATAAAGGCGCAGTAGGGAAGGGATTGGGAGAGAGGATAGGTGAGACCTTGGAGAGGTTCTATGATCGGACGTGGGGTGGTTAATAAGGGATGCGGAAAGGACTGGAGAGGTGCTTCTAAGGATGTTTCTGAATGGCTTGTTGGAGAGAAGATGGAGTTGGAGATCGAACGAAGTCATTGAGCCTTATATATTCCCTTTTCAAGAACCAGGTTGAGTATCTGAATACATTCATAGTCTAAACACTACGACGAAGTCCCAAAGTCACGTCGGTCATCTCGCAGCTAACGAAGCCGAGCGATCCAGCTTCTTTGAGTCGGCGATGTAGAGCGGCACGTACGTCGCACAACCGCAGTCAGACGAAGAAGATAAAAAGTTCCTCTTACAGCCGCCCGACCTTGCACAACACAGCCGGGGCTGTAAAATGTGGGTTCTAGACGCTAAATCGGACGGTTGCTTCCCTACGTGCTTACACCTCTTCCAACGTAGATCAAGGACGTCTCAAGTTCGCACGCCATGTTGGATATGTATGCATTGCGTCAACCGGGCTGTGGCTGCAGGAACAACCGCGAGCCAAGTTAGCATCTCGGGATGAAGGGGGGGGGGAGAGCGCGGCTGCGGCAATCTGTGACGATCGGCTACTCGGGTGGGAGACTGAAGGTGTAATCAAGAAGAAACGGGCCCGATCGGCGCGGCGACAGGTACCGTAAACCCATTGTTCCAATTTTGGCGATGGCGATGTTTTGTTCGCTAAAATGCTAGGGGAGGGCCCAGAACGGTGCTTCGCCACGGGGGTTGGTGGTCAGCCATCTAAATCTCGGGACATCAGACGTTGGGGTCGGAAGCATCGATGTAGGCAGACTTGTACTTGTCGATTATGGCTTATACCCACAAAGAGACAACAAAGACCTAAAATTGAGGGTGATAAGGGCTGAAAATCTGCCTGATCACAACGGTTTTTCTTCACTCCATGTGTCAATCACGGTGGCCACCCGTTGATCTATTTTGATCGAGCTTTGAGATGTTGAAGGGGTTTTTGAGGGGTCCGTCACCGGGAGACCTCGACTTCTCTGGGATCAACCCCTACGAAGTGTTTTCTTCACCTCCACCTACATCAATTGAGGCAAGGACTTGAATTTAGACCATGATCTACATGCTTCTTGGTGGCATAGGTGAAGAATAGACTAAGGGCCATTTTTTGAGATGCTTGTTCACGCGGTTGTGTTGGCGAAAGTCTCCCTATCCTGTTCACGGTGCGTCCCGCTGACAGTTGGACCTTTTGATTTCTTGCAACTTCAAACAATGTTCCCTCTAGTTGCCCATCAGCGGCTTACTTCAGGGCGGAGGCGCATTGTATTAATTATGACGGTTTTAGCGAGTACAGCTTGTCTCGATTTGAATGTCAACAATGCAATTGTAGTATTGAGCTCGGCCTGTGAGAATAGCTACCATTGACTATATTGTGGGTATCCGTTGCTCGTTCTTCATGGCGGGGCGCAAAGTTTCTTTCTCTCTCTCTTTTTTTTCTTTTTTTCTTCTTCTTTTTCCAAGGCACCTCAAAAGACGAAACCCGTGAAAAAATCGTATCATGACTGCCATGAAAAACTATACCTCATTTTTTCTTTGGAATCATTCATCGTCTCCCGTTTCTAAGAATAAGTCTCGCAAGTTGGAGGCAGGAATCAACACTGGCCCCCACCATAACCAAACGCGCCATCACTTCAATTCAAGGCATTTGATCGATCGCTTTCACCAACGCGCATTCTTCCCGTTCAATTCCTGGGCGGGTAAGGTTGTAAGGTTGGCTATTTTTAGACGTGCAAAGACCCTTAGTCATCCATACAAAAGAAGGTTTGCTGTCTTGCATTTTGGCCTGGCATTCCAGGCATATCGACTGACTAAGAAACCTACGGGGAACGTCGTCGCCCATTTAAACGCTGGCACCCATAGGGGTCCGGTTGGTGGGAGGCCTGTCGAGGAGCAGGGCCGGATGGCCTAGGAGCAGCTTCCACCGCGGGATGAACATGGAACTTTAGTTTTATATCGCCCTCAACGCCTCGGAAGCTCAATCGGATTAATGGCTGTCAAGCTCTGATAAAGGGAGGTCGGCAGCCCCGGGGTGCTCCCGGACGCCGCCGTTGGGGTGCCGGAGCCACCGCTAGCATTTACTTTTGCATCCATGGTAAAGCATTTCGATTCCATTCATACTTTAGAATATCTGCAGCTTCGAGGACCTTGTAGGATTATGGAGCTCTATGCGCGAGGGTTCTTGCACTGATTTGGGGAGCTTGCTATAAGATGACCACAGTTCTCTTCGCTCCCTTTACTCCACCGTGAACTCCTCATCGAGATGCGAAACAACAGATATAGTTAGTGGTACTAAAAGGGATGGTCTACACTCGCTATGAATGTCGGTAATCACACAAGAACACTCCTTGATTTCATAACGGGGGTGGGTACAGAGAAGACGGATGCGCTGAGCACTTATATAAAACCGGGCTTGCGCTTGCTGCTCAACAGCTTTGAAGAAACGTCTAAGAAACCTTGCTTATTCTTAGCGATGAGACGAAGGGATGTGGAAAATTTCCCAATTTCTGGCACGTCTGTTTGCGTTCAAGTTATCTGCGCGTTTTGGTGATCATTGAGAAGAAGTGACGGGCGATTCACGTGCACTAAAGTAAAGTGATTGAGGCGGCGTGCTTGCTGGTCACATTGGCTTTGCACCTGCTTATCACCAAGCAGGGCTAAAACGAATATCCGCGATTTTGGTCGGTCCTAAGAAGAATTAAACATGGTGATATGAAGAAAAGCACTTCAAACTAGCTAAGCCATGGCTAAGTTTTCTTCAAGAGCTTGGTTCTTCGAGCTCCTAGGTGGCGAGCACCGCTGAGAAAACCAAAGGCTTAGTATGGAACCGTGCCGGGATCAATTGAGACAAATCAGAAAGTGGGTGATTCAAATATCTTTGGCAAATATAGAGCGAGGAGGAACTGGATTGGTGCCTTTGAGACAAACTTGTTGCGAAGCCATGAAACCCGTGAGGGTGACGGGGTCTCTTCAGGTAGGGTGATGAGTAGCGTATAATTATAACCGTTTGATATGTCGAATCGCTTAGGCACGAGTAAAGATGGAAGCTAGAGTGCGTTCAAATTATCACGGGGTGGGGAGGGTTCACGGAGATGGACGAGGGCTGTGGCCTTGGCTTGGGTGATTGAAGGTTGTGCTTGGCCGTGTGTTTGGAACGGGGGAGGATATCGAATGGGTGATTTTGGCTTTGTCCCTTTGAACAAGACGCGGAGGGTGAAAATTACATAAGACAGTTTAATTCACCGAAACCCTGGCCAATTGGCACCATTTGACTATGGATGAAATCACGCAGCCGAGACGATGCGAACGAGTATATAAATCTTGGCAAAAGTGGGATTGCAAGGCGATGGGCTGGGTTGAAAGGTTGAAGCGGGCCGAGGAGTGGTTTTTGAGGCGGAGGAGGTCTTGTCCCAAAGGGGAGGGGGCGAACTGGGGCCTGCTTTGGTAAGGTCAAAGGCAGGGGATGGTCCCGTTCTGGGTTATCCTCGTCCGGGATTTCCAGCCCTGTGACTGGTCCATCGCCCCCGGCACGGAAGACTAAGCGACACGACACCGTCAACATTCAATTCCCCAAGCCAAGCAGATTGGACGTGTGCGGCGCAGGTACCATGCCCTCTTGAGTTTTGTTCATTCCCCTAAAAATTCTTCCCAAAGTTTAGCATTGAGCACTGGCGTGGGAAGATGGCGCTGCCGACCACTCGATAATAAAGCGAAAACCGATGCGGAAAACGCGGACTATTTTGATCTGGCCTGCACCACCTGCGAATCTAAGGGGAGACTCAGCTTGCCCCCTTTGAACATTCTTGAAAACGCCCTGCCCTCTAGACACCCATGCACGCCCTCGTTTGCTCTTCTTTGTCGGCGTAAAACAAAAACCTGCCGAGAAGGCAAATCTAGGAAAATACTTTTTTCGTATTGTTTCCTTCTCCAGAAGTAAGGCGAAAAATAATTATATCGTGGTTTGTCCAGCCCATGATCCATGGAATTCGGAAGCTGGATTCTTTCGTTCCATGTACCGGGCCGATGGAGCCTCCATGTCCGGCAGGCTTTCGTGACCGCCACTGCGGGTACCTTAAATGCCAGCGGGCGTGTTTTAGATACCTAGTCCCACCGCGCAGGCGCGTCACATCGCAAAGTAGCGGGTACTCTCCATGGGGCCCTTTTCCCAGCCCGCCCAGCTCCAAGAGTACGGCTAATGCAAGTACTTTGGACCTGCTTTGCATGCCATCTGCCATCTGGCGAGGGACCACAACCCCCAGCTGCTTAATTTTTCTTTTCTCTCCCATTGATCCCTCTTGGGCGTGGTGTGTGGACTGGTGTGTGGACTGGTGTTTGGACTGGTGTGTGGACTGGTGTGTGTGTACGGTAGTGTAGCGTGTGTTGTAAAGAGGTCCTTCCTGCTCGTCCTCCTACCCGCTCCATTGTTTTCCCCTTCCTCGCTCCCCTCGACCTAGATTTCTTTTTCCCTTCCACATCCTCCTCGACACGTCGTCCACGCAGCCCAGGACATCATTCCCAAACCACCACCGCGCCCACCAGGACCCTTTTTATCCTTCCCGCAGCATTACAGGCGTGTCCTCCCCGGCACCCCGACTTACACGACCACGCGTTCTGCTGCAAAAGAGCCTCCTGCGGCCCGCCCACCCCGAGCATCGCCCACCACCCCGACGCCAACTCGCACTTCTCCCCTCTCCCTCCCTTTCCTGACGAACACCCACCGCGTAACCCGCCCATTTGCAACGCCCCAAAAATTTCTTCACCAACCGCCGCACCGCGACGCTCCTGAGTTCACGACACGTCCTGCCCGCATTCGATCGTCTCTTCTTTCTAGCTCCGCCGATTACCGGCCTCAACGTCAACGTCGAATTCAGCTGCTTGCTTCAAAGGGCCGCACTGCACCTCCCCGAACTTGGAAATTTGTTCCACCACCACGCTCGACGCGCCATTGATGGCAACAATTCGACATGGTATGCCTGCTCCCCTTTCCGTCTTGGGCAACGTTGATATGCCCGTCTCCACCAGCTCCAGCCTTGGCCTCTCGATTGCTGGATCTAATCTGTGGCTCCCGCAGGTATTATTTAAGAGGAAACCCGTGGTTATCCCGCCGCCCCAGGATATCAGGGATAAGAATGCACAGGTTTGTCTCCCGCGCCGCCGCCGAGTACATCATTTTATCTTGGTCATTGTCCTTGGGATGGTCCCGCTGATATCGCTGCCGGCACCCTAGGTTTGGTATATACCACAAACTGGTGAGCTATTCGCGACGTATGCCGAGTACCTCTCTAGGTAAGTCGTGTCCCGTATTGCTACGTTGCTGCCATATTCGTGACGTGCTGACAGCCCTCTAGGATCGACTTCTACAAACAGGTTTGTACACCACAATCTCTAATCCTTACGCGACGCGCACTCGAAGAAAACTCACAATTCTCTGTCTAGCGCCGATTTATCTGCCAGATTACCGGCCAGTCGCGTCTCACCTTTTTGATGCGCTGAAGAGTGAGGTGAGTAACGCGAGGCCTCTTGTATTGAACTCCCCATATTTTTTCTTCTCTTTTTTCCCTTCTCTGCTCGAGTGACGTTTCTGATTCCCCTTTTAGCAAGCTGGAGGTAAAGAAGTCGAGGAAGCGTTTCCCGAAGTTCTCAAGGGACCTGTCTTGCGCAAGGTCCAGTTCCAGACAGTTTCACGAATCGACACGTTAGTCGACAAAATCTACGAAGACTTTCGCGCCGATTACTACCCCGGGAAGTCGTCACGGTCGAGATTTATACCGGAGAGAAGCTCCAGGGTATCGTTAGGGATAAGACGCGATTCGGAAGCAAACAACATGCAGATGGGTCCATTAGCGAGCCGTTTTCACGTTACTTTGTCAGCCTCGACGGTAAGCCTGGGGAAGATGCTGTTGTGGATGATGATCACATTAGCAGGGATCGCAAAATCTTCACCAAGGCAGTTTTGCGATCTTTCATTAAGAGGACCGTCACGCGCGAAGCTTGGAATGGTGCGCCCTGGCTAGTCAAACACGAGTACGCGGCCATGCATCACATTGATACCCGCATTCCGATTCACCTCCGGCACGATACCAAGATTCAGGAGCGCAAGCTCCTGTTGGCACAGAAGAAGGCACTTCACCCGACTAGCGCTAATGGCGTGGCCAACAATGCGGAGCCTGTGCGCCTACCCGAGTTGAAGCCTATGCCTAAGAGCCACAAGGCCAAGTCTCAACAGACGGTCATCGGCATGGACAACTTCGCCAAGAAGGGCAAGGACAGAAGCAAGTTCGCCATGTCTCCTGATAGCTCCTTCCAGTTCCCAACTGGTCTACGTAATGGTGTCGCGCACGTCGTGAGGCCCGCGACCCCTCCTCCGCCGCCTCCGCCAAAGTATCCCATTGAAGATCTCCAGGTTGGCCCACGCGCTGGAGTCGTTCGCCCGAAGCTGCGATTCCTATGCAACGACCCGCCATTGGATACGGCGGATACCGCCTTTGCCCCCTCTCGAAACATGTCAAAATGGAGTCGGTTGGCCCGCTCCTGGAGACGTGGGACACCCTCAACGTCTACTGCGAAATATTTGTGCTTGACTCCTTCACCTTTGACGACTACGTCGAGGCCCTGTGCGTCACATCCGAACAGGTCCCGACCCAACTGCTCGATGAGATCCACTGCAGTATTCTCAAGATCCTTGTAAAGTCGGAGGAAGACGGCGGCAAGGTCGAGATCACGCTTCCCGAAATCGAGGAGGAGGATGAGGAGGACGAGGACGAAGACGATGAGGCCACCCCCACGCCAGAGCCGGAGCCCCGACCCGCTAAGCGCGCAACAAGGAGCAGTCTCGCTAAGATTGAGGCAGAGCGTTTGGCCGCCGAGGCCGCCGAGGCAGAACGCCAGAGTCAGGCGGAGAGGCTTGTGCATCGGGCGGAGGAACTCCTCGAGGATTTCGACTGGATCGAGCACTTGCGAAAGCGCGACTTCAAAAACGGCGGCTGGGAGATGATTCTCGTCGGTCTCCTCCACCAGCTCTCCAAGAACGAGCGCAAGACGGAGCTGTGTGAGCGACTGCTTGGCCAACTTGTGCCCCCGGGGTCGAGCCTAGCCAGCAGACGCTCATTGAGCAGTACGCCGGCATGGACGCCAACTTCCGCGTGCAAATCATTCAACTTTTGTGCATGTTGACGATGGAGACCAAGGCGGTCAGAGGGTATATGGAGGACTGCAGCGAGCAGATGACGGCGTACCGCAAGGGCAAGATTGAGTGGCAGCGGCAGAGGAAGCAAGCGTAAGTGGACACGGGCACCTGATCCCAAGCCTACCCCAACCCCTATAACCCCTTCTCCCCTTCTCCCCTTGTGCGTAGCTCGAGAGGGAATTCAGAACCCTTGGCATTAACATTTTTTTTCTCTCTCTCTACAGTTTGGAGGAGCTCAAGGCTCTGCATGAGCAGCGCAAGATTCTCCTACCCGATAATATGCCCCCTCGCCGCCTCCGGAAACGGACAAGCCAGCGGAAGACGTCAAGATGGCAGACGCCCCATCTTCACCAACGGAAACGCATGCGACGGAAGAATCTGAGGAGGAGCTTGGGGCGTCTCGGCGAGGCCTTCGACGAGCTCGAGACCGAGCTGCGGAACGGGAGAAGCGGCGACTAGAGGAGATCAAGAAGAAGGAGGAAGCGGAGCTGGCTGCCAAGGTGCCCAAGCAGTCGAAGCAGTTTATCAAACTGCTCAAAGATATCCGCAGCAAGGAGGAGCATATCAAGAAATGCGAAGACGAGATTGCCGTGTTCGACAACGATATCCGCGAGGCCGACTGCCCGCGTACGCGGGTACTTGGAAAGGATCGATTCTGGAACCGGTACTACTGGTTTGAGCGGAACGGCATGCCGTACGGGGGTTACCGGACAGTTCGACGGCCCACGCGGGGTACGCCAACGGGTGCATTTGGGTGCAGGGCCCAGACGAGCTTGAGCGCCAAGGATACATTGACCTGCCGACCGAGTTCCAGAACGAGTACAAGGCCAAGTTCAACATGACGGTGCCGGAGCGCAAGAAGCGCGAGGAGGGATCGACTAGCCTCTACACGGCGCACCATTGGGGATTCTACTCGGAACCGGAGGAATTGGAAGAGTTGCTCACCTGGCTGGATCCGCGGGGTTACAACGAGCTCCGGCTCCGCAAGGAGATTGTGGCCTTTAAAGACAAGATTGTTCAGGGGATGGAGAACCGCAAGACGTATGTGTCGGTGGCAGAGCAGGAAGAGGAGGCGGAGGATGACAACAAGAGCACGCGCATGAGCACTAGGACCCGGGCACGGCCGACGCAGAGTCCGGAGCCGCAGAACTACAGGTGCCTCACGTGGGAGAACACGATGGCGGTGGACCAGCTTGGTCATGTTCACATGGAGCCCCGCCGCCGCCAAAGGCGAAGAAGCAGTCTCGCAAGAGGGGTGCATCGACCGGGGGCGGGCCGCCGCGGAAGTCGCAGCGTCGCTAAAGGGGTGCACGACAGAGGGCCAAGCTGTGAGGTGCCGCCCTGGCCCTTGCATCCCGTTTGTTTTTGAACGATTTAGCGAGGCAACTATTATAGGCCCACCTCGTCGTTGTCCTCCTCCTTTGCTTCCTACTCATCTCACCTTCATCTTCCATCAACATCATTCAAGCCTCGATTGGTGGCACTTTGCGGCCAAGCCCACCTTGGCCTTTTTACTTGTTTTGATTCCCCTTTTTTCATCTTTCCCCCATCCTCTCGCCTTTAATAATCTCACCCTATCTCTCTTTTCTTTCTTTTTGTTTTTTTTGTTTGCCATTTGACATGGAAGGGAGTTGGGAGTCATCACGAGAGAACTTTGGGGAAGCACACATCACTAGCGACGGCATTTTCTCTCAGTCCCAGATATCATCCTAGTCCGTTCTATCCCTTTTATCCATTGGATGGAGGTGATGTTGGACTGGCTAGGGTCTCCCGCCTTTCGAGGGTATATCTTGGGACCTGGTTTTGATGCATTTGACGGACATCTGCAAGGGAGAAGGGGCTTCTTTCCTCTTGGCTTCCTTTTTTCTTTTTCTGTTCGTTCAGGGAGGGGCCGGGGCCAGATCCAGATGGGCCTTCCCTCCTCCTTTTCCGGGGTATGAGAGGATCGGGATATGGGGGATCGTCGACATCAGGTCGCTCGACGATTGGCATTTTTTCTTTTTCACAGTCCGCAAGCAAGCATGGAAGAGGGCTTTTCCTCGGGTCGAAAAAACTATCGAGGGTCGTCGTGGAATGAGAGGGCCCTGCGTGGCACTACGATCCTAGCATTTCTTATTTTGTCCGAAACCAGGCCCCAGGCATATGTTGCGACAGCACAGGGCACCAGCACACACGGGTTCAAGAGCAGAGCGAGGAGATACAGGAAAAACATCAATGACAAATATAGAGGTAGCACACGGGAAATGGATAAAAAATGGTACATCTTGCCTTGAACGGGTCGTTTTTCATCCCTTTTGACTGCGTCTCCCTTGTGACGACCTTTGCGAGTTGCATTCAGCAGCTCTCGAGAAAAACAAAGAGCATTGGATGCAAGAGACAAGATGACAAAGCCGGGCCGTCTGGGTATAGTTCCTTGTTATTGCTATTTTTATTTTTTATCTTACATATGTACATGCATTTCATTGACGGAACTCGTCGAACTCGCTGCGGGAAAGATGCGATGGGATAACTGCGGTAAGACGAAATTGAATCGGGATGGACGATGATGAATCGGAGCAACAAGGGCTATGGAAGGGAGGATGCTGCCCTTTGCTATTCTAGGCAGTATCTGCATCACAGTTCGCATTGCTCGTTTCTGGGGGACGTACACTCTTGCGGGCGGAAGCCTCGTGCCGGCTCCTCGTGGTTGTTGGTCTCCCGCTGCACCAGGTTGCGGAATCTCGCTTCTAGAAATACCCAGGAAAGAAGCTTTATAAGCTTAGTTTATCATTTTTTTCTTTTCCTTTCCCTTCGCTTTCTCGCAGACTTTTTCCCTTTTCGGTACGGTGGATGCGAGGCAAAACGCGCAACGAGAGGTTTCGATTGCTCCGGGGGCGTGTGCCGAGGCAACACAACGGGCGGTTCGAGGGAACATTGGAAGCATGGGGGTGGCATACCATGCGAGAAAGGCGCCATTGGATCAATTCGCAGACTGCGCCGGTACCTCGCTCGAACTGAAAGATGGTGGGCACTTTTTTAGTGGGACTTGCAGTCGACGATGGGGAGGGAAGACGCCGAGCTGACAATCATCAACTGATGTAGAAGCGGAGCTTTCCTCCGCCCGGGATTCGCGTTTCCGTTTGGTAGTTTCATGGTTGGGGAACTTGAAGGCTTTCCACATGAGCTGAGCGGTACAATTGAAGCGAATTATAATAATTGAAAATCCAGGGACCTCTCTGCTTGCCTCTTCTCTGTTTCCCCACACACCCCCTTGTCCTCTTTATCGCTGGCGAGCTCGTCTTGTTCGATTTTCCTTCACTAGCTTTCCAATATTCGTTAGCTTCGTATGGTGATGTCATTCGCGTAGACGGCGACGGGAAGAGTTTTGAGCCTTCTTATTCCATTGCGACCTTGATTAGAAAACAACCTCCGATCATCGTTTCACCCAAAAAGTACTTGTATATACCCCCCTTCCCCCGCCTTCCACTTGGTCCCCGTCTCCGGAATCCATTCAAGACCGAACGATCAACAAAACATACACGAAGAGCGAAACCAACAAACCGCTACAATGACGACCGAATTCCCCGAAATCACACTGCACTGGTTCGTTGCGCCCTTGCCCCGCGCCCACCAAAGGGGGCCCCCTTTCCCTAAACACCTAGTCTGCTCCCAAGCTAACCTTCTCTCCTTTCCCCCTTCCCACAGGCTCGACCAGTCCCGCGCCCAGCGCATGGTCTGGCTCCTCGAGGAGCTCAAGGTCCCCTACTCCATCGAGCTCTACCACCGCGAAAACATGCTCGCCCCCAAATCCCTGCGCAAGGTCCACCCCTCGGCAAATCCCCCTCGTCACCATCAAGCCCGTCGGCGCCTCGGAGCCCTTTGTCCTCGCCGAGTCCGGCTACATCACGCAGTACCTGTGCGACCACTTCGCCCCCGCCGGGAACCCGACCCTCGTGCCCGCCAAGTGGCAAGCCGGCAAGGAGGGCCAGGTCGGCGGCGAGACCGAGGCCTACCGCCGCTTCCAGTACCTGCTGCACTACGGCGAGGGCACCCTCATGCCCATCGTCGTCGTCTCCCTCATCCTCAACCTCCTCGGCTCCGACCGCGTCCCGTTCCTCGTCCGTCCCGTCTCCGGCTTCGTCGCCTCCAAGATCCAAAACGCCTTTGTTTTTCCCGAGGCCAAGAAGAACTTTGCCCTCCTCGACGGCATGCTCCAGTCTGCTCCCGGCGGGCCCGACGGCTACCTGTGCGGTGATACCCTCACCGCGGCCGATATCCTCCTTAGCTTTCCCCTTATTGCTGCCAAGTCCCGATTTGCGGGAATCGGTGAGTGGGAGGGTGGCAGCATCGACAAGGCGTTCCCGCGCGTCTGGGCTTATTTGGAGAAGTTGGAGAACTCGCCCGGCTACAAGACGTCGGTTGACAAGATCAAGGAGCTCGACAATGGCAAGTTTGTCGCTATCGCGGGTTGATGGCCATTGAATTGACACTTCCCCCACTTCCCCGCCTCCCCGTCTTTCCCCTAAACCCCTACCCTACAAACAAAAGGGAAGAGATGAAGGAACAGAGGTTTTGCTGACTTGAGAGACGCACCTGTCGGGGTCAGCGGAGGATTTTATAGGCAAACGTATGGAAAAATTGTAATTGGTATCATTGCGATAGTATCGCCCTTTTGGATTCTAGCCACGCTCTTCTCATCTTACATGTATACAAATAATGGACAACTCTCACCCTTTTTTCTTCTTTCTTTCCTTCTTGCTTGAACCAAATGCACCAACGAGAAAAGGAAACACCTTCTCCTTCTACCCCTCATGACGTTGCGTTGCCCCCCCCGCCCCCTTCCCCTCGGGCCATCCCTCAAAGCTCTTTATCCCATGAGCTGCGTGATATCCTCCGGCGGCCACCTCACCTGCGCAAACGTGAGGCACCGCTTGATGCTCTGCAAAAACTTGCGCGTAACCTCGTCACCCATGACATGGCCCCGCTCGCCCGTGTGAAGCTTTTCTCGCGCGCTTCGCTCGTGGATACCCACCATGGTCACACCAATCGGCCACGCCGCCTTGCCGATGCTGAGACGGAGGTAGCCGTCGTTGGCGTGCACGTAGCGCCGCTCCTGCGCCGCCTTGACAATCTCCACGACGGGCTCTAGGATCGAGTCTTCGAGCTCGCCTTTTTCGAATTTCCGGAAGAGCTGGAATGGAGAAGAATGGTGTTAGCACACTAAGAACAGACGAGTGTCATTTGATTCTCCTTTTTTTCCCTCCTTCCCTTGGGGCTCTTGGACTGGACTTACCGGCTTCATGTTCTCGCGCGTCTGAACCATGGCATTGTACGCGGTTTTGCTCGTGAGCGTATCCCTCCTCTCCTTTTCCATCGCGATCTCGTACTCGGAAAGCACAAGCATGAAATACGAGGCCAGCTGCCGGAACAGGTACTTGCGCCCTTCCTTGTCCTTGGGCACCGTCCCATCCACCTTCATATCCTTGCCCTCCACGAGCTGCAGCGTCGTCGGGATCGGCCCCGCCGTCACCACCACCGTGAGTTTTCTATACCGCCGCAGCCGCTCCACGTGGCTCTCCCCAAACAGGACCGCCGGCGCCCCGATCCCCTCAGCTTCGCCACGAGCTCCTCCTCGGCGATATCTTCCTCTCCTTCGCCCACCGTTTCCTCGTCGGCCCCCGTGCTCTCCACGAGCTCGGGCAGCCCGAGCCTCTTCCTGCGCTTCCTCTCCTCCTCCTTTTCCTGCGCCTCGCGACGCCGCCGCGACTCCTCTCCCAGCTTGCGCCGCCTTTCTTCGCGCGCTTGCTTCTCCGCTTCTTCGTCTTCTTCTGCTTTGCGTTTTTCCGCCGCGCGCGCCTTGCGCTTCTCCTCGAGCGACTTTTGCTCGGCTTCGTAGGTCGCCCGTCGCTCAGCTTCGAGGTCGGCGCGGCGGACAAACTTGCGTCCCTTCTCGGGCTTGTTTTTGGAGATTTCGCTGGTGAGGAGGGAGTCGAAATCCATGGTGGGCGAGCTTCGGGGGGGGTTTCTTCTCTTTTTTTCGTTTGGCGAGATGAGGGAAGGAGATGGGAAAAAGGGAACGAGCGCTGCGAAAGGGAGGGTCGGGCAAGGGTTTGGGCGGCAGTGCTCGTACTCGTGCTCGTTACTTTCGAGAACTAGGGATCGTATATTCGAACCCCGAAATCGCCGTTTTCGTCTTCGGGGACCCTAAGGAATTCTGTCGTCGTGGGAGACCGCAATGATGAGATGGTAATGGTTTCAATGTGGACTTGACCGTTCCTGCGGGTTCTGGGAGTGATTGTTATCGATAAATTCGCCAAGGGAGCTAAAAAAGTGGCGGTCAGGCTTCAATAGATGCAAAGCCCCGTCAACCAAGGTAATCCGTGCCCCACACACCCAAGCTCTCTCCTGGTCGCTTGCCGCTCCAGCTCCTGCGCAAGGAACCACCATTTTGAGCATCTCGAGCTCGCATTTTCCCTTTTATTTTGCCTGTCCTCGCCCCCGTCGGATGCGCACTCATCGCGTGAATTTGTAGAGGAAAAGATGAGCTCTATACACTCCGACAGCGAAAATGGCGAATCCACCCAGTTCCTAGTCAAAATATTCTACAAAACCGGCTCCTACCCACGGCAAGTCCCCCTCCTCCCACTCTCTCTCCCCCACCGCGGAACACCGCGGCCGCCCAAAGGCCCCGTGCATGACGACGTTCTGTAGCTAATACAAAATTTCTGGGACTCTAGGCCGGAGGACATCCATTCTTCCCACCCACCACCATGCGCCACCTTCTACACCGACCAGAGTGCTACTCTAGCCGATCTCGCCGCCCTCTTCTCCGCGCATGCTACCCCGTCTCCTCTCCCCAGCCCCGCCGGCGGCACGCGACTCTCCTTCCAGCTCGTCTTTCCAGACATTCGCAGCCCGCAGCTGAACCGCTACATGACCAAAGACCTCGGAAGCGTCGTCATTGGCGAATTAGGTCCCGGCGATGCGGCCGACGATCACGCCCTTGCGAAACTACGGAACGAGGTGGAGAGGGACAGCCGCAAGACTCTCGCCCAGGCCAAGTTTGTAGTGGGAGATAGCATATCTTGCGCGGTTGTGCCCCCATCCGAGGATGGGACGGTCGCGCTCCACGTACCGGTGAGGAGGGACAGTAAGCCTATGGCGCGAGAGATTGGGAGGGCGGGACGGGACTATCGCGGTGGAGGCGGAGGCGGAGGCGGTGGTGGGCGAGGGTTTCATAACCCGCCTCCTTCTTTCCCTATGGGAGAATGGAGGAGAGGGGAGCCGCTACCAGATGCACCGCGGTCCAGGGGAGGTGGACGATGGCGCTCATAGGATACATGCACATAGATACCCCCAATTGCTTCTTTCCACCAACATCCGCTCACTCTCAGGACCCGGCGCTAGGAGAGAGGCATCGGCCTCTTGGCGAGCATGGCCATCTCCTTTGTACTATACCTAATCACGCGAAGCGCTGGCTGCTTCGTCCTCGTCAAAAACTGAAAAGCCATCCTGCCGTCGACGCTATAAAGAGAATATGACTTGATTCCAGTCTATTTTTGGGTGGGTTTTCACATATATGTACACGTGCACTTCGCCGCCAAGTTCTCTCGACATGGTTCTCCTCCCGATGCTCGTCCGCTTATCGCTCGTAGATGGTATCTCCTCTCCTCTTCGCCCTGAGATCCCAAAGTCCCTATAGAGAGGAAAAAGAAGAATGTCAGCACTTCAACCGATGGCGCATGGCTGGTTCAATTCCCGGGGCCGAATTGAAGCAAAATAGAAACGGGTCGCACTCACGTCGGTCTTGTAGGCGAGATATCCAATGATGGAAGGTACGACGACGACGTACATCAAGGTGATCTTGGCGGTACGGGGGTCCAGCGGAAGTACAGGTTCCTCTTCGCATTCATCTCTGTGATTTAGGAAAAACCGTATCAGCAAGGCTTCGGCACCGGGGAGGGGAGGCGGGAAAATAGGCGCGGCGTCGTCCAGAACGGGGGTGCGATCTTACCAGCTACCCTGACAAGGGCAGGGTCGAGGGGGCTATCGGCACGTCTCTCGTTAGCACTCGGAAACGGGTCAATGGAAGGCGCGGCTGGTCTTACAGTGTCCGGCCATGATGTGCGGTTTTTCAGTTCGTCTACTCGGCTCTAGAACAGCGGGATGTGGTGCGGAATTGTTCTAGTTTGCGGACCTAGACGACCTTCTTTCTTGGTGATGCACCTTTTTCCTCCATCTCGAGATGGATGGTTGTCGGATGTGACAACATGGAAGAAGTGGGTCTTCACGTGACCAGGAATCCCAGGTTGTCCCGAGCCCAGAGTCCAGAGCGAGAAAATAGGTGGATTTATCCAGGAATTTCCCTGATCCTCCCAGTAAATACATATTTGCGATCAAATGAGAATTACTCGTGCAACAGCTAGTCAAAAGTAAAGATTCTGGAAAATACATGTATTGGTCAAACCATCAAAATGATCGGATGAATGAATGCCTTTGCTTTGCGGCTCCCCATCGATTGATCTTGCTGCCAAAGCCACGGGATGGCGTGGAAGGATCTCTCATTCCCCCAAAATCGCAGTCTTTGCCCATTGATTGGGTAGCATGCGCAACTCTATTTTTGGGCAAAACCGCTTCAACTTTGATGTTTTCAAGAGTCCATGTAATAATAAAGAGTGCACGACTGAGGTACAGACGATAGCACGCCCATTTGCTATTGCCTTCGAGATTCGAAAGGAGGATGGGTCCGCGCCATGGCGGCTGTACTTCACGCTGATGTGCATTTCCGAACCCTTTTATCATCCCTGCTGTCAGGCGTTTGTGTTTCTGCGACCATTCGGCATAGGGATGAGAATTGGGCATCGTCCTACAAAAGAGCTGATCAATGGTTGAAGCAACGGCATGGGATAAATGTGTAGGGCATTGAGGGGAAAGGGAAAGGAAGGCTAGCTACTGAGGTAGAGACCATATATATTGACAAATGATAGCCACAACTACTCTCGACCATGCCATGCCATGCCATGATATGCCACTTTTTCCATCCCCGGAAGGAAGCTCCCTCGTCACCAAGATCACCACCACATTTCCAAAAGGACGATGTTGCGCAGAAGCAGCAATGGGCCGACAGCTCAACAATCTCTAGTGGCGTCTTCTTTCACCTCTCCTCTCCTAGCCTTTCGGCACCATAGAACGTTCTCCCGAATAATTCTCTCCCATCTCTTGACAGCAACGCGTCGAGGCCTTTTCCACGAACACATCCCAATGAATCAGCTCCCTCCTCGAACACTGACAGCCAAGCGTCGCCAAGACTACCTGCCCAACCTGTGCTCCCAAGCCGCTTATTCGGCACACACATGCACACACACACATTGAGACATTTCACCCTGCCGCGTCGTGTGTCCGGCCCAAGCCCAAGCCTCGAAGACGTGCTCACTTTAGTCACGTACTATCTCAGACAGATATGAGCAACTGAGCCCTCGCATAAGACCAAAAACATTAAGAAGAATATGTAGGCTGCTGCGAAGATGCCGGCACGACCTAGTGTGATGCAATGCTACCACTTCCATTACCTAGCATTACCTCCTCCTAGAAGCTCGTTTAGGAGATGGTCTCGTGGTGTCTTGATAGCTCTCGTTCTGTAATTGCATTCCAGGTCTCTTCTTACCCTTTTACTTCCTGATTCTTTACCCACCGGAGAACGGAAAGTGACAAATGCGTTGACCCATGCGGGACTGAGTCGAAACGTTGCTAAGGATAGTCATGGCCAGATATGATTTGGTGTTCTCAATTGGTTTGGAGGAGGTCGCGATCTCACATCTCGGCCGAATTAGCCAAGGCCACCGCATTCGAATGTTTGAAGAAGCATCCGTGACGTAGCTCGACAAGAGCCAAACCGTCCACGAGTACCCGACAAAGGGAGACTTTGAAAAGGCAGCTCACTTCATTGAGCCCGTCCCTTCAACATTTCATTAGGCAGCTCTTGGTTGTTCCGTGTTTCATGCCATCTCTATCGAGTCTCTAAGAGGCAGCCATCAGACAGGATTACTAGCGTAGCTATTAGGACCGGTAGCAATATTATTAAGCATCCATGGATATATTGAAAGAACGTTGGATAGTTAGAAAACAAAGGCAGATACGCGGCGAGTTTGCACAAGGCTCGTCGTCTTGAGGACAGGCAGGTTCATAGACACCGGGCCTTGAACGGTCGACTAACTGGGTTGTAAAGGGAACATATAAAACCCGGTCAAGTTTAGCTTCATGACAAAGTGGACGCTCACCGAAGAGATCTTGGCAGCTCGGGGGCCTTGGCATTAAGGGGAGGTGTACATGAATATATGAGAGTGGGCACGGGTGTCAAGCTGTCAAGGGAGAGTTGCAAAGGCGGACTACCGCAATTAAAATTTCCCACGAAATAACCAGCTCGCCTAACGGCCAATCCGTGAACAACATCTTCTCGACTCCGGTCAAAGGTCCGGAACTCGGGGGTGATCAACCCAAAATCATTCCGGGGAGATTGAGCCGCAGAGTGCCTTCATCCTGCCGAAAACTCCGAACGGTGTCAATTGAGACGACGGCCTCCACACTGCACTGTTTTTCGAATTGGGTGCAGATCTCACCCCGCAAAACACCCAGACGGAATTAGTCACGACCGTCTTGAGCTAAACTCCTAAAATGTTCCTCGGCTACCAGCGGGGGCGATCGGCACCGACCACCGTCCCCTTCTCGTCTCCAGCTTGGGACACCTGTCGGCGACCTTTCCCCCATAGTCTCTCTTTTCCTCATCGTTCCGGCTTGCGCTTGGAGCATTGTTCAAGCTTCATAAAAAACGCAATTGAGACTACTTCGGGCTGTTGATTTAAGAACTGCCCCGTAGCTTGCAGCTTGAAAACACCACCATGTCCATCCGTGCATCTCGCTTCCTCGCCCAGCGCGTCACGCGCGGGGCTGGGCTTCTCCGGCCGAGGATAGGCCTCGGCGTCTCCCGGCCCATGAGCACGGCGACAGACGCCCCCGCCTTCAACTGGGAAGACCCCTTGGCTGTCAAGGCCTTCCTGACGGAAGAGGAGATTGCAATTTCTGAGACGGCGGAGAGATATTGCCAAGAGCAATTATTACCTAGAGTTCTTCGTTCGTAACGACCCCTCCCCAACTCGTATCATTCCCAACGCTGGGGAAGCTCTATTTTGCGAAGGGAAACCCGCAAGCTAACCAATGCACGCACGCGCTGTTGATGCCGGCTCGTAGAGGCGTACCGAGACGAAAGCTATGACCCCAAGATCCTCGAGGAGATGGGCGACATGGGCCTTCTTGGAGCGACGATACAAGGATACGGATGCGCGGGCGTGTCTACCGTGGCCGGTGGCCTCATCACCAAGGCCGTCGAGCGTGTCGACAGCGGCTACCGTTCCGGAATGTCTGTCCAGTCGTCCCTCGTGATGGGCGGCATCTACGAGATGGGCACGGCCGAGCAAAAGGAGAAATACCTCCCCGAGATGGCCAAGGGCAAGCTCATTGGCGCTTTTGGCCTCACGGAGCCGAACCACGGAAGCGATCCCGGCTCCATGGAGACGGTTGCCAAGCCTCACCCCACCAAGACCGGGTACTACTCCATCTCCGGATCCAAGACCTGGATTACCAACTCTCCCATCGCCGACGTTCTCTTGGTGTGGGCCAAGCTGCAGGAGACGGGCAAGATTCGGGGATTCTTGATTGACCGCGACGCCTGCCCCCGGCACGCTCGAGACCCCCGCGATCAAAGACAAGAACGGGCTCAGGGCCTCCATCACCGGCATGATCCACCTGGATGGTTGCCCCGTCCCCGAGGCTAACATGTTCCCGCATGTGGAAGGTCTTCGCGGCCCCTTTAGCTGCTTGAACAGCGCGAGGTACGGCATCTCTCTCGGCGTCATGGGAGCGCTGGAGGATTGCCTCGCCCGCGCGAGGAGTACTCGCTAGAGAGGAAGCAGTTCAAGGGCAACCCGCTCGCCAAGTACCAGCTCATCCAGAAGAAGCTTGCGGACGCCGCCACGGATGCGGCCTACGGCACCGTTGCCGCCATCCAGGTCGGTCGCCTCAAGGACCAGGGCCTCGCCACTCCTGAGATGATTAGCATGGTCAAGAGGCAGAACTGCGACCGGGCGCTGCAAAACGCCCGCGTGCTGCAGGAAATCTTTGGAGGCAACGCCGTGAGCGACGAGTACATGATTGGAAGGCACGTTGCCAACCTGTTCGTCACCCAGACGTACGAGGGACAGAGTGATATTCACGGTACGTGTATTCTCCCCTTCTTGCGCGTGTCCGTCCCACCTACATTTGTTTATAACAGTTCAGATGCTAATCCCCCATCTTCTTTTCCTTTGTTCGTCTAGCTTTGATTCTGGGCCGGGCAATCACGGGCGTACAAGCTTTTGCTAAACCCCTCAAACATGCATCACGTTTAAAGACCATATAGATAGTAGAATATATATAACATATGACAAGAATGTTAGTAGATGTCTTCTTCTTCGCATAGACTCATTCATACACTGAATTCGTGCTCGAAGTCGCCGCTTGCATGCGCATGCTCCGCCCTCCGGACGAGCCGCTTGCGGCATTCGCCGCCCACTGGCTGTTTTCTTTTGTCCAGATTGATTTGGCAACACCATTTCCCAGGCGACGTCATCCCTTTTTCGGCCCACTCGGACAACTCCGCCAGCGATAATTTCCGTTTATTGGACGACCCGCTTCCTCGAGACCAAGCCCGATGCCCTCCAAGCCTCGGCGAGCCTTCTCAGGGAAGGACATCCAATGTACTAGCCAGAGTTGTTCCCCCTTGGGCCACTTCTTGATGGACGGAGCCTTGCTCATATTGTGCCTGAGAATTTTCGGCGGTCGCTCGGTAGCCTGGCAAGGTAAGCGTTCTGTCGACGATTCGCCTCACGGGAGGCGGACCAACTTGATAGTTTGCAAAATGAGCCAGTGCAGTGCTATTGAAGCTTCAGGGTGGCAATTCGAGTTTTCTTTGTTACTGGCTCCTGACAAACCCTCTCTTTCTTGGCTTCTGGTGATCGGTCATCAAAAATTGGGTTGATTCCTCTATCCGTCAATTGGACCCGTAGATTCCTTGAATGCAACTCGGATTCGGCGCTTAGAGAAGGGGGCCTATGGATGTGGTAGGTTCGGATTCAGGATGCATTTGATGTCCATTAAGCGCCGCTCACGAGATGAGCGAGTTACGTTTGGCATCCAGTGGTCCTTTTCTCCTCTTCTGACAAGGAGCACTGAGATGTTCGATCCATCAATACTCTCAGTTAGATTTGTGAGACCTGGAGCCAACCCCCAGCGCATCAATGAAATGGATCGATAGGTAGATAGACGGCATATGTTGTAAATCCACTTGATCGTGGATGAGTGCCGCGTGCTCGGGCACAGCGGGGATTAGCGCAAACGGGGCTCTAGCCATTAGCGTCAAGATACATTCGGCTACCAGTGACGTACATTGAGAGTGTTCTCCATCAAAGCCCCCTTCCACGGGTCAGCACAGATGCAAGATTGATCCTTCTAATCTTCTCTAGGCCAGGCGTATCTGGTGCTGGGCCGCCACTGCCATTATTCGCCTAATCCACCCTGCCCAGGAAGGAGGGGTAGTGACAAGTACAACTTCTGTAGCGGAAGGCACAGTCGGCGCACACCTGCACTTGCACTGCCATACTGGATCAAGAGAAAGGGCCAGTTGACTGGAGCAGGGAGAGGAAAGAATAGTAATAGGTGACAGCGCCAACCTGGAATGGGGGTTGTCCTGCCCAGGCCCGTTTGTCAGCCCTCAATCCATTGCCTCGCTACATTGATCCAGTACGTACCGTATTGGTGTTGTTCCAGGGAGGGGACTTGAAGGCCTTGTTGCCATCGCATTTTCTACTTCTTTCCCGCTATTTCTTCCCCTCCATTTCCTCCCTTCCATTTCCGTGACATCAACTACTAAGGAAAAAAAAGCTCCATCTACCCTTTACGTGTCTTTCACAACCACCAGGTAAATTTGCACCTCGAATTTCGTAGCTTTTTATTTCAAAGCCATGATCTATTGCTGACCATTTGCTTGTTTATTCTTTTGGGTGTGTGTAGTGACCTGGATTCTTTCCACTCTCGAACCTACGAAATTTTCTCACGATCCTAAACAAACCCCCACCTTTCTTCCTGATTCCATCCACGAACGCTTCGACCGAACCCCTCGCTCTCGACTTCTCATTGTACGTAGACATACCGCCCCTCTCGACCAGGCTACTAAACTTCACTTCATTACCGATACCCTTCATGTTTTTCTTCCCTTACGTTTCCCCCTTTTTTTTCTTCTTCTCCTTATCGTCCTCCAAGCATCAATCTCGACGTCTTTCGGATTTCCTTGACCCCGCAACGCAAAAGCAAGCAGACCAAAACTAACGACGCGCAAAATTGGCAACAGTCGAGAATCTCTTTTTTTTTCACCCTCAGATACCCCCTTGCCATCCGAAACAATGGCTCTCAAGAGAATCAACAAGGAACTCACCGACCTGGGCCGGTAAGTCTCGAGCCTTTTCATTTCTCCTTTGACCGAAGCCTTGGACATCATTTTCCCTACCATCTCAGCCCAAACGATTGGGTGGGGCGCTGGAAGCGGGTCGGCCACATCCTCTTTGAGCGCATCCCTTGCCTGATGCCGTGGATATTCGACGATGATAGCTCGTGCTACGATTGTTTGGGCTTTCTTTTCTATTTACTGACCATCTTTTTCTCCCGTTCTAGTGACCCTCCCTCTTCTTGTTCTGCTGGTCCCGTTGGCGAAGATCTTGTAAGCGATCCCGACTTCAGCCTGCCCAGATGATCCTGCAGCCTACCCCACCAAGGTGCCATCCAAGCATCCGAGAATGGGCATAAAGCACAAGACTGCGTTCATCTATTGCCCGTGGTCAACGGTACTAACAGCCATCGTGTCAATAGTTCCACTGGCAAGCGACGATTATGGGACCTGTAAGTCTCGCTGTCCCTCTTCTTTCCTCCTCACACTCGATCGACCTCATGCTGGAGTATCGGCCGACCTCACCACCGACTTCATGATCCGTCAACGGATGCAACGAGCCTCTATCAAACTCCTCGCGGCTGCTCGAGTTGTCGATGGATTTAAGTCGCTGCTGTGGGCTTGTTATACTAACTTGGTGCAACCTAGGGTGACTCTCCGTACTCTGGAGGCGTCTTTTTCCTGGCAATCCATTTCCCTACCGATTACCCCTTCAAGCCCCCAAGGTCAACTTCACCACCCGCATCTACCACCCCAACATCAACTCCAATGGCAGCATCTGCCTCGACATTCTACGAGACCAGTGGAGCCCGGCTCTGACCATTTCGAAAGGTATGTATCCCCCTATTGTCAATCCATCTCTGCTCGGAGCCTAGGCCCCAAGAGCTAGCACAACAAGCAAAGTCCCATACCCACCTACTCGATGGCTAACTGGTGGCCCATAGTCCTCCTTTCGATCTGCTCCATGCTTACCGACCCCAACCCCGATGACCCCCTTGTTCCCGAGATCGCCCACGTGTACAAGACAGACCGAGCCCGGTATGAGGCTACAGCTAGGGAATGGACTCGCAAGTACGCTGTTTAAAAGTGTGGGGGTTTAGTGGGTGATGAAGTGATGATGAGGGTGCAGATAGTGGTGGACATTATGCGCACATTCTAATTATCCTGGCCGTGTCTTTTTCTGGCCTCATCATAAATTCATGATTTGGTGGCTCCCCATCTTGGGCTTGTTCATATCCCCATGCCCTCTTCTCTCCTCCCCTCGATGTCTTGGGTGGTATCGGGTTCCGCACTCGCACTTTGAACTTTTCTCCCTTTATTCACTATCGTTCTTGTTGCATGATTTGTGTAGGCGCGTGCCTTTGTTTCGCGCATTTGTTTGCTAGCGCCCACAGCTACTTCCGGAGCGTCCAGAGTTAAAAGACCACGGGCGGAGCGTTTAGGTGGCAGCGATCCGAGTTTGTGGGGGACGCATGTGTGAGGGTTGTTATTCAGTTCTTAACAGAAGGAGCTGCCGATTTCCTCTCTGCAGCTCCCATATCGGACTCTGTTCGTTTGCTTGTGTGCTGTATTCCTTTCCTTTTCTTCCCTCATCTCTCTCTCCCACACACACAAACTCTCTCTCTTTTCCTTTGATGGTTTCTCTTGCGGTCAGTGTGGGATTGCATTACAGGGTTGTCGTTGTCTCTCCTTTAAACTGTTTATTGCCCTTCCTTTGATCAGGGCATGGGTCGCAGGGTCATCGCCTTTGCCTCTTCATTTCTCAATCAGACAGATTATCTATTACAGAATGCTATCTATTTGTGATCATCTACACCAACATGAGCCTACGGGGCATTCCGGCTAGATCAATGAGTCCCTGGCCGCTGTCGCCCCCTTTTAGATAGGTTGCGACCTAACCCACCAGCCCACATAGAGGGCGCTGCATACAATGAGTCAAAATGGGCCACAGTCAGAGAAAAGTTTCTTTTCCGCCACAGCCTGGTGGAGTGAGAGATGCCTGACGCCCACTCAATGGAGCTCGAAGATGACTGTCGGGTCCTTTTTGGCTCCGCCTCGAGCGTGGCGGATCCTTCTGGTAACTTTGGTTTATAATGTAAAAGTCTTGTTCGGGGAACGTCACGAGGCCAGACTGATATCTCTCTTCACTTGCACCTGTCAACAAATTTATCCCTGACCAGACCACGGTTGAAGGTTTCCCTTGATTCGGAATTATAGAAGAAGCATCCCATCAATGATTGATGTGATGATGTCATCACGTGCTGGCAAATCACAGCCAGCAGCGTCGAGGATCGAGGATTATATGATGGGAAATGCAATAAAGTCAGAATCTTGCGACATGTGAAGCAGCTCGTTCGAAAACCGGGGCGGATGACAAAGCGGTGAGAACGACGGTGCGAAACCTCGTCTTGCAGTCAATTGATCAGTCAGCTCGCTTGTCGAGCCGACTGGATTAAACTCTCACCAACAAGGGCAAGAAGAGGCTGGCCCCGGAATGCTGGCACGGTTTAGGAAACATTGCTAAAGGGGGCCATTGAGGCGAAGTGCACATGGGATTCGACAAGGCTCTCATTGTGAAGCTGAGCGTCGTCTCTTGTTGGCGGGGCCTGGCCCTGGCCCTCGTCTCGGCTTCAGCGCCGAAATCTTCAATTCTGGCGAACCTGTCACATGAGCACAGGCGGTTCGAGATCTAGCCCACCCTCTCCTCGTCTAAACATGCTTGTTTCTATGTTCTTCTGCTACTTCGTATCTCCTCCCTGGCCTTCCCCTTGAGTAGTAATACCCAGAAGGCCGGAGAAAGGGGCCCGGTGACGGCAAGTAGAGGGCCAGCCCGCTAGGACCGCTGGGTCCAGTAGGAACGATTGCGCATACAGATTGCGCACACAAATACAGGGCATAAGAAGGGAGAGGGGAGGGCGAGGGTTGAAATACCGGCAGTAACGACGGCTGCGGCTGGCCCCCTTTCCAAGACGTCTGCTTCTCGCGTCACCTGTTTGGGCCAAGTGGGGTTTATTCTTAGGCACGGCCAAGTAACACTGCTTCTTGCCTCGATCGCCGCAGGGGAGGAGGACCACTAGAAGGGGCCGAGCAAGCAACTCGCTTCGCCTGCAACTGTGCAAAGAGAAGCTCTGCGAGGGCGATCGGTTTCCATGGAAAGGGGGCCGGGGGCGGAAGGACGAGAAGAGATGTCAATGTTTGAGACGGTTTGAGGTGGGATATGCCGGTCCAGACCATGGTCTACGAGGATCTCTTTGGTCCGAAGCTCGAGCAAAGGATATCTAAGCAATGAGATCGAGGCGATCATGCAACAAGGCTAGAGCTGGGTAGAAACGACAAGGATGCGATGGGGTCTTTTTTCGCCTTTTTCGCTTTTTGGCCTCTTTTTCTTGTTCTTTCTTTTTCTCTTTCTTCTGCTTTCGTTTCGTTTTCATAATATCTGCTCCCCTATTGTGATTATTTCTCCCCGTTCGTTCTCGATGGGGCTTTGCGCCGGATGTACCAAAGCGCTGCTTTTGGCAAGGATACAAAATTCGTCTCGACGTGGATCGAGCGCTGATAGTAATATTACCACTCTGCACGAACAGGTCGCTGGTGTGGTTTCGATTGAGGCTCAAAGAAAATCATGCCACAAACACCGAAAATAAGCTGTTGTCTCTTTCCCCAAATCCTGCGAGGTTGTCATTGAAAATGCCTTCACGATGGCGGGAGAAAAGAAAAAGAACTTGTCCCCAAAGATCGAGCGACACGATGTCGAGGGGTGGTGATGCATGTGCAATTGATTGGAAAGCTGGCTCGATAATACTTGGGAATCCGCGTCAAGGCGATGGGTTTGGGTGGACGTGGAACGTTGGCGAACGCCCGAGGAGAGAGGGGGACAAGACGAGCAAGGTGGATCCCGCTCCCTCAGACCTGTATCAGGACCCCTGACGAAACACTCCGTGACGCACATGGGGCTGTTCCGAGCAACGCTCCCCGCCGAAGCTGGCCAATGAGAACGTGTGTTCTTCCACCAAACCAGCGACAAAACCCACCAGCAACCTGTCAAATCGCGACTAAAGATTTACGGGCAGCATTCAGCCGCCGGCGAATTCTTTTTGCTTCTTCCTGTTTTTCCCCCTTGCCGCCCGCCAACTCGACGAACCGTCGCATCATGGCCCATTCGACACCAAACTCTTCGCTGGGCGCTGGAGAAAGGCCGCCAGAGGTGAGAATTAATAATGGGATGGACCGACCCATCAACGACAGCTCCTCTCAAGGACACCTGCCATGAAGTCACGATAGTTTGGGGAAGTAATAATTGATCAGGGCAGGGAAAGGGCCTGTGCCTGCTTCAGTGGCCTCGTTGACGGATCGGGGTCTGACCCACCCGCCCTATCCTGGGCTACACTAGTGCAACAGCGCGAGGGCCATGATGTTTGAATGCGAGCTGGAAACCGGATAGCAATGGAGGAAACTCGGCGGATGGTGGCTGTGGCACAATAGAGACCGGAGCCGAGGAGACATTTCCTTGCCTCAAAAGTGCATTCGCATTTACGTCCTCGACGATTCGAGGGGAAAATAAAAGGCCCAAATTGATGCGATAGGTTGTTGAAGAAGGAGCAGCAAGGTTCAATGTTCAATGGCGATTGAGGAAAGTCCACTGGGCCCATCGCCCAAGCTGACAGTGCTACTTGGTACCTCCTGCATATTTATTCTTACTGGTTGGTTTGGAAGGCACGACTTGGAAGCTTTTTAGCGCTGGCAAGGGGACGGTGGCGCCAGAGGTTTAACGGTTGAAGAATTGTGACAACTCGAAGAAGCTGGCTGGAGATATCGAACAGTTCGTCCCCATCGCCACCGGCGCCAACTGTTTCGAGATGGGCCCATTCAGCGCAATCATCAAATCCTCTCGCGGCGATTGTGGACTGACATCGAGAGGACCGGGGGCCGGCAAATCGGCGTGCTCACTCGTCTCAACCTCGTTGGAGTTGACCAGGATCACAGTCTCCTCCCGAGGCAACGACCTCGAAAGAGATGAAGACGGCGAGGAGGGTCTAGACCTCTCCGCCGACCGCTTGCTCTGCCCTTTTCGAAGGCCATGCTCCTTGGGCCGATGCGAAGATCCCAGTGTCCCAGTGTCAAGCTCCACCCTTCTCTGACGGTACGGTCTTCTTTTGGCAAAGGGAGGGCAAGCTTCCCAAGTCACCCTTTGCGGTGCTCGCAATAATTCAGGTACTCAATGTGACTCCCCTGTGATCTCCCAGCATCCCGGCGCTGACTGTGCGTTGCTACCGACCCCCGACAATGGGAGACACCCCCAGACGCGGTGGACACCCCCGAATCCACCTCGTCGTGGCCTCTGTATGGGATCTGAGACTTGTACAGTTTGTTAAAGAATTCAAGTACCCATTGGCCCTCTCGATGCCCCGGATCCGCATACAATCCTCACCTATTTGCCCCCTTTTCTCAGTCTTTATTCTCCGAGAAAGGTACTCGCTCCTGCTGAGCCAGCATTATCCTCTGTCCCACCCGCCGTTCGCCGCCTTGCCCGCTTGGCCCACACCCCACCCTTCCGTCTTGCGCGGGCATTTGAGTGCAGGTATGATCTTCCCAGGATTCTCATACATCTTGGCAAGGGCCGCCTCTTCTGCCAGTTTGTACCAAAATCATCCCCTTCCCACCCACTGGCCCGTCTCTCTCTCTTCCCTCCGTCCCCTTTTCCCTTCTTCCCCCAACTACGGTCTTCGTACCAATTTTACCCTTTTTCGATTCTTTCTTCACATCCTTCTTTTTCTTCACTTCGTTTCCCCTCCGCTCCGCTCATTGTTTGCTGTCCTTTCCATTGTTGTTCCCAAAAGGCATCGCCTTGCTAACCCGGTGGAACAAGAGACGACGCAGGCATTCGAACCAAAAACGCGGGCGGATTTTCTTTGTGGCCCTTCATTCTTTTATAATACGAACATCGAGAACAGGAAACCGAGCTTGCTCGACGAACAAGACGCGGAGGAAACGAGCGCCCCGAACTCTGAGAAGCCCAAGCACACCACGATAGGCCGCTTCTTTCGCTTTCTTTTCTCGATGCCTTCGCTTTGCCCGTTCAGCAGGCTCTGAATTACGCGTGCCACTCCTTTTTTGGTCTTGAACCACCACTTTTTCTTCTCTCTTTCCGGCCCTCCCTTCTTTGGTTGGCCTTCCCAGCACTGGTTGCGGATCACTTAATACAATTCAACGGCCGGTTCGATACCCACACGAGTTAGAGATTCGACAAAATCAAAACAGAGACGGAGTGGGATTCTAGGAAGGGAATCCGGAATCCAGACGAAGAGCCTACACAGACTTTCGATCGACTAGGATTTCGGGTCAACCACCCAACATGGATTACTATGCTGGCCAACGGGACAGCTATGGCTCGAGGCAGTCGGAACGTTCAAGATGGACACCGCTCACGCGAATGCTGCTCTCTGGCGAGATGACGCAGGAGAAACAGAAGGAATTATCAGGGAAGGAAAAGTTTGACAGGTGGATGGTTAACGAAGGTTACAGGAGAGTGTATGTGCTTGCTCCCCCAAAAACGCCCCACTGCCATCGGCTTTTCTCGTATCATTTTCGCAAAACTGGTCACCCCAATTGCGATCAGAAATGAAGAGATGGATCTTGCTTGGGATGTGGGAAGTGCCTTTCTGCTAACACTGGTCTTCTAGCTTCGTCTTCGTTTTCGCGTTACTCCACGCGCTAGTGTTTGCGTTTGGTTTCGTTCACTACGCTGCCAAGGACAACCTGCAAATAGCTCGAGACACGTTTGGCCCGACGTTTATGATTGCTCGATCAGCCGCCCTCGTCCTCCACGTCGACGTCGCCCTTGTCCTGTTCCCCGTCTGCAGGACGCTTATCTCGCTTGCCCGTCAAACCCCGCTCAACGGCATCATCCAGTTTGACAAGAACATCACCTTCCACAAGGTTACTGCTTGGTCCATCGTCTTCTGGTCCTGGGTCCACACCATTGCCCATTGGAACAATTTTGGCCAGGCGGCCGCTAGGAATAACCTCGGAGTCTACGGCTTCTTGGTAGCTAACCTTGTCTCAGGCCCTGGTTGGACTGGGTATATCATGCTTGTGGCGCTCATGGGCATGGTATTCACCTCGGTTGAGAAGCCCCGACGAACCAACTACGAGCGATTCTGGTACACTCACCACATGTTTATCATTTTCTTCTTCTTCTGGTCCATCCACGGTGCCTTCTGCATGATTCAGCCCGACTTCGCCCCCTTCTGTACCGCCACCGGCGCGTCTGCCATTGGTGTCTTCTGGCAGTACTGGATGTACGGTGGTTTCGCTTACTTGGCGGAACGCATCGCCCGAGAGGTCCGCGGCAAGCACAAGACCTACATTTCCAAGGTTATCCAGCATCCTAGCAATGTCTGCGAGATCCAAATCAAGAAGGAGCACACCAAGACCCGCGCCGGCCAGTACATCTTCTTCTGCTGCCCCGCCGTCTCGCTATGGCAATACCACCCCTTCACCCTGACCAGCGCGCCCGAGGAGGACTACATCTCCATCCACATGCGAGTCGTCGGCGACTTCACCAAGGCGGTTGCCAAGACGCTTGGCTGCGAGTTCGAGAGGAAGGCCCCCGGTGAGAAGAAGGACACGAGCCAGGTTGTCGGAGTTGACGGTGCCAACGGTGAAGTGGACCCCGCCCTGCGAAGAGTACTTCCCCGCGTCTACGTCGACGGTCCCTTTGGCTCGGCGTCCGAAGACGTGTTCAAGTACGAGATCTCGATGCTTGTCGGTGCCGGTATCGGTGTCACACCGTTTGCCTCCATCCTCAAGTCCATCTGGTACCGCATGAACTACCCCAAGAAGCGAACCCGACTCAGCAAGGTCTACTTCTTCTGGATTTGCCGAGACTTTGGCTCCTTTGAGTGGTTCAGGTCTCTTCTTCTTGCCATTGAGGCCCAGGATGTGGACAACAGGATCGAGATCCATACGTATCTCACCGCCAAGATCAAGGCTGACGATGCGACGAACATCATGATTAACGACGCCAACGCCGACAAGGACACCATCACCGGTCTCCGCTCGCCTACCAACTTTGGCAGGCCGAACTGGGATATGATCTTCAGGGGCATCCGCAAGCTACACTCGCCCGCCGAGGCGGGTGTCTTCTTCTGCGGCCCTAAGGGTCTTGGAAGCACGCTGCACATCTTCTGCAATAAGTACAGCGAGCCTGGGTAAGTGCAAGAAACCATGGGAGAGGCCAAATGGAGCTCAACCGCACAAGCCCCCTTTGCTCTCTTCATCATCGCTCTGGGTCTTTATACAGGACCGTCAATTGGCTAACCAAGATTACTTCTGCAGATTCTCCTTTGTTTGGGGCAAGGAAAACTTTTAGATGCGTTTCCGACACCAACGCCAGTCTTTATTCCGCGCCAGCATTCGTCCCAAGTTCTCGTTTTCTACGTCTCCTTATGCGGGGGCTACCTCGCCGTGTCGCCTTGCAGTCTCGGTTGTCACGATCAATACCGACTCCTCACCTCCTGCGCCCCATCCCCTTTTTCCACCCACGAGAAGAAGAAAACGAATTGCAGTGCCGGAGAAGCTGGATCTCTCATCAGTCTCATCTCTCTTCTCTTCTTGGTGCGATATTATACAGCCACTTTTTTTGTCATTCCAATCGTTGTCGTTGCCTGCGTTGCGTTGCCGTATCATCCTTTTCCGGTCTCTTCATCTTTTCTTCTTTTGTGCCTTGCGAATTTCTTTTCCCACTCTGCATCTGGCGCTTTGTCGCAAGCGAGCGTCGCTGCACTCCCTCTTGTGTGCGGTGCGCCTCAGTATATATCCGATAGCAAACAAATGATCCTTATCTTTTTTTGTTGCGTTCTTCTCTCAGTTCTTCTACTCTTGCCGTCTTCCCTCCCCCTCTCCCATTTCGTCTTTTTCTCCCTGATGCGGTGATTCCACCAGGCTCTTGAGGAGCTTTCCTGGCTTCCCACATTGGAGAAAGAACGGGGAGGCGAGGGGAGGTCGATAGGGAGTTGGAGTGCTTTGACCCGGAAACAGACGGTCCCTGATCCTACCCTACGGGTCGCGTCTTCACAGGGACAGTTGAGAGAGACGTTGAATGTGGAGGTTGGGCGTGGTCGGCGACGGGACGGGTGAAGGTAGTGAGCGGCAGGGGAGGGTTGGCTAGGAGCGCAGCCCGGAGATCGAGAATAACCTGTCATATACAGAAGAGCCCGCGGAGCCGGCACCCCTCTCTGGCTAGACGACAATGTGGATGGATCACCGGGGAGTCCTTCTTGTGCCCCCGCCACCCCTCTAAGGATGGTGGCCGAGAGGGTACAAGGAGGGCGAGAGCGCGAGAGGGTGTGAGACTACGGAGAGAGCTCCGGCCCGCGGGGGTTTTGAAAATATATCCATGTATCTAGCGAAGAACCATTTTTATGAAATCTATTTTAGAGACAACCTCGGCCCACTTCCCTTCGTGATGTTTATTGTTATCTTGGGAGATTCAGCTGCAATTGCTATGGAAAAGATACCCCGGAGAGTCAGGGGCGAACAGACAAATCCTCGTACACCGTCATTGGCTAGATGAGGCATCCAACTTGCCCACTTACGAAAGTTCGAACATCTCGACGAGTTATCTTGTAAATGGGTGGTAGGGGAGAAGGGCTTCTCCGTGTCATTACTCTCCTCGTGCCCTCTCGGCGGCAATCCGTTAACAAAACTCCCTTGATAGAAGCGAGCAACGGGGAAGGGGCCGAGAAAAGAAGGAACAAAAGGCTAAACACAGGGAGAAAAGGAGAAAAGGCAGTGAGAGACGGCAGTCGGTCAGTTTTGAGTTTGAGACGTGGGATCGGCCAGACGCTTTTCTTGGCGGGGAGGAAATCGAGGGCTGGGCCGTGGGGTCTGGAGCAGTGTGTGAAGGGGAGGGAATGGTTCTTTGCTGGAGAGCATACGGTATAGTATTAGAAATGAAGCCAACATTGCGGGAATCGCTTGAGTAAGGTGGGATATTTCGTTGCTGAAAGCGGTGAGGGGAGGGCATCATCACAGGAGGCGTGACAGCCGTCAACCATCAGCAAAGTGCGCATAGGCATACGGGTGATATGAAGAAGAAAGAGAAGAGCATATGGAGGCCGACTTCTCTTGGCTTGGCGTTTTGGACTCCTATAGTCCATGTCTCCGAGAGCATCATTCCCTGACCTCTTGGGAATGATGTCTCTCGGAGGTTTTCTCGATCCGAGCCAAGGGATCAACGCAGCACGGGAGCAAAAGGTCGATACTATATATCGCTGTGTCAATAGGACGATGACCTCTTCCCTGCCGCGTCTACGTCTATTCAATAAATAGCGTGAAGGAGATATCTGGACTCTATCTCTCCTTAGCATGGCAGGGCAGTGTCTAAGCATGACAGACATTGGCCTCGTAGACATCAATTGATGCTTGGAGGGCGTAAGGGCAGTTTTATTCGATTCACGGTTCACGAATGCCGACTCTCGCCAAGGGCCGCGGGGCGGCGTGTGGGAAGAGTTTCCCACCCCTCTGCCACCATTTCACTTTTACAGAGCCAAGGACTTACATGTACTCAAGAATGATAGAAGAGAACTGAGTTCCAAACGGAAAAAGGCATTGGAAATGTTTGCCTCCGGACAGCACACCACCATCTGGCTGTTCGTCATCTGATGCCAGCCAAGGGAGCAAGCCACAAGCGGGCCCCAACGATCATCGGCAGCCACCCGGCGGATGCTTCATGGGCGGTGGTTGTCATGGCCCCCCATCCCCTCCTCCCATTCAAAAAACGATGAGCGCCCAAAAGGGTAATTTCCTGACCTTGGTCAGCTCCCGGCGGTGGATATCCAATCAATGCATATTGCGGGATTAATAGAGTTAAGCTTCGGGGGTGACCCTACCCTAGCAGGCTCCTTCGCGCCTTAGCTTCTGCTGCAAAGAAAAAAAAAAAAAAAAAAAAAGAGAGGGAAAAAGCGCTGGTCATCCACATCCACCCATCGCTTTGTTTCCTTCGGGCTCGCCGCATCAATGTATCCTGTTCGTGGGATTGGCAGCGTGGCGACTGCTCTGGCAGCGGATCTGGCTGGCCCCGAGCGGCGGTGGCTGGGAATCCCAGCCTGGTTGGCATGGGGGCATCTAGGCCAGGCGCGCCACGACAAAAGGGGGAAGGTAGGGGGGGGGAAAGTGAATATTGGCTGCTCCTCATCTGCCGCTGCTGTTTCTTGCAGGTCATTTTCCCACTGCACAAGACATGTTTTGACGCGGGACGGCTTTTTCTTTTTCTTCTGCGCGCGGTCGAGGGCGGTTCTCGGATTCGTCTCGGGGAAAGAGCCATGAGGCGAGCCAGGGACGAGTGGCGGCAGTTGCTTCTCCCATCGGGGTCGAGAAACGGTGATTCAAGCCCACCAACTTATACTATCGTTGACTGACTGATGGAATCCGTGAACGGCCCTCTCGCATTGATTGTTGAGGAATCTTCAGGCGCCAAAACCCTTGACGAAAAGGGCGGAACGAGGGTGACTCTGGCCTGAAGCCAAGAGCGGGCTATTCCGCCTTGGGAGGAGAGCAAGACAAGGTCACCCTGCAACCCTCCCCGAACATGAAATCGATAGTATACTTGTCGCATGTTGGTCGGACGACAACCACCCTTGCTTTCCTTGGTGGTCAAATTTGCGACCTCGAGAGTCGCTCGAGCTGCGCTAAGCTGATCAGGGCGTTGTCTGCTTAATCGTGCGGTGAAAGACATCCATCATGGTTCACTTTGTAATAGATGATGGATACTAAGGGTCCCCGCGCGACACAGCACCCACCTGGCAGCTCATCTTGTTCCGTGTCGGACGCGGAAAATAATTGATTTGTGTGTTTCGCTTAGCCATAGCCACGGTATCGGGATTAACGGGTAAAAAAGAGGAAAGAGAGAGATCAACTGTCTCTGCTGTCCGCAAGATGTGGATTTCAAGCGAGCAGTGATAACTGGCACAAGCTCGCTCCCCGGCGAGCGAAAGGACGTGTGCCGACGGGCTTTCGCTTGGCCAGCCAGCCTATGCCGTAGAGAACGGCAGCGAATGGGCCAATACTCCAATTGATGGATACGGGTCTGGCCGCGGATTTCTGACGGGTACTTGTCGCAGTGGGTTGGATAGATCCATTGGATTCGAGAGACATTGACTGGACATTGAGCTGCAGCCGCGGCTGAGCTGGAGGTCAGGCATGCGACTGGCTGGGGAGAGGAAAAGGTTGCAGCGGGGATTGGTGCATGTGATCTCTGGAACTGATGAATTTGATGCGCTTGAATCCCATGAATATGCGCTGTCCATCCAAACTTTAAACACCCAACCCAAAGTGGAGACGCCAGATCGCACTTTCCTGCAGGCCGGGTTTCCAAGGGTGCCGCGTTGAGTTGAGTGACGAGGAGCCCATACTTCAAGTTTGCGTGCTCAATAATTATCAACAGTATTGGGAGTACTGAGGAGCATCAACAGCTTCGAAGCCTCAAGTGCTGCTTTCCTTGGCCTGGCAAGACTGATTTCCCCTCAAGGAGCTGCGATCCTGGGAGTCAATTGACACAATACACTATGTTCAAAACCACTCTGTGCAGGCTTGCCGTCACATAGTGACCCAAGCTACCTCGGCATATCCTCCACGCAATCTTTGAGCTACCGTTCAGCGTACTCAAGCCCAAAAATACTTTCTGGCTTCAGGCACAACTGCTGCTGGCGCTGGCTTGAATACCTCGGGATCCCCACCTCGCTTCCCTCCCCGCGCAGCACTGTTCCCTGGTTCGGCGATCGCCTGCGAACCGTCTCGAGTCCAGACATCTGGAAAGAAGAAGAAGAAAAAAAGGAACAAGACCAAGACACTCTGGACATCTTGCCACAGCACGCACCGCCCATGCGCCGATTCAAGGCATTGATCATCGCGAGCAACAGAGACGACTTGCCTTGGTGATGGCATTTCTGACTCCGTTTGCACCAAGTCTGACCTCTGCCAGCGCCAGACGCCATTCCACAAAGAAACTGCACCTGAGGACGAAACATGCCCCCAGTAAATTGGCCGGCCGCGACCTTCGAGGCACACAAACGCTTCTCGGGCGCCACTTTGGGTTCAAGCAAGGGGCTGTGCAGTGCTACTGGTCTGTTTTTCCTTCTTTCTTTTTTTCTTTTTCTTTTTGCTACTTTGCAGTGTTCCTTGGCGCTTGACTACGAGACAAAAACAAATAATACCAATCTTCGCTAGCTTGGTCCACCGATGGCACTAGTCGGCTGCTTTGGAAAACCCAGAAACCTAGTGTACTTGCAGTGTCGTTCTTTGCCTCGCAGTGTTGAAAGGTACAAGGACGCTTGCCCAAGACACGACACAACACCTGGTTCCTGAGCGTACAACCCTGCGTCGCATCTCACCAAATCTGTCAGTGTTGAATCAAGGCCACCTGTCTACCAAGGGCATTGACGTATGATGGCAAGAAACGCCAGTATCCATCAGGAGAGAAAAGGAAACTTTGGTAATAGTGCTTGTGCCAAGGCCCAGTTTGGGTGCGACCCTGAATAACTAACAAGAACGAGCTTTTGAGTTTGGGTCGACCCTTGGTTTTCTACGTCACGCCTGAACACATTTCCCACCCAAAGGGCGCTGCTTGCTGGCTGCTTGCTGGCTTGAGAACGAGATTCGAGCGGGAAGCGGGTTCTCCGGCTCCAATGAAGTTAGAGTGGACCATTTGTATGTGGCCAGTGGAGTGACACTCCACCCCACCACCCAATTGCTAGGTACTCGTCACTGATGCTGTCTATTCTTGTACCTGGAAAGGGCTCCCTCCCTGCCTCGATCCATTGAAGGTTGGACATCTCTGGTTCTCTTGAGCTTCACAGCACGCGAAAGTTTTCACGAAGACGCCGGCTTGGAAAGGGAGAGAGATGGATAGAGAGAGATAGAAGAACCTCGCACCAGCATCATGGCTTAGTATCGGGGGCTCAGGCAACGGCGGCTTCCCACGTGTCTTGAACGCAAAACTACCAAGGGTTCTTTGATCGAATAAACCCAAAGAAACCTCCGACATTCACTTGACATTCCTTCGCTTTCAACGATTCATCGTATCGCTCGCCTCTTTCCGGCGTACCCGCCGAAATGCATCTCTCTCGGGCGTTTGATACCTCAAATTCTCCCTCGTTGGTTCATCCACTCCACGAGGTTCAAAAAGACAAAGTGCAGGTGCAGGTGCAGGTGCAGTGCAGAGCCGTAGCAAGAGTGCATCAGACTGGGCTTGGTGGCTTTACTTTTTACGGAGGAGAACAGGAACGGGCCACTGACCTTCCGTGTTTGGCTGGACGGGCTAGCGCACCCTCGGGTCTCATGGCATCCCCATCCAAACCCGTATCGTATCCACCACACGCATGACGCCGAAAACAAAGTGCCCAAGCTTTTGGCACACACCACAGCCCTCTCGCCGCTTGGCTTAGGGCGGTTGGCCTCTCTGGTGTGTGTGTGTGTGTGTGTCTCTCTCTCCACTTTGGAGAACTCTTTGCCCTCCTCCTTCTTCGTCCATTCGAACCGCACTTGAGGAAAAAATGCGTCTAGGCCTAAGCTAAGCTCTTGAAGTGCTATTTGTCTTGGCTAGGGCCCTCGATCGTTGACTCCTTCTTTTCTCCTTTTTTATCTATTTTTCCTTTTCTTTTCCTTCTCGATCTTCTTTTGTGGCTTTCCCACTTTTACAATCTATCCAAACGGTCGCCAGAATAGCCAAACTGTCCCAGCTCTCTGTCTTTCAAAATCATCTTGCTCGCGCAGATCTCTTGTCGCTCACTTTCCTTGTTTGTTTCTTTGACCGATATCACCCTTTTGATTCCTTGCTCTTTCCTAGCAAGGTATTAGCGAAAATTCCCTGACCTGGTCGCCGCCCCCAACTGCCTGTCGCAAGCAAGCCGACCCGAACCACCAGCACCCTGTCGCTTTTGTGGACCTTGCTTGGGCTAGTCTGGATTTTTCTCTGGTTGGAAAATAGTACCAGGGGGTGAACAAAGACGTCTTCCTCTTTCTCAAATCCTTCTAAAGGGTGCCCCCACCCCCTTCTTTTCCTCTTTCCCCTTCTTTATCGCACCTCCCCCTCGTTCGATAGCTTGGTCTCGAAACAAAACCTCGCCCCAATCACCAAATACCCGGATTGCGGACAAGCGGGTGAAGAAGGATTTTCTCCCGGTCAAAGTCGGGGTTTCTCTTCAACACACATCGCGAAGCGACTCTTTGTCAATTCCTCTATTTCGCCAAAAGGATGCGCCTCTCTATCCCGGCGGCCCTGACGGCGCTGCTGACGGCGACCTCGGCCCTGAAGATTCCCCGCCAGGATCCAAGCCCTGATCCTGGCCCTTCGAGGACGACGTCACCTCGACCATCTTCGTGACGGACCGCCATGACAGGACCGTGTCGAGCGACACGACTGTTTTCCGTACGGTCTTCAGCACCATCGTCGTGACCGTCACCGACATCTCCACCTCCGTCACCACCGTGTCCGATGTCGATACCGCCACCAGCACCGTGTACGTGACGTCGACCCAGGTCGCCAAGCGACACATCGACGTTCCCGCCCCGCCGAGGCCACGCCCGTTCTCGAGGTGCCCGTCAAGACGGTGGAGAGGGTCCAGACACCGCCGCACATCACGGCCGCCGTACCGGAGTACGACCGACGTCTCGGCGCGTACGAACTCATGCGGAGGGCGGGTATGCAGGATCAGTTGAAGAGGGCGCTCGCGAAGCGGGAGACCATCTTCGTGACCGTGACGGTTGCCGTGGACGGCATCACGACCGTCTTCAACTCCATCACCAGCACCGTCGTCTCCACAACCACGAGCGAGTTGCACTCGACCTCCATCATCACCTCCACCGCGTACGAGAACGCCAAGGAGACCGTCACCGTCACCTCCACCATCATCATCAAGGCCACCACCGTCACCACGGGTCCCGCCGAAACCGTCGGCAGCGTCCCCGACGGCTCCAACATTGGCGACGGCGATAACTCGGGCGGCGATAGCGGTTCCTCGGGCAACAACAACAACAACGATTCCAAGGAGACGGGCGGTGGTCTTTCCACCGGCGCCAAGATTGGTATCGGTGTCGGTGCCGGTATTGCCGGCCTGTTGCTCATCGGCGCCATTGGTACTTATTTCTGGAAGCAGCACCAGATGAAGCCGCGCGTGGTCGACGATGGCCTCGGCGCCGGCATGAGCGAGGTCCCCGTCGGCGGTGCGGGCGTGGGCGGTGCCGGTGTCGCCGCTGCTGCCGCTGCGAACAGGCACAGCCGCACTCCCGATCACCACAACCACAAGGTTTCGCCTCTTAGCCCCGGTTTCGTGCCTCCCGCGTCCGTCACGCCCGAGCCCAGGGCCGGCGTGGCTGAGCTCGGAAACCAGCCCGTGCACCACGGCGCCGAGCTCAGTGGCGAAGATGCGCTGCCGCGCTTCCCGACTGCCGCGGAGGCTGATAGCAGACCTGTCATGGGCCACGGCTCCGGACCGGTCCCTGACGTCTACGAGATGCCCGCGGAGCCCTACAGGTGATGATTGGCGACGAAAGATGGGCGCCGCCCCTCTGCCGAGGGGGCGGGTAGGAGATTGTATATACCATGTACGTTGAGGTAGGAAGAGGGAGATCTTTCGGGTTGCATTTTTGGGGGAGGGAGGAGGGACGCCCTCCGCAAGTTCAGCTGTCACAAACATCCCCTCGGCGGGTGGACATGGGAGCTTGGCGAACCTGCTCTTCCCCTTTTTAGCATGAAAGCATACACTGTTTGGCTTGGTTTTTTTTTTTTTGATGAGCTGTGCGGAATTACTCCCGTCACATTTATTTGTTTACTGGTCCGAGGCATCTGGTGCTATCCTATTTTCCGGGTTGTTTCCTCTCTTTTGTCATATTATTGCAGATGCGGGGAAAGAAAGAGACGTCTATCCTAGCTTTCCTCTACGCGTACGTATATCCTTGCAAGAATCAATGGATATTTTAATACTGAACAAAGAAAGAAAAAAGAAAAAACCGGTCCACGTATCGATCAATCTATCTATGCTATACGTGACCGGGTCCCCGGATTCCAGGGAAACGGCTCGCGGTTCGCTCCCGTGCCGTGCGGGGAGGATTAATACAGCTTAATTGATTGCACGTCGCGAGGCCGTCTTTCCTGAGCTGACTGAACCTTCGATTGCTCCACGGCGACTGTAGATAGTAAGAGTGTTGAAAGGGGCAAACCCTGTGGTCGAGGAGCATCGGATCGAAGAGGGTTGATCTGCGTACGCGTCAAAGGAGCCGTGATGGAGTGGAGTAGACTGCCCCAAAAAGCAAAAGGGGGAATCCAAAAAAAAAAAAAAAAAAAAGAAATGCAAATAAACCCCACATTTCGTCAGGAACGCGCAAGACTTTGTTCGTCACGGCGGACCCGAAAGATACGGAAAAGCGTAGAACCTTGCTTTCTCATGGTGATCGACGAGAACGGGGTTAATAAAGCATTTCGGTCTCAGGCCAACTTTTCTCTCGTGAGGGAGGATGAACCCTTGCACTTTTTGACAAGTCTTGGGAAGCCCGAAATTGGAAGGGGAGCGGGTGACGTCAGATGATGGGCGACGGAGTCATTCTGGGCCTTACACGGCGGTGGTGCCTTTGAGAATCCCTGCGTCTGGTTTTTGATGCGAGGATACGATACTGGTTATCTGATACCGTGCGTGGAAACGGGGGAAGAGCGAAGGAGTGCGTGTTTGGTTTTGTGATTTGGGACCATGCGGCCGTTGTGATGTTTGGGGAAGGCACGATCGGGAAGATGGAGTAGGTGCAAGAGGCGCGGGTCGATCTAGCGGAAGGGCTTCTCCCTTTCCCTAGCGATAGATTGTCGTAGGGCAGGAAGATTGAGTCCTACACGCCCCCTCGCGACTTTTAATGCCTGATTGTCACATTCCTTCGCTTTTTTAAGAAAGAAAATCTCTATTAGCCATCATCTCTTACTGGAGGGATGTGGGAGACGGGGGTGTAGGCAAACTAACCCTTTCCTCACTCTGCACTCTTTCGACGGCCAAGATGAGAAGGGCTGCGGTCTGGGATAAGCTGCGAGGGAATGGCTCGGAGCAAATGGATGAACTCCCTCGAGAAGTCTATTGTCCGGCTTCTGCTGGCGCTACTAATTACCAGCAAAGGCTCCGCCGTTCTTCGTCCGAGGGTCCAACCCCGTTCGATTGTTGCTGCGACGATGGCGACTTTGACGGCTCTGACGGCTCTGACGGCTCTGACGGCTCTGACGGCTCTGACGGCTCTGACGGCTCTGACGACTCCGGCCACCATATCCTCAAGTCTAGAACGAATTCTTGTGATAGAGGGATGGAGTACTCACGAGAGGAAGGCGATGCGACGTTGTCCTCCTTACCGAATGGCTTCTGCCGCTGGTCGCTTCTGGCAGGGGAGAACCATCCTCAAGATTTTGGACTCGGTCTAGTAAGGCAAGAGGCCTTTCTGAGCGCTGTTCAGTCCATGCCGAGTCTGCCTACCATCATATGTGGCATTTACGATGAGCGAGAGTACAATTCTCCCTACATGGCCGGTGCTGTCGTGGAAGAAACCTTTTCCCTTCCCTTGATTTCCGATACACCGCCAGGCGTGCCCAACGACCACTGCGCCTCCACGGAGGGGATGGGTGCTCCCAGAGCCCGAGTCTCTCCCTGTACTGTAGGAGACGGTAGCGAGGGTGCCTCGAGCCCCGATTCCAAAAGCGAAAGTCCCCTCCTACGGACCTTGAGGCCCCCTCGGCACCGGGCCTCAGGACCCCCAATTCGACATTCAAGACCCTCCGCCCGGCTAGTGCCCGCCGACTCCTCGCCTCGCATCTCGATCCCTTTTCCTCCCCAAGGCACCTCTTCCGCCCTTGCCGAGACTCGTCGTACATAGCATGCCCGAAGTATTACAGTTTCCCGGCCTTCGAGGCGAAGCACGCCATGCCCAGCGCCGCCCCGGCCGGCGTCGTTTTCCCCAAGCTACCACTCCGGTCCCGAAGTGGATGGGAACATGGTCCCCTATTTCATTCCCATCCCTACCACGAACCGCAACATAATGTTTCCCGATTTCTTGCAAGTCGTCTACCGTTTTGGCGACGGACACCGCCTCTCCGCCTGGAGCCAGTTTTTCGGTCGCGCGTCGAACCGCTGGATGGAGCGCACGAACCTGCGCACAATCTGGATGCGCATGGTGGGTAGGCGGTACTGGGAGGAGAGGCTCAAGCGCGGTCTGCCTTGCCAACCGCTGTGGCGGGAGGTGCGGGATCGGCTGGTGCAAAGCGAGGACTGGGAGGTGCAGACGTGCGTGGGGGACTACCCGTCGGACGAGGACGCCGAGTTCGATTTCGACGACGACGACTATGACCACGAGCGCGCGGGGATGCCGAGGAGAAAGAAAGTGGTGGCGGCGGCGCCCGCGGTGCTGCATATAATGTGAGCGATGACGACGATGATGATTGGGAGGTGGATGAGGAGGAGCTGGATACTTATCGTCGGTCGATTAAGCGGCAGACGATGAGGCGTCAGATGTGGCGGAGGTTGAGAGACCGAGTGGGGTCGGACTCGGAGTCGGAGTCGGAATCGACGGCAGGGTCAGGGTCAGGGTCGGGATCGGGGTCGGACACGGGAGAACAGGACTCGGATCCTAAGTAGAGCTCGGACGAGGCTGGGGAGGAGGAAGCCCAGGTTGAAATGGTGGAGGACGTCGCGGCCGAGGGCATTTCCGACGATCACGCCGGGGAAGGGGACTAGCATGGACACGAGCACAATGATCTAGGTCTTGATTGAAGCAGGAGGTTATCCAGTTGACTGGCGGGCAGTGCAGAGAGCACTCTATGCTGGGGCACACGTTGTTGCTGTGTTTGCTCAAACCGAACGGGATGAGGGGGAAGAAGCGACACATTGGGCTACGGAGTCTGTTTTTCTTTTTTCTTACTTCCTTTACTGTTTCTTGTCAAGAGGAGTCCAAGGGCTAGCGTTTAGAGAATCGGATATCATTAAATCAATTCAAAGTGGGTTTGAGTATGTGTGTGCATCGTGAACTATCCGTTCCCCTTACTTTTTCTCTTTCTCTCTCGTGAGTCTTCCGTTCGTACTATGATACATATCCTGCATCCTCTGACTACCTCCCCTCCTCTCTCTTGCGTTTTTTTCTCCTTTTCCATACAAGCTGGCCATGTAACACAAGCATAAGAACAAGTAAAAGGGGAAGAAGAAAAGATACAAATGCGGCGAGGAAATGAGATTGAGAAACCGGGAAACACGATTGAAAAGAGTATAAACCGTCAACAAGGTGAGGGAGAAAAAGAGAGATTCACCGGAAAGAAAAAACGTATGGAATCAAAGGAACAAGAAGGGAAAAAGACACCGCCTCTTATGCCCCGACAACAGCCAAGTTTCTATAAATCACCTTGCGGACCTCGTAGAGCGTGCCCTTTGGCGCGCAGCCATGATGCCATCGCCCGCCGTACCGACGACCTCGATCTTGCCGGCCGCCGTCTTGCGGACGGCGACGACGCCGTCGACGAGGAGGGTACCCTCGCCGCGGAACTCGGCGCTGTAGCCGGCGGCCTGCATCTCCTTGCGGAGGTCGGCGAGGCGCAGGTCGCCCACGTGAAGGGGCTGCGTCCACGTGCGGGCCTTGGCGACGGCTAGGTTGGAGAGTATGTCTAGCGTGGGGACGATGGCGCCCGACGCCGAGAGGGAAGCGGGGGCGGTTGCGTCGCTGGCGGGCGCGGGCGCGGGCGATTCCGAGCCGGCGTCGGCCGTCTTTTGGCGCTTGTTGGCGCCGTCCTCGGCCGAGGCGTTGGGGGCGGCGGGCTTGTCCTCGGTGGTGAGGCCGAGGAGCTGGCCGGTGATGGTGACGACGCTGAGGCCGCGGACGTTTTGCCACTTGAGCTTCTTGACGAGCGAGTCGGCGAGCTTGAGGGTCCAGGCGTTGGTGTCCACGCTGGCGTCCACCATCTCGCCGACGTCGGGCGTGAAGACGTTGGCCTCGCCGTTCTTTGCGAGGGCGCGAGCAGCTTGCGGCAGTCCTCGGCGAGGGCCGTCGTCTCCTCGCGCGAGCCGCCCACGAGAATGAGCTTGCGGGGCTGGATGAGCGGGATTAGCATGTTTAAGCTGCGCTTGTCGTGGAGGCCGCTGAAGTCGACGTAGGCGAGGCGCAGGTTGATGGCGACGGTTTCGGTGGACACGACGAGCCTCGAGGGGCCCGAGGGGTCGACCTCTTCCACGTCCTCGACGTCGTCAAACTCGTCCGCCTCGTCCGCCTTGGCGCCTTCTTCCGACACGCGGCGGTTCAGATTCGGCCGCTTGTTGCCGCCGTTTCTCGCGTTCGTCGCGGCGTCCTCCCACCTGCGCTTCTTGCCTAGCGCCACGTCGTTGTCGCCGCCTGACGCGGCGTGCAGGGCGTCTTGGGCGTCGTCCACTTTTTCCTCGGCACGTAGGAAATCCTCGGGGCGGATGACCTCGCCAAACTCGTCGAAGCGCTTCCGCCTCACGGCGAGGGGAACATGCGATCCCTACCGCGCCGGCCGTCCACGTCGAAATCGTAGGTGCCCTTCTTCTTCATGAGGATGTTGATGCCGAGGTCCTCATCTCGCACAGCCTTGCGGGCCTGGCCCATGGTGGCGGATATGTTGAGAACTCGCCCTTGCTGTTCGCCGTCCGAGTCTTCGGACTCAAGCGAGGATTCCGAAGAGGCATCGTCGACGGCGTCGGCCGACGCCTCCATGCCGCCTACTCCGCCGCCCTGCACGTTCTCTTGCAGCTGGCGCTGTGCTAGCCACTGCTGATAGAGCGAAAGCTCCTCGCCTTCGAGGGCCTGCCTCGTCTCCTCTCGAATCTCCAGCTCGCGGCCGCCTCCGTAGACGAACTCGAGGTCGTCTCCGCTGTCAGTCTTGTCTGTGGAAACGCCGTTCTTCCTTTCCTGCCAAAAATCCCATAGTGACCCGGCGAGCGTGGGAGTGTCCGCGACTGCGCCGGGCTTGTCGGTAAGGATAAGCACGTTACGGGAGTCCTTGGCAAGCCCTTTCAAAAGTCCTTGGCGTATCCCCACTCGAGCGATGCGTCGCTGGCGAGGATGACCCTTCCCGTGGACTGTACGTTGTCCTGGTTGGCGGAGAGGAGCTTCAGGATCTGAGCCTTGCGCTCGACAATCTTTACGTATTTGAAGTCGAACGGCCCGCCGTCCTTAGCGGCCTTGTCGTCCCCATTCGGTCGACGTTGATTGTCCTGTACCGCCTCGAACTCTCGGTTGATGTTGTCATCCATCCACTCCAGCATAGTCCTCGCGTACCGAATAGTGCTGGCCATGCTACGACCGGTCAGGTACAACTTTGCTGTTTCGAAAGGGCCATGTTCCTGGACGTCTTTCCTCCACGCATGCTCGAGAATGTATGCTAGCTCAAGCACACGAGCGCTCGAGTCGACGGGAATGAGCGCGGTTCCTCCACGGGTGACGCAGGATTTGATGAGCCCAATGAGCTGTTCGTCCCGCTTGGACCGGCCACCCATCTGTGACGGCCTCTCCACGCCACGACTGCTGCAGATGAGGGCCGTAGGCTTGCGCAGCTGCTCAATCACTTCCGCGCCACCGCCGCCGGCACCACCCAGCCACGCGGCGCCCGAGAATACATTCTCTCGCGCAAGGTTCCAGTCGACTGCATACACGATGGACTCGAGCCCGTGCTGGATATGCCACATGGTACCACCCAACGTCCGGCCCGAGTTGTACGCGGTGATGGTCAAGCCATTGAGAGGGGGCGTTCCGGGGTCGGTAGAGGCTGGTGGGGCTGTGAGTATTTGAGGGGCTGGATAATGGAGAAGTAGCGGGCGAGCTCCTGCGACGTCGGGGCCTGCAGGAGCAGCTGCTCGGCGATGGTGGGCTTCTGGGTGAAGGCTATCGCGGCCTCGGCCAGGGATGATTCGGGTATAGTTGTCGCCGCCTTCGGGGTGGATTCGTAGAGATCTTGGAGAAGAGCCCGGCCGAGGTCGGCGACCGGTCTTGTCGCGTAAACGGGTATGTGTGTGAAGCGAGGAAAGTTTTTGCAGCAGTACGCAAATGCGGCGAGGTGGCCAACGGTGGCATGTGTGAGGAGAATGAGGGAGATGGTCTGGCTTTGTATTTGTCTGTTGCGGACACCGCGCCGTCAGTTTCACTTCTCACTTCCCGGGAAGAAGGCGTATGTTCTCACTTTTCTAGCTCCTTGAGCTTTTGGGGTCGAAAGACTCGTCCCAGCCCAGGCCGACTAGGACTTTAACACCGCCATCGAGCTCGAGGAGAGATTGCGATGCGGGGACTGGGATAAGGCGCCCTGTAGCGGGCAAAAATTAAACATGGTTGGCGATTAGGGAATGCCACACAGCTCTGGGCTGCCTCGCATTTAAGACAGGTTGACGTCGTCAGGCTTGGTTCTCTCCAATAATCATCGGGAAAAGTAGGTCGCGAGGGACGTCCCTCAAAATTACGGCGCTCGTTGTCGGAGATATCGAGAATTCGGCAGAGAAATGTTCGCGACGGAATCAATTGTCAAGGGTTCGCATTCGGCTGGTTTGTGAGGCTGGCAAAAACGAGATCATGGCAAGCTGTCAGTCGCGCGACAGCAAGGCTCGCTCGATCCTCCGCGTCAGGGAAAGAAATGCAGGTGCAAGCTTGGATCCTGCAGGTCTTATCGGGTGATCTTCGGCAAGGCAGCATTCAGGCAGAGTGTCTTGAGTGTATCCTCAGAGCTCTCCTGCCCCACTGTGTCAAGCCACAGGTTGCGCGACAAAAAGGGGAAACGCCACGGAGCGCCACAAGCCCGCCCTGACCCCAGGTCCCACATGCCACTTTGAACTTTGAGGAAACCGCCGAGCGAGGGAAGGTGCGGCAGGAGAAACCACCTGGTCAAATTGGCTGCACCATCCGCACCTCGCCCACCAGCCCACCAACTCAACCCACCCACTGACCTGGAAATTTCCGAAGGCGGATGACATCCTGGCTTCCCACAGCTGTGCATCCCATTGACCCCGTCCGTTCTCGCCTCATGAATATGATGCCCCTGATTATGATTTTATGAACGCCTTTTCTCTGTTTCTAGGTGAGCTGCCTCGGCATTTTGCTTTTGCCCCGCTCCCCTTTTGCCTTTCCTTGGGGAGGACACAGCTTCGGTGCTGGTGCCATTGGACTAAAAGGAGTCGGCTTCCCATTGATCTTAACACCTGTACTAAAAGTCCCGTCCCGCCAGGCCACATTTCAGAAACTCCAGATCGCCGCCTCGTGATTTCGCGACCTGGGCACTCGCTCCTGGCCATCCGACCACGCCTCGATTAAAATTGCCATCCACCGTCTGTGATTTTGCAGTGCTCAATCCAGCTCCAGCGAAGCTAGCCATCGCCAGGCCAAGCCTTTGGGCGCGTCTCGCTCCCTTTCCCGACAATCCTCACCTAGTCTTCCACCCCTCCTCACGCCCTGCCGCTCACCGCCGCCACCATGGCCGATTATTCGATGTACCACGCCCTCGGGCAGGGAGAGCAGATCGACCCCAACGATCCCAATCGTACCACCCAGCCAGCCCCTCCCCAGTTCAACCCGCCCGTCGCACAGCAGCCGTATCAGCAGGCCTCGCCCTACGGTAGCAGCCCCGCCCCTACGGTAGCCCCGCGGCCGGACAGCAGCAATTCTACGGCGGCGGGCCGGCTGGTCAACCCCTACAACAACAGCCCCATGGCTATGGCGCGCCCCCTCAAGCCGGAGCTGGCACACCCGGTGCAGATGATGGGCTCGCCGCCCAGATGGGAGGTATGTCGCTCGGAGGAGAGATACATCACACTGCGCGAAGGAAGAAGAAGGATCGTCATGCGTTCCATAATGTCGAGGCCCCGGCAGCCCCCGGCTCGGCGTTTGGCGCGGTGCCCTCTCCTGGAGCACCCTCGGGTTTCTTTTCTCCTCCCGATGCCGGTGCCGGTGCCGGCCCGCAGCTCCTAAGCCCTTCGCAGGGTTTCACGCCGGCCATGAGCCCTGGCCTCAGCCCTGGTCTGGGACCGCAGGGCAGCCAGTTCCCTCCTTCTGCCAACCCGGCTTTTGCTCCCGGACCTACCTCCCCGCTGGCCTTGGGCTGTCTTCTCCGGAAACCGCCGTCTCCGTCGGGGGTCCTGGCTTTGGTGCTGCCCCTGGTGGTCCCGCCACCGTCTCCGCCGAGGACCTGCCCAGCATTCCGGTTATGCGCGATTCCACGCAGCAGTACTTCTTCCGCAATACCTACCCCACTTTTGAGCGCCACGTGCCTCCCCGCCTCCATCTCGTTCCGTGCCTTTGATCAAGGTAACGCGTCCCCCAAGTTTGCGCGATTGACCATGAACAGCCTGCCTGCCAACGCGGAAGGCCTCAACTCGACCTCCCTGCCCCTTGGCCTCGTGTTGCAGCCCCTTGCGGCCGTCTCGCCCGGAGAGCTACCCGTGCCTATTCTCGACTTTGGTGAGATGGGCCCCCGCGATGCAGACGCTGCCGCGCATACATCAACCCTTTCATGATGTTCCGCAACGGCGGCAACAAGTTTGTGTGCAATCTCTGCTCATACCCCAACGATACGCCCTCCGAGTACTTTTGCGCCACTACTCCGGCCGGTGTCCGTGTCGACCGCGATCAGCGCCCCGAGCTCACTCGCGGTACCGTCGAGTTTGTTGTGCCCAAGGAGTATTGGACCCGCGAACCCGTTGGTCTGCGCTGGCTCTTCTTGATCGACGTGACCCAGGAGTCCTTCAACAAGGGCTTCCTCGAGGCCTTTGCGAGGGCATCCTGGCGTCTCTCTACGGCGGCGAAGACGACGAGGAGGGTGAGGATGGTGAGCCCAAGCGCTCGATACCTAAGGGCGCCAAGGTCGGGTTTGTCACTTTTGACAAGGACATTCACTTCTACAACGTCAAGCCCGGTCTGGAGCAGGCGCAGATGATGATCATGCCTGACATCGAGGACCCGTTCGTGCCCTTGAGTGAAGGCCTTTTGTCGACCCGTACGAATCCAAGGATGTCATCACCGCCCTCCTTAACCGGCTCCCCATGATCTTCTCCACGATCAAGAACGCGGAACCCGCTCTGCTCCCGGCCCTCAACGCCGCGTTTGCTGGTCTCGAGGCCACTGGCGGTAAGATTATTTGCTCGGCCGCGGCGCTCCCACATGGGGTCCTGGACGGCTCTTCATGCGCGACGACGGAAAACATGTCGGTGGCGAGATTGACAAGAAGCTCTTGACGACGGAGCACCCTCTCTGGACGAAGCTCGGCGAGCGCATGGCTGCTGCGGGTGTCGGTGCCGACTTCTTCCTGGCGTCGCCATCGGGCGGCTACCTCGACGTAGCCACGATAGGCCATGTCTCATCTTCCACTGGCGGCGAGACGTTCTACTACCCCAACTTCATTGGTGGACGTGACAACGCCAAGTTGTCGTCGGAGATTAAGCACGCGGTCACGCGAGAGACGGGTTACCAGGCTCTCATGAAGGTGCGGTGCTCGACGGGTTTGCAGGTAGCTGAGTACTATGGCAACTTTATCCAGCACTCGTTCGGGGCGGATCTGGAGATTGGCGTCCTTGATGCCGACAAGGCCATCGGAATCAAGTTTTCATACGATGGAAAGCTCGATGCCAAGCTGGACGCGCACTTCCAGTCGGCCCTGCTCTACACGACGGCCGATGGCCAGCGCCGCGTCAGGTGCAGCAACGTGATTGCCAGCGTGAGCGAGAACACGCGCGACTGTCTCAAGTTTGTGGACCAGGATGCCGTGTACAGCATGCTGGCCAAGGAGGCGGTGACGAAGCTGGCAGCGACGTCGAGCAACTTCCGCGACGTGCGCAACTGGATCTCGGAGCGCACCATTGAAATCCTCTCGAGCCACCGCAAGAACTTTACGTCGCAGAGCGCGCCCCCGGGTCAACTGATTCTGCCGGAGCGCCTCAAGGAGTTTGCCATGTACGCGCTCTGCCTGGTCAAGTGCCGGGCCTTCAAGGGCGGCAACGAGACGTCGGACAGGCGCGTGCAGGAGCTTCGCATGATCCAGTCCATTGGCGCGCAAGAGCTCAGTCTGTACCTGTATCCGCGCATCGTACCGATCCACAACCTCGAGCCGGCCGACGGTTTCCTCGACTCCGAGACGGGCGAGCTCCGGCTGCCACCCGGGATCCGGGCGTCCTTTTCAAGGTAGAGCCCGGCGGCGTGTACCTCGTCGACAACGGGCAACAGTGCCTCGTCTGGTTCCACGCGCAGACGTCGCCCGACCTCATCGCCGACCTGTTTGGGCCCGACTTCCGGTCCCTGCAGAGCCTCGATGCCTACACGTCGTCGCTGCCGGTTCTGGACACGCACTTGAACGCGCAGGTGCGCAACATTCTCGAGTTCTTCAAAGTGCAGCGCGGCTCCAAGGCGGCCAACATCCAGCTGGCGCGCCAGGGTATCGACGGTGCCGAGTACGAGTTTGCGAGGATGCTGATGGAGGACCGGAATAACGAGGCGCAGAGCTACGTGGACTGGCTCGTCCACGTGCACAAGGCTATTCAGCTCGAGGTGAGTCTTGACACCGGGAGATAGCCTCCCTTCCCCTTGATAGGTATGTCTCAGTGGCTAACTACGTGTGAAAACAGCTCAACGGCTCGAGGAAGAAGGAGGACAAGGGCGACGGAGGCGTGTCATCCTTTGCCGGGTTCAGGCCAAACTACTGGTAAACCCGGGTAAGAAGTCGTGATTTTGGTGTTAGTTTATCCAAAAAGTCTCCTATCGAAACATGAAGAAATCAAAGGTTACCCTCGAGGCTGGAGGGTGCCTGGGGAGAATCTGGGGAGACGTTGCGGTTTGAGGAGGAGCAGAAGGGTATGGAAAGACGCGGATCATCTGCTGCTGCATTCCCTCAAAGCCGGTAGAGTGGGGGAGGAAGTCTCGAGGATACACAAAAGGAGGGTGTGGCGTGCGCGAGCTTGCGATGCAGGCTCCATGAGACAAGTGACCATGGCTGTTTTGTATCTATCTACGTCGGGGCCTTTGTATAGAGATGGTTGTTTTCTTTCGAAAGGTGGTATCGTTGATCATTGCAGACGAAAAATTTCTTTTTTTCTTTTCCCCCTTGCGCTTTTCTCCAACCGGTTCGGAAGCGTTTCGAGGATAGGTTGAACTCGGCGGTTAGCTCCTCCGCCATGGACAGTCACGATGATGGGCCGAATGCCTCCAGAATGGCTGCTCCCAATGCTGCATGTACTGGCCATTGATTCACGCAACTAAATCGCAATCCGCAACAAGGCTCCGCTGGCTGAAGACTTGAAATAGTATCATTACTATCGATTGGCTACTATAGACGGGAAAGAAAAAGAAAAAAAGGAAAACCCCAAAAGAAAGCCTCGCTGGTCCTGTTGTGTGGACCCAGCCTCATCCTGGTAACTTGTTAAGAGAGAAACAGCGACGTAAGGAAAGATAAAGAGCAGAAGAAAGACACTGGCATAGGATAAATAGGAAAACGAAACAGGGAGGATTAAGAAACGAAAGAAAAATAGATAGAACGAGTGGGGAAGGGAAGAAAACGAAGGCGCCGCAGAAGCTTGTGAGAGGAGTGCCAAACCAAAGGAGATAAACGTTTAAACGTTGAGTCGAGTTGGGACAATCTTGGAAGACAACTGGGAAACTAAGGGAAGAAAAAGAACCTATGTGAACCCCATACGGATGTACAAGGATAAACGAGTGACTACAGGAAGTAAAAACACGAAAAGAGACGACAGACAGGCATCCCACGGCACTTTTGGAGCTGAGGGAGAAGAGAAAAGAGAAGGACTAGTCAATCTGTGCGCATATTAGCGGGCAGTGTTGGCGGAGCACCCAGGACCAAGCTCAGAGCTGCGAGGTCTTTGGTGTCCTTTTTGTTTGATTCGATTCCTGCGCGCGACAAAAACGTGAACATGGATATACCGGTAGCGGAAAGCAAGACCAAAAAAAAGGAGCTTCGGCATTCTCGTGTTCTTTCCCCTGTTTTTCCTTTGTGAGGAAGAGGGGGTGGGGGTGTCAAATATAACGTATCATAGGGCACGATGCCCAGTGCCAGAGGCAGAGCCATCGTGCCGGGGTACTTGATCTACATTGTTTGGGAGAATCGAGTCCCTCGGACAGGCTTGAACGTTGGGGTTGTCGGGCACGGGGCCCGACACAGGTGCTGGTTGGGCGGCTGGGAACAAGGCCCTCAGCGGATTCCAGTATCTCTTATGGGAGGTGGTAGCAGCGGTAGGCGCAGAGCCAGCCAAAAGGCGGCGCGACGCGTAACGTATAAAGACTCTCGTCGTACAGGGCGTCGGCGAGACGGTCCTGAACGAGAGAGTAGAGGGCGGAGAGGGTCCGCTCCTCGGCGGGCAGGCACCAGGACAGGAGCTTGCGAGCCTGGAGAAAGCCGGAGACGACGGCTTGACCCTCCTCGCGCCAAAAGTCCCGCATGAGGGCGACTTGGAGGCACACGTCTCGTTCTTCATCTTCTTCTTCTTCTTCTTCCGCCCCGCCGCCGCCAAAGTACGGCGAGCGCGGGCGCGGGCGCGAGGACGTCGTCGTCCCGCCGCGGAAGAGCACGTCCCAGATAGCGTACCATTGCCCCGCCTCGGTAGCACCCGCGACGGCGGCCGACGACGAGGCGTGCTCCGCGTCGTCGAGCTGCTCACTGGGAATACCGGCGTCCAGCGGCGACGACGACGAGGAGGAGGACGGGGTGGGGTGGCGCGGAGCTCGCACGCGCGGCGGTAGATGTGGCGGTTGCGCGCGGCGGTGGCGGCGGGACCGGAAAACGTTTTGTAGCACGCGGGGCAGTAGGGGTTTTGGCGGTGCTGGGCGTACAAGTGGCGCAGGAGGTCGGGGACGGAGACGAGGTCGGCGCGGGTGACGCACTTCCGGAAGGGGCGCGGCCGGCGGCTTCGTCGCCGCCGCCCGCGGCGAGCCAGACGGGGCAGGCGAAGCGGCGGGCGCGGGGGCGGAGGGGTAGGGTGGTGATGGTGCCGTCGGGGCGGGCGAGGAAGGGCTGTTTGTCGCTTTTCCAGGTGGAGAACTCGAGGAGGGAGTGCTGGGTGAGTTCGGGGACGAGTTTCTGGAATTCGTGGTTGGGTTCGAGGGTGGGTGGACGGATGATTTCGTCGTCGTCGTCGTCGTCGTCGTCGACAAGATCATCTTCGTTGCTCTCGGAGGATTGGTCTTCCAGAGCGGCATCGAACTCTTGCTTTTCTCCGAATGGTTCGGGTTCGGTCCCGTCACTCATCTCTTGTTCCACTTGCTCCGCTTCTTCCACTGTCTCCTCTTGAGTACGAGAAGTGGGCGTAGGCGGCGCTTTTCTACTTTCTGGATCTTGCGCTTCCACCTTTCTTCGCTTCTGGGAACGGCTGAGCTGTTGCGGCACATGGTTCGCCCTCTTCTTCTTCTTCCGGGGAACGACTTCCATAAAGCCTTCAGACATGGTAGACCGGGCATCTACGGAGAAGCCACCATCGTCCGAGACGGTGGCGGAAGAACCACTGGACGAAGTGTCGGAATGGCTCAGCGGTTCTTGGGCCGCGAGTGCCGGGTCCCGAGGAACCTCGGGCTGTCCTGACGGGCACGAAGAGGGCGGCCAAACGTGGGAAGGGGTGGGACCAGAGACGGCGGGACGCGGTACCCGCGGCAGCTGCAGGAACTTGGACGCCATGCGGGACGATTTCAGATCCAAGTCCTTGCGAACAGTCACCTTGAGGTGAGTAGCGTGGCCCATTTTTCGGTAGCCAGGGACACGGCAGCGCCGACGGCGGGCCTCACAAAGGTCTCGCCCAGGCGGTAGAGCCTCATGACGGCGGTGCGGTGCGGCGTGGCGTGATGACTGCCGAGCCTCACGAGGAGCCCGTTGCCGCTGCTCTCGGGGTTATAGAGAAAATCTCCAAAAATGGTGAGCCCCCGACCCGAGCACACCACGTCGCTCTTGGAGAGCAGCGGCTCGTGCCAAGAGGGCGGGCATCCGATCCAGCGCCAGTACTCGGCCGGAGACGAAGCCCAGGCGCCCCTCCACGGGCGCGGGTCGCCGGCGCAGGCGTCCCACAGGAACAGGGACATGTCGGGCGACGTGCGGCAAATTTCCTCTTGCAGACGCACGAAAGCGGTGGCGCCCTCCCCGTAGATGACGGGGATGTTGGCGTCCATGATCCCCACGAGGGAGTAGGCCCTGTCTTCCTCTCTGGAGCAGGACCGGCGGGCTGCCCAGGACATGCGCTTGGCCACGGAGAAGTGGCGGACGAGAGAGGCGTCGGCCAAGGCGGCGGTGGGGATGTCGGTGATGCGAGAGATGAGCTCGCGAAGCGGAGGCGTGGTCTTGCATCCGCGGAAAGTCCAGGTCCGGTCATGGAAGCGCACCGAAGGTGGGGCGAGCAGCTCCGGCAGTGTCCAGCATCTGGTAAACCACGAACAAGCCCGCCATGCGGGCTCGTCAAACGTATATGGTGGTGGGTCCGGGTCGATCGGGGCTAGATCGTCCAGGTAAGCGATGAGGTGGTGAGCCTCGGAAAGCCAGCGATAGGAACATACGATGGCCTCGCTCAGCTGTGCGGAAGAAGAGGAATCAACGCAGAGATCAAAGGCCCAGATGTATCCGATTCCAACGTCCTGTGCGGCTCTGGCGGCCTTTACGTAGAACGCAAAGTCGTCGGAAGATAGGGTGTCTTCGCGACGATGCACAAGATCAGAGTACGTTACCTGGCCGTGGCGCCATCGGCGCGACACGGCAACGTAGGCGGGGCGCGATTCCGGGTCCGGAACGTATCGGAATTCCCAGGTTTCCGTGGATAGAAGACGCATGTTGCCCATGGTGGAAAGTTGCCGGGCATCAAGACAGAGAGAAGGAGATATGAAGAAGACGTCGCTCCGGGGCCGGGCGACGTGGCTTGAGATAGAGAGAGAGAGAGAGAGAGAGAGAGAGAGGGAGAACTCAACAGGGCGCGTGCAAGCGATATTCTTCTTCCGTCTTTTTTCTTTCTCTTTTATTCCGTTTCCCCGTTGCTTTGTAGCGGACGGCGGGATAAGTAGCAAGATCAATACCTGATGGTAGTACGAACGTGACAAAAACGACAAAAACGAGAAGGAGTAAAATAAAAAAAGAGACGTGGGGAGACGAAGAAAAAATGTTGAAAAAGGTGGAAACAGAACAAGGTCAATCACTCTAATTCTGGCCCAAGACCTCGTTTCACGAAGAGCTCAACTCTGTAGTGCTGGAACTACTTAAGACGAGCTGCCCATCACCTTTGCGGCACATAGGAGACCACGGTTAGGTGTACGGGGGCAGTGTTTTCCGCCTAGAGAAGAGAGAGAGAGAGAGAGAGAGAGAGAGAGAGAGAGAGAGAAGGGGGATGTAATTGGATACGCAACAAGGAAGTTGCCACTATGGTTTGCCACGAAACGGAGACTGAGACTCCATTTGAGGGGGGAATTGGTGAAGATGGGATATACCTAGATGTGCTGCGAGATGGATCAATATGGTGCGGGCTTATGGGACAAAAGACGATATGGCGAGGGAGGATGGATCGAACTCATTATATAGAGACCGGGATGGGATACAGCCAAAAGCAGGAAAGGCATTGGTAGCTTGGAAATGGAGATAGCGCACAGCTGCGCTGCTCTGCTGCAATGCATTTGTAGTAGATACGTCTTGGGGAGGCGGACATTGGCACCCTGTTGCCCCAAGTTCACTGTCACTGATTTCCGATGTGCCCTATGCCGCGACAGCCCTGGGGAATGACTAGCGGTGGGATCAGGCTCCTTTTAATATAGTGGACCCATGGATCAATTGAATCCGTAGAAAACTGAGAGTTGGACGCAGAGGCTGCTAAAAGTGTTGGAATGTTCGCCTTGAGGACAAGCGCACTTGACACTTCCTAGGGCCGACAGTGATGTCTTGAGGTGAGTTGGAAAAAGGCAAAAAATGCGTCCATGTACGGGTTGATTGGTCTACATCAAGTTTGGTTGAATCATGTCAGTGCGCCCAGTGTGTGCCCACCCTCACGTTGATGGTGGTGCATTAGGAGGAGATGAGGCGTCCAATTTTCCATACCCCACCCCGGGGGCGCACGGCGCACAGGTGCTGGTCCATCACCCACCCACCACCTTAATCCCCCATCACTAGATCCCGCCCCAGCACCGCAATGAAGTCAATGATACCGAGGGACGGGGGCAGGGCTTGAGGGTATACCCTTGGTCCCTTCACTCCTTCTTCTCCTTCTTCTTGTTTCTTCTTCTTCTCCCTTCCCCCTTTCTTCCCTTGCTCTCTCCAGCCCTTTCCTGCGTGATTCATTTGAATATTAGATGTTTTCCTTTCGTTTTTCTTTTCCCGGGCCGAGTGGGGGACCGCGGCTCCTTGCCTTGTTTGTCTTCCTGCCGCTGCTGTTCCCCTTCACCCAACCCGATACACGTAAAGGGCCATGTTGTCAGCCGCCTACCTCCACAACTGGTACTAGCTTCCCTAGTACGTCAAGAAGAGGAAGCGGCATGATTTGGAATGAATGTGGATCCATTCCCTGTTGGGGGCCGGGGGAGTAGGCGTGGCTTCCTTTCATGGAGCTGTTCTCGTTCCCAGTCCCGAAGTAGTATGATAGTCTCTGTGCAACCGCAATCCTCACCCTTGCTCCTCGGGGGTCACATTGCTATTATCACAATCTACTCTTGAGCCAATACTGCTCAGGCTCGGTCACGTCTATACCGACTTGAATCCCATACCTAGCCTGGCTCGCTCAGATGCTCCGAGTCTCCGGGCTTTACATGTATTAATGGCTATTAGTGTCTATCAATGTCTATCGTGACATGCGTGCCTCGGATGATAGGAAATGGGCAGGCTCACGCCCGATGTCCGCGTCGAGCACTTTTGCGCCGGGCGTGGCCATACCTGTAGCCCGCCGGGTTTCCCTCCTTAATATTATGCCTTTTTTCCTATTATATGTTGCCCTCTGCCTTGCGCCTGACCCCGCTTTGCGACCTGGGTGGCCAGCGCATAAAGTGCATTTCCTCTTCCGTCGGCCCTCTTGTGCTCTATCTCGAGACTCTGTCCAAGGTTATCCTTGAACCAAAGCTCTCGCCCAACCACCATATCATCTAGTGTATATGTGCTATCTATACTTGCCTAAACTCGTGCAGTCGTACCCAATTCTGCTAGCAACAAGGCCCATTTCAGTGGTGCCAAAGGTTGCCGGACAGATAAAAACAAGCCCTGCTTTACACCGAGAGTCGCTTCACCCAACTATCTCCATATCAATACCCGATATTACTATAGAACACGCCCACACGCCAACGCGCCGCTCTGCCACTCTTCTCCAGTCCCGAACAACAAATTATTCCAGCGCGTGCATGCGTATATAATCTCTAGTCCCTTCTTCACGCTGCTGAACAAAGAAAATCCAATTTTCAAAAGAAAAGAATAAAAAGAGTCAAAAACCACAGTCAAAAAACCAATGTAACAGCCATCTGTAACGAGAGAAAAGAGAGAGAAAAGAGAGAGAGAAAAGAAGACAAGGATAAGACAAAGACAAAGACAAAGAAAAAGAAATTGTTGCCAACAAAACAAACACCATGCTCCCCCGACACAGTACACGTTCCCCTGTCCCATGTTATTGCTCCCAGTTCGCCCAAGCTATGCCAGATATAAAAAGACCCAAACACCCATCTATTGGCTGCCTTGCCGCCCTGCAGGACGGAGGCCCAGCATCGGAAAGTCTGTTTAGGGTTAAGGTTAGCCACCAGGCTCTAGGAAAATTGCGGCCAGCCAAGTTGACCTTGCTTTTGGGGGCGGAAAAAGGACGACTATAGCACACATACCAGATATACACGGAACGAAACGAAATGCTCGTTCCATTCTTCGTTTTTGTTGTTGCTGAATTTCTTCCTTCAACAGGCTTCGCTTGGGTGGTTTTGCTTTTCCCGGCAGGGTTAGATCCCCCGCCGTGCAAACAACCTCAAAACTAAGCTCGAGTCCAGTCCAAATAGTTGGGCTTCAAACGTATGAGTAGCCTAGCAACGACATCATTGCCAAGCGCCTGGAAAGCCTCCGAGTCCGCGGACCCGATCGACGGGGTTTCGCCGCTGCGGAGCGCAGCGGCGAGTAACGTATTCACCTCGTCGCGACCTTGAGCGTGCCAAAAGTCCTCGACGAGGGCGAGGTCGCGCCGAAACGCCTCCAGCTCTCCGCGCGTCGGGCACGGCACGCGGGACCCGAAGAGGATCTGCCACGCCAGACGCCACTGCTCCGGGCCCGTCGCGCGCGGGTCGACGACGGAGAGCAGGAACCTCTGCTCCTCGCTGATGCCGTGGAACTGGATAAAGTCGCGCTTTTCGCACCGCCGCTTGAGGATGTGGGCGCGCTGCCGGGCGGGCGTGGGGAAGATGGCGAGGCACACGGGGCAGTAGTGCGGGAGGAGGTGGTGCGTGGCGTGGTGGGCCAGCGCGTCAGACGCGTTGCGGAAGTTGCCGTGGGCGAGGCATCCGGCGTGGGCTTCCGGGTTGAGGTAGAGGAAGTGGCAGACGTAGAACGCGTCCTCGGGCGCAGCAGCAGCAGCAGCAGCAGCAGCCGCGGCCACGTCCGCCGAAACGTCCCCAGACTCGCGCTCGGGCTCGCCGCCGAGGGAAGAGGAACACAGCGAGGCCGGCCTGTTCTCGCGCGCGCCTTGCACGTACTTTTCAAAGATGGGGACGAGCCTTTCCGTCAGACCCGGCGCCAGTTCGCTCAGCTCGTGCGGGGTTCCGCATGGGCCACGGCCAGCGCGGGCTCCACGTACACGCCGGGCTTGGCGCCGAGGAGCCGCGCGAGGTCCAGCGAACGCCGAACGTCGACGAAATTTTGATGGCGCCCGTCGCCGTGGTCGCCTAGCTCGCCACCGTGCGGGGCGGACATTCGGCGCCGGACATGGTGTTGCTGATGCTGCTGATGCCGCTCGCCACTACCGTTGCCGGGGCCCTCGAGGGCGAGGGACTGTGGGGGACGAGCAAGGGGGCTCTTGCGACGCCGGCCCGTGCCTCTCGGCCGTTGGTCGGCGGGGAGGGTGGCGGCGCGCGCGGGACTGAGCTTTTCGGGCCTCGCGACCTTGTGGACGTGGGGCGCGAGCCGGCTGCTGGGCTTGGCTCGGCGCGGCGAGTCGCTACGCCGGAGACAGAGCTTCTCTATGCTGCGGGCTAGGCGAGACTCGTCGCTTGGGCGGGGTAGCTGGGTCCGGTACATAGTAGATGGTAGTGGTAAGAAGGATGGATCTTGGCCGAGGAAATGGATAAGTAAGGGCTGTGGGTGTCTCTGTCTGGAGAGAAAAAGAAAGACGGAGAACAAGAGAAAGAAAAGATTGGCTTTTCGTTGGGTAAAGGTAGGCGATTTTAGATGCTTTGAGGAAGGGTGATGATGAGGGTCTTCATTTGGGCGTTGATATATTGCACTTGTTTGACTGACGCCAGACACTTACACGTATTTGGGGGCTGAGTGTCTCAACACTATCCACGTAGCCGTTGACCCTTTTCAAGACCATGAAAGTGAATGCGCTGGGCGAATCAGTAGTTTATATCTAAATGCCAACGCAACCGATATGCTTTCGACCTCACAACCATGGTGATTGAATGGACTGACGGAGGGCTAGCTACGGTAAAGAAGAGTGGCAGTTCAGACAGCCTGCGAAGAGAAACCGCCACCGTCATGCGCAATTACTATTCTGGGGCTTGAAGGCTTCGATGCCTGTATGCATACACCCTTTAGACCTTGTCCATACATGAGGCCCACTGCGCTTATTTATCCCGGAATGTGGGGGCTCTCCCACCCTCATTGGCGGGGGATCGGTACGACCACAATGTACCAAGGTAGATGATGGCAGCTCATTCAAAGACAAACCAATGCACATCTGTGCAAAGAAAAAAGACATCCAGAGCCGAAATTCGCAAACATGGATGGTTTACATCGAATTGAATCATCTTAACATGCTAAAATCCGCCAGCCTTTGTCTTTTGCTTACATGTACCCTCGACTCTAACCAGCATCAGTTGACCATCGCAATTACTTCAATTGCATCGGTCTTGTCTCATGGTCTGCATCATGGGCCGCCAACACGACTCTCTTTCTAACCCAACCAACCCAACAGAAAGCTCAACGAGACCGAACCTGATAAAATAAAATAGAAAAGAACAAGAAAAAAGGAAAAGCAGTGCATCCAAAAAAAACTACCCAACAGAACCATTGAAGAGGAAGGAAGAGGCGAGCGAGGAGACTTCGGTGTATATGCCGTATGCCGTAAGACTCAGCGAGCATGTACTACCCACGCCCCAGCGCAAGCCACACCATCAGCCCGCTCAAGTATTGTTGCCAACCTTGCCCTTTTCCACAAACGGAAAACCAAAGGCGAAGTGAACCAAAGGTTAGTGATGGACAGGCTCGAACGAGCATAGCTGGATCCGCGGGAGTCCGCTTGAAGCCGGGGGAAAAGAACCAAGCAAGAACGCTCGCGTGGCTCGATTAACCTATGTGCCGCATGTTCCACTACAGACACAAATCCTGGTCATGCTACGAAAGCGCCCGAAATCTACCGAGGTTTTTCTTCTCTAGCATCAGATGTTTCCAAATGTTCAAACGCCGTGCCTTACGATGTAACTAGATTGGGAGATCTACATCCGGCGACGTGCCCGCCTGGCCTCGTTCCATTTTCCTTGCTTCCCCTTCGCCCTACCAAGCCAAATGGATATCCTCACCGACACCGATGCGCAACATGCCAAACAAGACATGGAAAATGGATAGTTCAAGAGCACGGTATCGTGTTAATGGAGAGCAAGGCTCTCTCGCAGAGGAATGGAGGCTGCCTTCAAATTTCGCAGGGCGCTTTAGTGTGCAAACGTGGTCCGCAGCCTTGGCGAGGCTAGAGAGGCTTCACCTGTAGCACCATCATTGATACCATCTCCCGCGCACACGTGCCGCCCATGCACTACACTTTCCACATCGACGTCCAGTATTTCTGGCGACTCGAGGCTCGCGGCACAAGTCTCACCGCAAATTCAAATCCAACCGCTCGAGTTCCGTTTGCTTACATTCCCCAGCGGGCTGCGCCTACCCGTCCGTGCTTCACCCTGCGGTCATCCCTCGCGATAACTTCAAGCTCCTTTCCAACGAGGGGGCCGTTGGACTAGGCGTAGTCTCTCTGCCTAAGCTTCGTTGATATTCATGGCGGGGATAAACTCCCCGAAAAGAAAAGAAAAGGGTCCCAGTAGCTTGGGCGGGGCGAAGAGTTGAGGGGGAAGATGAAATGCATCGTCCTCAAGCCTTCCATGACGCAGCTCCCCTTCCGGCTCTTCGGTTACAAGGTGACCATAGATGTATATATGTAAGGAAGGATTTTGACCAGTCACCTTTTGGCCTGAAGCCAACAGATGCGTGATTCTCTCTTCTGTACATTACGACATTACGCCTCGATCCTCTCAACTATTTTTACCCTCTCGGGCCCCTGCGATTGCTTCGGCCCCGTGCCCCGTACGAATCAAGCCCTTCTAGACTCCTTTCGCCCCCTCTGTCGGCCCCCCGAGTGTGTCACAGGTTTGGCCAATCCCCTCAAGCTTAGTGGATTTTCTCCCTTGTTCAGGGGCCATCGGGTACGATGCCTCTCCTCTCAGCGACTAGAAAGGTTCTGCCCGTATAAGTGCTGGAACGTCATCATGGGGCTTTGTTCCCCCTTTTGGTACCCCCAAGTTCGTTACTTTTTTAAGGGCCCTTTGCGACGAGAGAAGCTGAATCGGAAACTCATGTGCAATGGAGGAACATAAACCACGAGGTCTCCGGCGCGTGCGCGCTCCTCAAGCCACAGCCACGAAACATGATTCTATCCTCTGCTCACCTCGTTCGTTTCCCGGACCGCGCACTGCAAATTTGAGGGGATGGTGTGTCTGGTGCCGACCTTGAGTGTGTCGGCCAGCCAGGCTCTCGCACACCCCTCTTACACCGCGAGAAAAGGCAGGGCGGCGAACGAACAATTGCACGCCGGGGGTGGAGGCCGGGGTGGAGACGGGGAGAGAAACACTTGACCCATGCGCACCCATGCGCACCCGTGCGCGGGGCCACCCCCGTGCCTTTCAGGTCCCTTGATAGGGAGTGCTGGGTATGTTATCGCCAGCGAGCGGAAGAAATTAGAAAAAGAAAGTAAAAACGAGCACCGCAACTTTAATCTCAATTGTCACCCTCCTATCTAAAATAGGCAGACTGACTGCTGGAGCCTGGCGTCGGCCTAAATCAAGAGTCCGACTCCCTCGCCGTACAGAAACCCGCCGTACTAGGCCGCCGTCCTCCTCTCCCCACCTCTTCGTAGACCGAGCTCGATGTACGAGCAACTCCTTGCCACGGAGGTGCGCGAGGAGGAGGGGGCCACCTGATGCGGGATAATAATAAAAAAGAAGAATAAGAAAAAGAGCGCAAACTCAGCCCTATCTTCGATCCATGATCTAAGTCGTCGCTAGTCTCCATCCTCGGAACAATCCGACCAAGGGAAAGAAGAAGAAGAAGAAGAAGAAAAAAAAAAGCCCAAAACTAGGCAGAAACTCCCACGCGCACTGCCCCTCACCCATCCGGAAGCCCGGAATCCCCATGGCACCTGTACGGCCCCCAAATCCACTGACGCTAAATATAAAAAAGATGAAGTAAACAGAGGGTGGCCAAGAGCTGACGGTAGCCCGATCCGCGCGGGGTCCGCGCGCCCGCTGTCGAAGTGACGACCTTCTCCACCCGGGGACCGGCCCATCACGCGCCGCAGCATGGACCCGGGCCGGCGCTTGTAGATAATAGGAGCGAACCGCGCAACCTTTCCGATTTCCGATCCAAGACTCCGCTAACCGCGCTCGGAGCCGCACCATATTTTCGGGTGCGGCGCGTAGACCAGGTAGAGACTTTTACGTGGTGGTCGGAGGTTCGAACGGCGATTCTAGTTTCATGCGTAGTTCAGGTTCCAGAACCTTGATATAATGGATGAATTCAAAGTGTGAAACAACGTAGACGTATAGCAGAGTCATTCATCGTGATATCTCGTAAAGCCACAGCGCACATCATACAAGCATTTCTCATGTAAACCCCACAAGGAGTCTATCGACGGGGTATACACCTTTAGGTTGAATCAGTATATACCAACTCACTTGTGGAAGTGAGACGAAGCTCCGCGAAACCCACCTCAAGGCGAGGAAGAGAATCTCCGCAGGCGTTAAGAAGCCTTGACTACAACCGGGTTGCGTAAATAATTGGCCCCGTCTTCAGTTGACGGAACGGGCGGGTGGACGACGGCCCCGGCCCCACGGGTCTCTCTAACATGGACGGTGTCGGTGTGGTCTGCGGGCATATCATCCGATACCCAAGGATATCTTTAGATGGGACAGGGAAGGAAGCGGGAGAGTTGCGGAAAGCTGCTATGGATGAATCTTGTTCGTCGGTCGTTACCCTTGTCTTAGTTCATTTCCTCAGATGTTGCGAGGATCTTGATGCGTAAACAGCATCGTCAGTTGTCGGTGGGAACAATGGTAGGCATCGAGGTGGATATGGCCTTGAGACACTTCCAACGGTCTCAAACTCCATGGCCCAAAGCCTTCCGGGCTGTATAGACCGGCGGGCACGCCGAATCCCGGGGCTGTTAGCTTGGGGCAGTCAAAAGGTTAAAGGGATTGGAAGCCACCGAGTGAGCGAACTTGACACAGGTGAAAGCATAATAACCCACACTAAATCTGAGCGTACCTTCTATCATCCCGCTTAGAGCTCCGCAGATGGCAGAGAATACGTCCCCGTCGATAGGAAGAAACCCGGTCGGCGGGGTGGAGGCTTGTAGAGTGCAGCAATATCTCGCGAACCAGGTTGGTTCCAAGATACCCTCCTACCCGTTGCCTTTCATCTTTCACCTTGGCCCGCTCAATTACCATGTTGCTTGCCCACCCTCACGGTATTGGACCTTCACCATTTTGATATTGTGGAATATGATGGATTCGATAATACGCAGGTTGGATCACCACACATACAGACACCATTGACTACGCGCGGGATGGAATCAGGGTCAACCACGTTTGCCCCGGCGCACTAACGACGCCGATGACCGCCAAGTCAGAAGAAGTCTGACGGAACTATCTAGAGCGCCCACCTGCTCCGAGAACCCATCGGGCGATAGCCTTCTGTGCCGAAAACTATGCTCTCCTCGGCCATCCGCCGAACTCCCCAGTCCTAGTCCCCTTCCTCTTCGACAGCGACTGGGGCTCGGGTCCACCCCTCGGAAGGGCGTGTCGGAAGTCCGTATTTCCCATCTGGTGTGATCAATACGAGCTGCCATCCTCCAAGCTGAGTGAGAGTGGCAGAAGAGGGAGAGAGAGAGAGAGAGAGAGAGAGAGAGAGAGAGAGAGAGAGAGAGAGAGAGAGAGAGAGAGAAAGATAGTGAGAGATGCAGGGGATTCTAGCTCAAAGAAAAAGGCCGATGGCCGCAAACTGCCAAGCGCCGCCCCCGGCGTCCACGCGCATGCTCGCCATCAGCTAGGTCAACGCGCCCGAGGCCTCGGACACGAACGTTCCACGCACATAACGCAGGACCTCGCGCCTGCCTCTCACGTATATCACCTTCCCGCAACAGCCGCCGCCCAGATCTGATGACCCTTGGTTGTGCAGCAATGTCAACCCCGACACCCTCTCCTCCGTCTTTGATATAACCAGGAGCCCCACCAGCAGTACCTAGTCTCCAAGACGCTCAAGGACCAAAGCTGGCGTAGAATCGAGTTTATATTTTGGAAATACTAGGAGAGGCCCTTTAGTATAGTTCCGACACGCTCATGCCTTCGTCCCTATAGATGGTAGGAGAAAAGGATGGAGAGAAAGACGGAGGGAGACCATGCGAATATCCTCGCAAAGGAAAAGGGCCAGTCCTCTGCTATCCGACTATCCTACTACTCCAGGTTCTCCAATAGGCGGGTAAAGGAACACACCGAAGGGCCAAGCAGATATGCATTCCGACTTTCGAGATGTAAAAATGGCAACGGAGCCCTCCCAGTACGAGCTATTGACTCACCGTGACCAGGGCGTTGGATATTGACGAGAGGAACATAGATGCTCCGCCGACAAGATCTACAAAGTTCACATCGTCAAGGGTCTAGGTGTACACAGCCAAGGCGACTCAAATCTCACTATGAATTTAACAAAAGCCTCATTCGAGTAAAGGGAGAAGGATAAATTGAAGATAAAAACAAAAGAAGCCTGCCTGCCCTTAAGTCCCTTGCTTCTCCTTTCCGATATCTATAATGCGCCAAAGTTGCCGTAGCTAAGGCCGTACCAGGTCGTGATATGCATATTCCGGTTTAGTTCCCCTTGTTTCCGCCCCTTTGTGATATCTCTTCCCTCAAAACAAGTCCTTTTGTGCCCGTGCAACGCCTTGAACAAGGGAAATAAAGCAAGATAAAAGATGAAAAAAGGCCCCAACGCTGTATGAAGAACAAAAAGAGTGACAGCCAAGCAGACAAGAAAAAAATAAAAAAAAAAGGGATGTCGAAAAAGGGATAGACAAGAAGAAGATACGGGCCTCCTTTCTCCCGAGTTCGGGAACTCGGGTTAGTCTTACATGGATACCGCCACATTTCCATAGCATACAACTATCAATAAAAAAAAGTGTCCAGATGGTGCCTTGGTGGAAGCTTCCACGTCGTCCAGTCTAGATGCAGAACTTCCTGTCCAGGACCCTGAGAGCCCTTGCGTCCTCAGTCATAGACTTGCCATCCATACATCCACCCACGCGGGGAATTCGCAGACGTGCCCTCGGGAGCCGCGGGCAAGGGTGAAGCAATAGAGCCGAAAGGCTAGCCTTGTTGGGAGGCAGGTTGGGGGTCTGCGCCATGGCCGAGGGGGCGTACGACGTGTTGCTCGAAGAGTTCTGGGCAGATGCTGTGTCAGAGCGGGCACTTCGGGGAGGCGAGACGCTGAGAGTCCTCGCCGGCGGCGTCGTGCTGTGCGGCGCAAGTCCACCCGTGTTGAGAACTGCCTGGGCCGCGGCTGCTTGAAGATGTTGGGCCACGGGAGAGTCCATGGGCCGCGAGGTTGGGAAGTGAGGGGGCGCCTGCGACATGTGCGATTGCATTTGTGGCGTAGGAGGGTAGTGAGGAGTATGGGGCGAGTGCTGAGCGTGGTGGGGGTCATCGGCGAGGGATAATGAGGCTGCGGCGGAAGGTGAGATTGATGGGGCTGCTGGTGGAGCAGCATCGCCGGGGAGGGAGTCTGTTAGACGAAGGAGGTTGCGCCGGGTAGCTGCCTGGGGGAGGAGGAGGGGCCACCTGATGCGGCGACTGCTCATACGGGGAGCAGTTGAGTAGTGAGTGCTCGCATGGCTGTTGGAGAAAGGGGGCGTGGTAACGGGCGAGAGAGGCCATGAGTAAGGCTGGTGCTTAGCCGAGTGCGGGGGAGGGGAGGATATTGAGGGTGGTGAGGAGGGGGCCCCTGAACTTGATGAGGCTGAGGTTGAGGCATGATGTACTGGCCTGTCGTCATGGCAGCTCTTGCGAGGGCCGGAGCCGCGGTCGAATCGCTCCAGCTCGATTCGGGGTAAAGCCCCTTGGCCGGCATAATGTGACGGAGCTGGGGGTCGGTGGATGGCTGCGGGAGGTCCGAAGACTGGCTGTGAGACTTGGTAAAGTAAGAGATAAGGTGCAAGTGCTGTCCGGTGGATGTGGTGATGCTGAAGGACTGCTTCATCAGACCGTCGGCCTTATACCTGTAGCCCTCGGGCTCGCCATCGTCGTGATCCTCGTCGCTACCCCGGCCTGACTCTGGTGTCTTACCAGTCGTTTTCCGCTGGCTGTTGAAACCGCCGCCCCGCTTGCCCTCCATTTCGCGATACGTTAGGAAGCTGCCAGAAACTCGGCTCGCGCTCCACGACTTGCCATCCGTCCACCTTCGCATGCCGGCCTCCCTCTCGTCCCAGACGAAGACGGATCCGGATCGAATGGATTGCCTCTCCTTTTCAGATAACCTGCGCTGGACCCGAGGAAAGACGCCTAACCTACAAGCTTCGAAGAGCTTGATAGCATCGGCGGGTGTCCGTACGAGGCCGAAATACGTTTCCATTGTGTGCGATTGTTTGGGCGTGAGCGAGCTCGCCGCCTAGGTGTCCTATGAGGCGGATGTTCCGGACTTGGTGTAGTCGGTAGGTATTTGGGTGGTGATTGGAAGAAGTTCTTCCTTTTGTCGTCTCGTCTCCCCAATCTTCACTTGAGGTGAAGAAAGCAAGGACAAGATCGTAGATCTTAAGGGTAAAGATGAGGTGAGAAAAATGATGAGCGCCCTTCAGTCCGGTGGATCCGATGTCCCTTATAAGGGTGATCTCATTCCTTTACTCCTCTCTTAGACTTGCCCAGCGCAGGTCGTGATGTGCGGAGTGAGAGGGGGTGGAGGGTCAACTCAGGGGAGGAGGATAAACTTGTGTGTCAGCTGCAGGACGATAGAGGGTCGAACGGCAAGCCAAAGACGATCAAATTTGGCGGGCGATGATGATGTGCCTTGTATTTCGAAAGGGCAAGTCGAGTCGAGTGCCAAGGGATTTGGAAGGCTGTCGAAGGGTTAATGGGTGAGACGTCTCGAGAAGTGATGCGAGGGGAGGAGGGAGATCAGTTTGAAAAATCGAGGATGGTTGGGGAGAGGTGTATAAGAAGGAAAAGCCGGCGGGTGCGCGGTGTGCATGTGTGTGTGTGTGTGTGTGTGTGTGTGTGTGTGTGTGGTGCGGTTGCGTTGGCGTGGAGGTGGAAGATCCCTGGTTACTCAAATAAGATGAGGATTAGAGTCTTTTTAAAGTGCTGCATCGAATGATGGGCAGTGTTTGAAGAAGTTGGAGCGGGAGGCGGGGGAGGGGGTAGACCAGGGCGTGTAATGGATCAAGTAGGTGGATGGATGTGGTGTGTGGCGTGGCGTCCCTTCGGAAAAAAAGAAAAAAGAAAAAAGGAAAAAGAAGAGAAAAGAAAAGGAGGGTAATAAAAAGAAAAAGAAGAAGAAAAAGCTGAGAATGTGGTGTCGGCAACAAAAGGCCAAGAGAAGGAAAGTACACTCTGGGTGTCTTTTCTGACCCAGAGCCTCCCAAGGAGTGTACTTTAGAAAGTGGAGTGGGTGTGGGAATGGGAAGGTGGACGGGGTTAAAAGTCATGGCGTGGGCACAGCGCCAGAACAGGTCAAAAAGGGAAAAGATGCCAATGTTCCTTGCCGAGTGCCCAGAGGACACTAATAACTCTTCTGTCACGGACTGACCATGTGGGGAATGGGCAAACGTGCCTGCCATCCACCCATCCACCCATCCCTCTATTAGGGAAGCAACGATCTTAGAAGAAGGCGACAGCGGGTGGGAAGGCGCTGGTGGGGGGGCGTGCACGAAAGAAGAGTAAAGTTTTTGACCGTTGCTGGCTGAAGCCGATACTGGAACGTGTGACTTCACACTACGGTCGAAATCTGCGGTGTATTTCCCACATAGAGACTCTGATACAAGGGACCCACTACCAAGAGTCTGCAAGTACGACAGAGAAACGATAAAGTACTTTGTCTCGACCCCACCAAAGACCCACAACTTTATAGGTGGGTCCCAAAGTTTGTCGCGGCAGGCAGGGGAGCCTGCGGTTGGGATCCTAGATGCCTGGTATCTACTGGGGGAGGGGCGAAGAGAGGATGGTCACCACCGTTGGGAAGCCAAGAGGAAAGGACGGCAGGACTTTGCAGTGGCGCTGGGAGCGAGGCAGCTCGTAGAACCATTCACTCCCACACCAGGAACTGGGCGTGTTGGATGGGGTGAGACTTTGAATGGATCCAGGCGACTTGCGCACCCCGGAGTTCTCGACCCCTCTTCCGTAGATTTAGCGGAGAGTTGCCCCCAGTAAAGGTATCGCGTGTGAAGAGCTCATGGTGGAGTCTCATATCCTTATGCTTGCTCTCAAACTCTCTCACGACTGTCGTCACCACTTGGCCATTTGAAATGCCAAGCCGCGCAGAACCATGGGTGAGCAAAAGCAGGCCACGAACACATTTTCATGCTGTCTTCCTGTCACTGTTCGGGGCATTTTCATTCTATCTTCTGTTTTATCTTTGGTTTTCTTGGGATGACGGCAGCGAGGCACGACGTAATCGACGAGATGATGCGTAGATCATCGATCTGTGCCATTCCCTCTGACTCTTGTTCCCCCTCCCTTCCCTTGTGCCCGGAACCATCGGACGGGCGCTGTCTGCGCTGCGATGCAATGCAAGAGAGCGGTTGGCGGGACACAAAGGTATCAGAATTGGGCTCCCTCTTCTTTGACACGACGCTGTCCAACTTAAACCAAGGGTATGAATACTCGATAGCCATCTCCTTGCTCTGTGGGGAGGAAGGGGGGCGGAGGGGCTAGTTAAAGGCACGAACGACCTTGTATTACCAATCTTGACGGTTTTGCATCCATAGACTCTGCTCCTTATGCGGAGCACGAGTTCCTTGAGGCACAGCGATAATATTAACCATTCTCTTCCTTCGTGGAATGGAGGAAGCGGAAAGGGGTGGGAGAGGGGTGGACTGGCGGTGTCGAGGATGGGGATAGACAGCTCACAATCTCCAATAGCCCCGTAAAAATATCGGAGAAATGGCCTGGAAAAGCGGCTAAGTGGGAGTGGTACGCGGAAGGGTACAACCGTAATATACACTAGGTTACAGTAGCGCCATGTACTCTACCATATAGTGCCCAGGTAGAGTTGTTATAGTGTGGCACGGGGAGGCAGGGGCATTGCGGTTTTTGGGACCACGGAGGCTAGACCGCCAAACAAGAACAGGATAGGGCGGCATGGCGGCAGAGCGGCATGCTGGGCGAGCTAGAGTCTTGGGTCAATTGGAACATCTGAGAAGTGGGGGAGAGAGGATCGCACCCAAAGGAAGAAGGGGGGAAGGAGAGCATGTTTGGGCCCGGGGCTTTAAACGTTCCAAAAACGTGTTCGGGCGACGTCAACGAAGCCGTCAGAGCCGATCCAAAAGAGAAAGATGCCAGGGCCCCCAAAAGAAAAATCGAACTCGACTAAAACTGCCGTGAAAGACGACTTGCGTGGCAGCCCGCGCGTTCCAGGAAACTGGGGAGGGTCGAGGGGATCAGTGCGCTGCCTCGACCCTGTCCTGTCGGGGGATTTGCGCAGAAGCGGGCGATGCGCCCAATAGACTCGTGGCATAAAGGGTCCAGAGCTAGGGTCGGGAACAATGCGAGGGGGAGAAGAAGTCAAAAAGAAGAAAAGGAAAAACAAAAAAGGGACTACGGAAATAAGAGAAGGGGTATAATGCATTCAGCAAGAAAAGAACCATAAACCGTGTTAAGGCGGGTTATATAGACATGAGATGACGATCCCCTTGGTCCCTGTGGTACACTCGCTCCCTCAGAAGAGAACCATATCGTGATAAGGAGCAAGGGGGCAGGGGGATGGGGGAGGAGGAAAAAAAAAAAAAAAGGAAAGGAAAATTCAACGCAGATCAGGCTTGTCCCAGCACTACCATTATTGGAAAATGAGCTCATACTAGGAGGAAGGTCTTAAATCGGCCAGGCTAAGTCGAATTCCCACCATAACCTTGGGACCTTGGGAGGGTCCAGGGAGTATGTGAGATAGAGAGACAATGGGCATCGTCGCCCCAGTTTGATACGCATGCCCCGTTTTACAGGTTTGCGGCCATACATATCTGCTTTTGGGACTGCCATCAGAGACAGCACGGCAGGCCAAACCGGCCCAGTCCACAGGGCCAAGAGAATCAATGATGATGATAATAAAAATCAGTGGTCAAATGCCTGAATTAAGCCCCTCTCGCCCCGCTCTACCATGAGCCTAGACAGCATACACAGCGACGACTAATACTCTTCCTGCCGCATTCAAAGCAAAGCGGCCAAGTGGAGCTTTGGGACTTGAGAAACAGGGACCCAAGTTTTGAAGGGATCGTCACGCAACAGTCTCAATCATTCGAATGGACCCTATCCATCAACTCGAGACAAGGAGAACACTTCTCCCCCAACAGGAGAGCAGACAAAGGCCTCGATGATGGAGTGGTGATGTGCCATTATGTGGGTGGACCCCCTTCGGCAAGGCAGAGTGTGAAAGTGGTGGTGTATGTACAAGTATGAACTGGGCGCTCTTCTCGCCCCATCCGCACCAGCTACTGATCCAGGATTGCTCCTTGCGCTTTTGTGTCGGACGGACAGCAGGGCTGGGTTAGGAGTTTGGGGGCGGCTAAAATCGAGAAGAATGGATGCAACCCCCGTGTCAATTGGCAATAGTGGCGTTGAAACAACCAACAAACCAACATGAACAATACGCATCCGCACTTGCGCATCAGGATCAGTTTACCGAATCGAACAAAGTTCGTACGCACTTGCAGCAAAGGGGGAAAAGAAGAAAAAGTGGAGAATGAAAACAACCTGCGGGGACCATTGAACGGAAAGAAAGAGCCAGGGCGAAAAAGAACAAGAGACGATGAACACGCAGCATTGAACGATGCGTGGGCAGCTATCCAGGCCTAGGCCCGTCCTTTGTGTGAGCCTCGTGTGTTACCTGTTTGTTTCGGGTTGCCCGACCATGCAGTGCACACATCAACCACGACAAGGTGCTGCTGCTCAATGCTTCGCAGCCCCACAGACGCGCGACCACACACACACCATACGAACACTATTCTGGAACCTCTCCCCGCAGATGTTTCACCTTTCTCGACAGAGAAAGCCTAGACGAGAGCACGGAGCAAAGGCCATTGTCCATGGATAGTGCAAGCGAGACACTTGGGAACCAGCCGCTCTCAGGGTGCACCGCACCATTTGATCATCTAATATTTTTGCCATCTCGCCTACCTCGGTAGACACGATGGGAAAGGTTGCCAGATTGGATTTCAAAATGAGTTCTCTCCGGAGTCCTAATACCATCTGGCTTCGGGGGTTTTTATTTTATTTTATTTTTTTACCCCCTCTCATTTTCGTACTCGTTGGCTACCCTTGTTCCTCTTCTATTTGCCGCCTCTTCTTTCTTCAGAGTAGAGACACTAGAAAAAGAAAAAGAGAAGGGGAGGAGAAAAAAAGAAATGGAAAAGGAAAGCTACATCTCGT